AGAGAGAGAGAGAGAGAGAGAGAGAGAGAGAGAGAGAGAGAGAGAGAGATGGAGAGAGCGAATTGTTTAAAATGCGATAGTCATCGTTGCTATAATGGTAACGCGTGTTTAGTTCCGAAATACACACTTGATGAATAACATCATTTCGGTTGCCATTGAATTTGTTCATTGATTTGATTATGTGATTGATATTTGAATGAATGAAATTTACGACCCGATTTCGGGTTCAATCCAATTATGTTGCTTACTTGAACTTTAGTGAAAACCACATTTCAACGAATACCTTACCTCGTCCGGTCCCGAATCAGTCTATTATGCGCTTTGATGAATGTAACTGGATCGGTAATATTGTCTCTTGAATGACCTTTTTGGTACATCCATTTTGGTTCAACACCCAAAGAATTACTCTGAATAGACCATATCTATTCATACGAATTTGATGCAGTCAAATCACACCGTTTTGCATACAGAGATACGAGATAGATAGAAAAAGATGAAAATGCATGTAACGTGGCAAGATATAACAAATCGTATATCACAATGAAATATTAATTGGAAATAAAGCACAAGCTAGATGTTCCGTGTGAATGTGTGTGTTTGAGTGTTTGCAATAAAATTGCAATTTATCTTTTTTAACCACATTTTGTTTTATACTTAAATCGTCCATTTAAAGGTTTTATTATAAATTATCTTTTTCTGCAGTAACTTCAATACGTGATCACACAATAAATATAACGCATGTGAATCGAGTTCATAACGGTATCTATGTATGTGTGGCAAATAATGGCATTCCACCATCCGCAAATGCAACATTTCAAGTCGAAGTTCATTGTAAGTAAATAGACAGCAACACTCTCCGCATAGCATAAATGGAGTTTTTCTATTGTAAATGGTTTCATTTGATGTTAAATCCGCATAAACATATTTTCTATATTCGAATTGTACACTATAAATCACTTTGATATTCGATGCATTGATATTTAAAATGCATTGAAATTCAATTTTATGGAAACGAATGCAAATGCCCGTTTGATGCATGGAGACAATTTATATTCGTATTTCTTATTTTATTTTTCTCTTGATGATATTTCTTTAATAGTTCCACCATTGATTCGAGTACGAAATCAATATTTGTATGCTTTTGAAGGAGGATCTGTTTCATTGGAGTGTGAGGTAAGTACATTACGTTATTGTTATTTCTCTTTCTCCCTTCAATCCTTTTGATGAGTAAAAAGTACTTATATTGCAAATCATTATTGTATTGCAATTCAACGTTCCTTTGCTGACAATCAAAATTTCGTTTTCAATGCAAGCAAAAGAGCACAACAAACATTCTCAACATTTCGACTACACTGTTGACGAAACTTATACTTATCATGATAAAAAGAAAAGCGCTGAAAAGTATTTTGATTTCGAAGTTATACACGTTACAATGGCATCTGCTGCTCGCTGGATGCACACACGTTGGAAATGGTCTATGCATGGAAAAGGTGTAATTTTTGTAAAGATATGAATCGAGAAATGCGAAACGAACCATATTCGATACGTGCATATTGCACACCGTTTCACGGCGTACACATTCAATTTATTCGCAATTTTCCTTCCGTTGCACATACGCGGAAACAAATTAGCTTTTGAAAAACAAACACATAAGATATTGAAGTGTTGTGTTTACACACACACACAGCATCCTGCCAGAATATGCAATTTTAAAAGAATATGTATGCGATAAGCGAAAGAGAGCACTTCTGGATTAAAAGCCATTCAAGCTCAGCGAGAGAGAGAAAGAGAGAGAGAGAGAGAGAGAGAGAAGGAGAAGGACAAGAAAATCAAAGGAAATCTCAAGCTGTTCATCGATTTCTCAGCGATTGCAATTCGCTTTGTAATTCATTCGACATTATACAATGGGGGCACCTGCGTTTCATAATTCCATTTATTCAATTCACGCTTTCTCGACTGTTCGTCTAAACACATGCGACCATCAAACGCACACTAAACATTCACTCACTCGCACACTCCATATCCGGCTAATTGCATAATCACCGGTGAATATAATGAATGTGTGCTTCAATTTTCCATCGTTTTTCCTCTCTATTCGTTCGCCTTCAGAATAATAGATAAAGAAAAACCAAGCGGTAAGAGTGATGAGATTGCAATACAGAAAGGATTTCAAACAATGTTTGACAGTTGACGCAAACAATAATAATAACAACAACAACAAATCCATTACGATATTGATGTGCACCTTTGTTGTGACTCTTTGGAATGTGTTTGTGTGGAGACCGGCGGTAAAACAATGAAACGATATCAATACTTGGTTGGATGACTCCAATGCTACCTCGCTTATTCACTTGCTTACGAAATATAATCACATTTTTCATTATGTGAAACGCTGTTTCGTAATATTACTCCGTTCGATATTGTGTCACTTCATCGAGTTGGCTTAGCCCTTTTCTTTGTCATTCTCGTATCCACTATTTTATTTTCATTTCGTTTATTTGTTCGTTTGGCGATCCTTTGTGGTGACCGAGTCACAAAATGCAAAAGTTTTTTTATGCAAATTTTGTTATCTAAATTTTCATACTATGTTGAAGTGATTGCGTGCTGTTGCATTCGCAGCTGCTGAAATTTAGTCATGCTTGCATTAGCAACAACGGGACAGCCAGTGACAGCAGCAACATCATATCCATCGTTGCATGTGATTATGTGGTCCGGGCATTCCATCATTGTCTTATCCGGCCTTTTCATCTTTTCCCATTAAAAATTGTGTGTGCTTTTTTCCACTCATTATTTTTATTAACATTATTATACAGTGGAAAATGTACGAGGGCGCGAGCAATCTACCGTTATCTCTGCGGTTGGTCTGCGTATTTTCGTTAACTTTTTTCTACAAAATGGGTACGACTGATTCATTTTTCTTCCATCTATCGTTCTAACTCACACTCTCTCTCACTTGTCCAGAGTGAAAATCTGAAAATTGAAATGGAAAGCTCAAAGTTTGCTTTGTGCACGATTTTTACGGCAGAAACGATAAAGCAAAAAAAAAAAATGAATTGTGAAAAAAGTCGCTGCAAATACTTAAATAGTTTTTAAATCGCTTTTTGGTGATATGAAAATGATAACGACAACGACGACGACAACAACGAAGATGAGGACAATGAAAATGAACAAAGCTACAGAATGGCTCAGCGAATAGAGAACAAATCCACACGCACACACGTATCCTCATCCACAATGTGCTTTAAAAAGCAAATCAAAATTTCCGCGTTAGAGATTGGTGTTTTATGTGCTCGCGAGAGCTACTGTCGTCTAGATAACGAAGAATGCAATTTCAGAAAAAAATATAAATGTTAGCACGATAAAAACCTGCCAAAAGGAAAACGGAAATAGTGGTATGGTTGGTGGTGTCTGTATGGTAAAACAATCTCAAAATATAATATGCTTCGTTGATGATATTTGCATGCCGACCCAATCTAAAATAGTTTTGGGATATCTTTTTGCTCATTAAAATGTGCCCTCCCCCATTTTCACATTTAGATTTAAGCAAAACTAGCTCATCAAATGTCTTATCTCTCCATAATATCCATTCACATAAACTTATCTATTCGATTAAAACTAAATGACAATTTTCATTCCCTCTTTTCTTCTCTCTCTCTCTCTCCCTCTTTTCATCTTTTTCTCTCGCTTTTTCTTTTACAAAACCACTTAGACTGAAGCATTTCCAGAGCCACTCAAATATTGGAAACGTCGTTCGGATAACCGAATTATCGACCAAAACGACAAATACCGCATGGAAACCTACACAGATGGGTAAGCTTGAATTCATCACATCACATCACACCTACACACATAAACACAAACTATTATTTCATTGTTACCATAAATGGTATGGTTTTATCTATATGTTTTTGTGTCGTTTTATATTCAGGTACAAATCATTGATGCGTTTGAATATTACGAATGTTCGTCCGGAAGATTTTGGCGAATACGAATGTGTAAATTGAAAATTGAATTCATAGATAGATATTTGAAAAGAACAATTTTATTTCATTTTTCTTCTAAGACAATTTTATATATGATATTTTTATATTCTAATTTTCTAAAAAAATAATTGTTACAGGTGAGCAAAAATGAAATAAACACAACGGCAGCACCATTCTTCGTTTATGGTACGAGTTTCTAAACGTCTCACAAAATCATTAAATTTAACCAACTCAATTTTGTTGGTGATTTTTTCACATTTTTTTTTTGTTTTGTTAAATTTTTCAAATCAATTTCAGATGGTGCACGTCATCCAACACGTACTTATTCGGATATTGCTGAATTCGGTACATTACCACCGAAGCCAGTGTCATACACTGAATTTTGCCCACCACCAAACTGTCCATCGCCCAACTGTGATGAATCTCGTTGCAATAATGCTTACTTCCAACATCATGATATTAAAATTGAAGAATTACGATTTAAAGGCATTCGATTTCCGGGCATTACAGCAAATCGGACTTTCGGTATGTTTGCATTCAATAACCGATTTTTATTTCGCTCTTTGCTGGTGGAAGCTTTTTTTTATGTTCGCATGTTCAACACATTTTAATGATGCGAAAGATTCCATTCAATTCATGTGAATAATTTCTTTAATGTAATATTTGCATTGTGAATACCATTTAACTAATGCTGTCGAAAGACCGATTTAAAATGAATTTATAATTAATTCGATGCATTTAGCATTCCGTTTCATTTAAATGCATTTTTTGGAGAATGAAAGGAAAAAAACGTCTATAAATTTATTGAATATTTTTTAAATGGTTATTTTTCCTCTACTGTTTTAACATTTGTGTTTGCATTCATTTAATGCAAATATTGTTTACATTGTGTTTGTGTATTTTATTAAACGATTTTTAACATGTTTTATTTTTTACCCCGTTTCACACAATCATTTACGAATCATTGATCGTTGGTAATTCATCAAGTGTTTGCTGGGCACTATGAAATTTCGTACATAAATCCGAAAATGAAAAACTATTTATGAAGAGTTCACTATATCATTCATTTTTTGATATGAATTATTGTTCAGAGCTGAACATGACTTGTGAATAAAATGTTATTTACTCTATTCTCTCCATATCAAAATATATATTCGTTGCCAACAAAAAAAAAACAGAGTATTGCAAATATGTCACATATTTATGTTGAGCTTAAAGCAATGTTCAACATACAGTGTCTGTCGTCATCGTCAACACAATCGAATAATAATTTGTTGAACACTATATTTGATTTCATCGGCTAAATGAAGAGCGACAGCATCAGTTTGAATTGAGTGGAAAACAGATATAGAAACAGATCTGTTGTGAGTGATTTTTCAGTCTCTCAATGTACAGTGCAAAAAGTGAACAGTTTAAGCGTAAAAATTTATGGAAATTGCAGAAAAAAGCACTAACAGTGGATAGTGATATTCGTAAAGAGTTCAATGTTATTTATAAGCATTTCCATATTGCTAAAAAAACTCATTCACATAGTCAACAGCAGAAAGCTGGCAAAGCAAATGATGTGTTGCGAGCAACAGAAATGAAAAGCGACGAAGAGCCAACTGAAATACAGAACATTCTTAACTCTGAATCCATGCACTACATGCTACTGAAAACATATTAAAAATGTATAAATAAGTGCTCCCTTAACGCCATACTGAACACTGTTTGTGTTTGTTTATCCAGTGCACATTTTTTTATTCTCACACAGTTTACATTTTCATTTTCTCTCTACACTGTCGCCTTCCGTTTCTCTCACTCTCTTATTCTCCATCTCAATTACAGTGGCTAGCCCACTATCCCATATTTGTGTGTGTGATTTCTCTCAAAAGAGCGGTGAAATTGAGATTTTTCTTTCATTCATTCATTTTTTTGTTCTACAAATATTTTTATTCTATTTGAAAGGCACTCTTTTTGCTACTGTGCTCAGAGATGTCTCTCAGGCGCTCAAAAACTCGATCCTTTTATTCATTCCTTGAATCGTTCCATGTCGTTTTTTTTTTGAATAGATTAAATAAAAGAGCAAACATTAAAAATATAATACTGATACGTTCTTTTTTTCGTTTGTCTTTTATCATTTGTCTTTCTTTCATTCACATCGCACAAATAATTTATGCACTTTTATTACTTGACTATGTGTAGTTTGTCTCTCTGTCTGTCTGCGTGTATTTGTGCAATGCTCTCTTGTTTGCCACTGTTTATTTCTCACTTATACTTTTCATTCACATTATCCGCAATGTTCACTTGTTTTCTGCATTACTTTAATGCGCTGGTTTCATTCTGTTATTTCTGCAGTTGCCCACTAGCACACTCTTTTCGCCCCAATTTTCCATCAGATTTTTCTACTTTCTCTCTCTCTCTCTCTCTCTTTCTGATTCAGAGGCTATGTAATTTTTTCGAATTTTTATATTTCATCTCATTTTTTCTTTTCCTCTTTCCCGTCTATCTACCACATAGATTGTGTGCTGTATGCCGTTGGAAAACCAGTTTACCATAAATTAACAGATTCGGTAGCGTATGGATCATGGCTAAAAGATGCGCGTCCACGCACAGAATTCGCCGAAAAAATATGGACCACATATGAAACGGATCGCACGAAAATTTATGAGTTTGCCGACAAACAAATGTTCCGCAATAATCAAGCGAATGAGCTACACTTAAAGTCGCCCGGATTCCAAGTATGTGATATATATACACGATTACATATCTCGTCACACGCTGTCTTAGTGAATTCATTTGGCGAGATTTCTTTCTCATGTGATGCCGTGATTTGACCAATCACGTGCCCAACTCAATGCACCACCGTGGAGATTTCCATTTAATTTATTTCATTCGTATTTGTTTTTACCTTTTTCGTTCGTTAATACAGGGTAACGCACATGTTGTTTACAACGGTTCATTCTATTATCATCAACAAGAGAGCCCAATCATCATTCGATACGATTTGCAAAAGCGTGAAACAATTTGTAAGTATTTCATCCTACATAATTCAAGTAATGTTAAGGTGTATCAAAGGCAATTTCCCTTTGGCATTGCCCCAATATTATTCATTCAAAATTTGAATGAAACATTCTCAATCTGATACGTCGGCGACTAAAATGTTCCATTCATTTCTCCCTCCCTCTCTCTCTCTCTCTCTATCTCTCTTTCGCCATACTTCAAACGAAGGTAATGTAACGTTGCCCGAATTTCAATATAGCGGCGATCACTATCTGTACACAACCAAATGTAATTACGTTGACTTGAATGCCGATGAAAATGGTCTTTGGGCCATTTATTCATCAAGCAAATCTACAAATACATATGTCGTTAAGGTAAATTCACAAAATCTTTCTTTGGCCAAATTAAAATACCATCTTCGTTTGATTATTCCGAAGTCCATTGAAATTGTACATCTTTAAATTTTTGGTCTTTTATGTATTTGAAAGTTTTTTTTTTTTTGTTCTTTTTTATCCATTTCCAATTAATTAGCTTGATGCAAACACATTACAAATTCAATTCGGTTGGAATATTAGTCTAAATCATAATAAAGTAAGTTCAACAGTGCAAGTCATTTATTCATACATTCATTGTAATATAACTTTTTGCATTTTATTTATGGAATTTCGTACATTATGGCCAACACATAAACATACGTCAAACTTTCTTTTTACTTGTTAATGCATGTTTTGTGTGTTGTGATGTTGATGCCACGCACTGTTTCTTGCCAACTCATCCAAATTTTACCATCACGATTTATTTGCAGGTGGGTGAAATGTTCATCGTATGCGGTGTATTGTATGCCATCAATTCGGTAACCGAACGTAGTACGAAGATTGTTCTGGCAATGGATTTATATCGGTCAAACGTTTTGAATGATTTAAACTTATCGTTTACCAATCCATTCTCACACACCACGATGGCTTTATACAATCCAGAAACGAAGGTATTTACGCATGCTCTAATTTATTCACACAAATATGACAAATGCATCATTCGGATGTTTTTTTCTCTATCTCTCTTTCCATCTCGCCTCCTTTTTTCCTTTTTGCTATATATATATGTGTGTGTACTTTTTCTTAGGAACTTTTCACATGGGATCATGGCAATCAACTAACATATCCGATACGATCGAGTGGCATGACTGAGTATGCATCGGCAAGTGAACGAAATGAAGAAGCACTAAATGCCCACGCTCAAACTGGCGATAACGATAAATAGAGATTAATTTTAATTGGTGTTTGTATGATTTTTTTGTGTGTATTTTCGTGAAACAAAATTTTGTGTACATGTCTGTTCAATTCTTTTACTTTTATTATCATCGTCATCATCATCATAATCATCATCCATGCGTCTATTTCTTTCAATATATATTCATATGCACCAAACTCATTTTCAAACACACGCAAAACATATGAATAAAAATTCTTATTTCAATTTCTTCGATTATATTCTTCGCGTCTAAAGTCGATAAACCGAATGAAGATGATGATTGAAACGGTATATATCTCGATCAAAAGTCCTGATACAAACAACAATAATAATAATTTTTATGTACATAAGAAGCATCAAGCTACATGTAGTTAAGTAAAAAAAAAAGTAACATTGTAATGACATGGTGTATGTGTGTATGAAATTTATTGACATAAAAAAATAAAAACAAAACTTATGTATGTATCACGATAAATGTTTCTGTTTTTTCTTCTCTTATTCCTGCTTTGTTCGTGTTCAGCATTTTTACGCTGTCTAGTGTGTATGGAAATCAGATTTAAAATAGAAAAGAAGTTAAACTATAAGTGATTAAAGATTCGTATTTGGAAAATACGGTAGGTAGTGCCATCTATTGAAAATCAATTAAAAAAAACTCTTATAACCTTGTGTTATACGCCGTATTTACTTCACTATTTTGTTATACGATTTTTCAAAGAGGTAGATTTTGACAGCTGTCAAATGATGGTTTATTCGGTGTGTTCAAAGTTATATTGCGGAAAAATGGCAGCATTACGGCTAAAAAGTGTGAAAAACGTAACAAAATGCCTTTTAAGTGGCAATTTTTGTACACAAATTCGACAAAAATCAACGAAATTATTGACAACGGCCGTTGAATCATTGAGCACCGTTGAAAAGGTGGTGACAACCAGTGATGGCAGCACATTTGTTGCCTGGCATCCAACACATGATTTTCCATATGAATTTTCAAAACCATTGCCACCATTGAATCAAATTCCAGCCAGTACACTGATGAAAGAAGAATCCATTCAACGAGCCATGGAAGCGTTCGGTTCAAAACATCCAGAAATTGCACGTCTAGAGCTCATGAAACTAACCAATACGTCAAAACACACCTGGAAGCCCAGACAACGTGACCGAAAAGCAAAGAAAACACAACCAGACCGAGAATATTTATAAATACATGCATTTAATTTGTATTGCTTTTATTTAGTGCTAAAAAAAAAAAACAAATAGAAAAATACCGCAAATAAAATTCAGATCAATTTACATTCTTTGATGTTTCTTTTATTTATAGTTTTTTTTTTCTAGTCATAGCGTTTCTTTTTTATCAAAGAACCCAAGAGATCGCTGATTGCCGGTAGTGTTGGTTCATTTGTAGATTGAAATTGAATGTGAGAGCTACTTGCAGTCACCGAATGGGTTTTCATATTTCGATGATGGGGGAATGTTGGCATTAGACCAGGATCACAAGCTGTATCATAGGAAATATATTGATTAATTTGAATTTGATTGTCACACCGAATTTAATCTTTTTGAATTAGCCAAATTTGTTGAAAATGTGCTCGAACTTGAAGCTCAAGAAGTACTTGCATGACTCTTATTACATTAAGTTGATTTATAACGCTGTTATAGGTACCGTGAAGGTGCGAACACTTTTTTTTTGTAAGTGCTGTTCTTTCTAATAGATTTAATGTATGGTACTTGAAAAATTATATGGAATAAGTGTACGCACCGGAAGAAGTGGTGTCGATAACAGCTTTGATAATTCATGACCCCATATTTTACATGATTAATCAAAGGTATTGAATTTTTTCATTTACATCTTTCTTCAAAAGATGATAAAAAAAAACTATCTATTGCAGAAGTAATCATTTAAAATCGGATTCATCAAATCATTTAAAATCGGGCTAATTCAGAATGTTTTTCGGTGTGAAAGAAACAATATATATAAATTAGAAGATTTATGACACTCACGCAATGGCATTTCTTTGAAGTATGTGCTTTCTAGACATTCTTCGGCGCTTGCTCGTTTCTTTGGATCGTACATGAATAAAAAGTTAAGAAGTCTTAATCCGGCACTTGATAACCATTGAAATTTCTGTTTTATATTATTATACGGTTGTTGTTTCAGTGTAAAACTCTTTAATGCTGGCATCGACGCAAGCTCTGACCATATCGAAGTCGATGGTGTGCCTGAAATTGAAAAATGTCGTCATTAATTCAATTGAATTTTCAAATGTGAATAAATGTAAAAAATAATCTTCTGAGAGCGAACAAAAAAAAAATACTGCACTGATTGATTGGTCTCACCCAATAGTTCGATAATCATTTCAATTTGTTGAATTTCCGTTTTTCCCGGTAGCAATGGTTTGTGCAATAATAGTTCACCCAAAATGCATCCGGCCGCCCACATATCAATTGCTGTTGTGTGTGTCGTTGCACCAAAAAGTAATTCGGGTGCACGATACCAAAGTGTCACCACGTTTGGTGTCATTTTCATTTCGGAATTGCTGAACAATCGTGCCAAACCGAAATCGGCAATCTTAATGCATCCTTTATCGGTCAACAGTAGATTTGACACTTTTAAATCACGATGTATGATGAAATGACTATGCAAATATTTTAATCCATTTAATACTTGTAAAATAATACATTTTGATTGTGCCTCTGAAAATGGTTGGGTCATATTATCGAGCAGCGATGCTAAGTCTTGTTCACAATATTCCATTGATATGAAAATGCTATCGAGACTTTTCCCGACAACAACTTCATTCAATTTAACAATATTTCGATGATTACATGATTTAAGAATTTGTATTTCGCGCAGACCACTGATTGGAAGACCGTCTTTTTCTTGTTGCATGCGAACACGCTTCAATGCAACAATTTCACCATTTCGACTGTCACGCGCACGATCTGACAAAGGAGAGAGAGGGGGTGAAAAAAAGAGTTTGATTTTGAAATACAATCCCTTTGTTTGGACAGTTGTCCATTAGATTTACATACAAACAACACCATAAGTTCCTTCGCCGATGCGGTTCAGCTTCTCAAATTCAGTGACCAATCGACATCGTCCGAGCTAATGAAAAAAGTACACAAAAATTGACTACAAAGTTGTAATTGGAAGTGATAAAATATGATGAGTCGAACCATATCTTCTTCGCGTATTTCAATGGGTCGTCCTGTCCGAAGTGATCGCAGCACGCCCTTTCTCGTTACGGGTGCTTGTGGATCATACGACTGAACTGCTTTTTTCTGCTCTTCATCGACAATGTTTATGTTTACTGAAAGTGAATCACACATTCATTTTCCATTAGAAATTGTTCAAAATTTCGTTCGAAGAATTTTAAGTTACCTAAAACCATCCTATATATATGCAATTATGTTTGTTATGTGCTTTATTTAAATTACGTTAATTGATTGATGAAATCAAAACCGAATTCTCACTTTCAAATGATTGCTATTCGGTGTTTTTATGTGACAGCACATCAAAAGCTAAAATGCTCGTCAATATAATCCACTTATGTTCGATACGCGTGAATATAGCCGCAAATGGTAGGTGTCAAAACAAGCATACAATTTAGGCGCGTGTTTGTATCGCTGAAACGAAATAACAAACGTCAAACTGAATAACATAATAATTTTATGCGCATCAAAACTTATATCAGTTTTGGATTTTCAAAATAATATTTTATAATCAGTGCATCGTCTTAATTTGTATGGAAAATATGGAGGAAAATAAAAAAGAAACGTTACCGGATGCTGAGTGTCCAATTTGTTGCAAACATTTTCCAAAGGATTCAATTGAAGTGCATGTCAATCGTTGCATATTTTTGAATTGTAGCGAAGAAACAACAAAAGACAGTACAAATAAACGTTCCTTCAGAATTTTTAATGCGAATAAAACAAATGCCATGGCATCGCCACCGGGTAATGCGAACAAGAAAGTGAAAAATACAAATGATATTAAGGAAATACGTTCCTCGCCATCGACCAGTTCAATTAAAACACTCCAACCATCATCTACCACAAATATTATAGCGGTTAACGAACCGCAGGAAGGCGAAAAGCCAACAAATGTCGTAAAAAAGTCCATACCGTTAGCCGAAAAGATGCGACCAGAAACTATTGATGATTACATTGGACAGAATCATGTAATGGGTAAAGATGCTTTGCCTACATATAAATTCACTTCCATTTTATGTTTACTTTATTTCGACTATTTTTAAATTATTTCTATCCTTTTTGTGATTCTTTTTTCCAGGTAAAGATGCAATTTTGCGAAGGATCTTAGATCGAAATGAAACGCCAAGCATGATTCTCTGGGGTCCACCAGGTGACATTTTACAACAATTACACCCAAATTTCTTGCAATAAAAATGTGTTTTCTTTTTCACACCAATAGGCGTTGGAAAAACTACCCTCGCTCATGTCATTGCCAATCGATGTAAACAAACACAAAACATACGATTTGTTAAATTGTCAGCCACTATGGCCGGTGTAAATGATATCAAACAAGCTGTTGCAGCTGCAAAAAATGAACAAAAATTTGGACGAAAAACTATTCTATTTATGGATGAAATACATCGATTTAATAAACTGCAACAGGTACAGATGTTGAAGAAATTTTTTGAGTTCATTAAAAAAAAATGTGTTTATTTTGTTTTTTGACAATGCCGCTTTTTCATTTAGGACATATTCTTGCCGCACGTGGAAAGTGGCGTAATCACATTAATCGGAGCTACAACGGAAAATCCGTCATTCAGTTTAAATTCCGCGTTGCTAAGTCGATGTCGTGTCATAGTTTTAGAGAAGTTGACAACAAATAACATCCTTGACATTCTAAAGCGTTCGTTGAAGTTATATGAAGCCATCATACTGACCCCAGATGCTGAATATCCATCGTTTAAGGATCTTGGATTCATACCAAAGTAAGACACAGTTTATTTTGCCATCTAATCGCCCGATAGATTTCATCATGTATTCAGTCTTAATTATTTTACATTTGCAGAGTTGGTGTTGAAGAATCATCATTAAAATGGTTGGCTGAAATATGTGATGGTGATGCTCGCATTGCTTTGAATAGTCTCCAATTGGCCATGGAGTCTCTGCAGGAAAATAATAACGGTGACACAAAATTCAATGTGAAATTCATGTCGCTGAAGCAAATAAAAGATGGCATCAAGGTGAATCGACTCATTTCTACTTGACTATTTACACAATTTTTAACAATCTCATTGGTTCTTGCTTACTTTGAATAATAGCGTTCCCACATGTTGTATGACCGTCAAGGTGATCAACATTACGATATGATATCAGCATTGCACAAGTCAATTCGAGCGTCAGACGACAATGCAGCCTTGTATTGGTGCACAAGAATGATGGTTGGCGGAGAAGATCCAAGATATATATGTCGAAGACTTGTGCGGGCGGCCAGTGAAGACATAGGTATAACATTTCGATTCGAATTCTTGTCATTTTAAGTTTTTCATGCGATTTTTCCATAAATATAGGTTTGGCCGATCCACAAGCAGTTGGTATTGCTCTTTCGGCATTAGATGCAGTTCAATTGGTTGGGATGCCAGAAAGTGATTGTATCATTGCACAAGCTGCTGTTTACTTGGCGCGAGCACCAAAGAGTCGAGAAGTACGGAAGTGAAATGTTGTTTTGATGTCAATTTTTTTTCAATACATTTACTTTACTCTGGATTGAGTTTACACCAATTGTCATGGATTGTTTCAAATATTGAATCATTTTTTCGCTTTCAGATGGACAATGCACTGGCAGCATGCAAGCGTGACATAAACGAATGTAAAGGTCCACAGCCGTCGGTGCCACTACATTTGCGAAATGCTCCAACAAAATTGATGAAAGATCTTAACTATGGAAAGGGATACAATATGCAGCACAAAGATATTTCAGGCTTGGAATATATGCCCGAAGGAATGGAAGATCGTGATTACTTCTCGTAGCAGTCGTCTACTATCATCGTCATTTGACAATTATGATTTGTGATTGTGATATGTAGTTTGTGATAATTGGTCACTGATAAGAAATAAAATGCGGTATGGCAATAGAAAATGGCAATCGGTGCTATCAATTTTATTGAAGTTTGATTGATAATAAATTACGGAATAAATTAGCGGAATGTTGTAAGTAAATCAGCAAACGTACGTGACACTTTCAAATGAATAACTTCTCTTACCATTGTAAAATGTTTGTAGTAGTCCAGTGCATTGACACTACGAGAGTATTACTAGCATAAGTGATTTTTTACGGAGAATATGAAGAAGAGAGTAAAAAATATGAATTGATAAATTTCTCACTTAATTGTAAACGTCTTTTTATTCATCCGAATATTCAATACTTATAATGTTCAATTCATGTATACTAGTTAATATTTTTTAAATCTATGTCTTATTAGAATCATTTGCCAAATCAACTGGCTTATCAATTAGATTGGGGACACAATTTGCATATTTTTCATAACTTTACGTTCACGATCTACATATTTTAACAAGGTGATTTATATATGATTTATGTCTTGGTTTTTTTTGAATACTCAAAGTGCGAAAAACTTGTTTCTTCTTTGAAATTCTTCCAATTTCCTTTCAAGCTATTTTTCTTTCTTATGTGAATCTTCGTGAATTATAACTTTTTCGTAAAACTGTCGATTAACAAACAAAATCTTGGATTAATTAGATCCATCTTACCCGAAAAATCTCTTAATATTTTTCCTTAATTTTTCTTTTGTATGGTGAAGAACAAAATAACAAAAAAATGTATGTTCTAATTTTCAATTTGGAAAACATTGGAATAATTTTTTTTTCTTTTTTGTTTGACTTATTCAAACGTATCTATACCATAAATCAATATAAAATGTTTGAGATGTTCTCTAGTGCAAATATGCACTCAATTTAATGCTTGAAGTCGAATGTATTTTTCCTTCTTGGCATATTCGGTGATGGATTGCTTCAATTTGTTCAACACTGTTGCTCTCAAGTGAATGTTGAGCGGTGGTGATTTTCGATAATAACGGCTGCGTTCGCGAACCAGAGTATCGTACATCTTCGCTGTGAATGAGCTGATTGACACGTCCAATTTCAAGCAACGCAATTCCGATGACAATGAAACAACATCTTCGATGTTTTCCCGTTTAAACGACCGAATTCCAATCAAACAGACATCCGTAATGCTTGGCATATCCTTTAACCATCCAATGATTTCATCCCAGGAATGTGAGTGCAATCCCACCTCAATCTTGATTGAGTGTAATTTTTTCAAACCGGCCAAAGTTTCTCGCCAGAATTCTGGCTCCACCTCACCCCTATACATCCCATGTTTCATACTAATAGAGAGTTCTTCGAGTGATGTGTTGGCTCGCACTGCTATCATGACTTGAGGAATCAAATGGTACCACTTGACGTGTAGAGACTTCAATGTGGTTAATCCTTTATTCGTTGTTTCTGATATGTACGAATTTGGAGATATCGATAACCGCTCGATAGCTGGAAACGCTGAGTCAATCTCATCCAAGCTTATTTCGTTACGCATGATGTGATAATGGTATAATTGTGTGTTGCGTATCCCAAAGTTGCTACAAATGAATGACTTCAACGTTGGCATTTGTTTTTGAATAAATTCTGTCCAGGATTCGCGTCTGACACAAAAATCATCCAAATCAAGTTCATACAAATTAATTGTGTTCAATACAGACATAAGCTGTCCCGTTACATGGATTTGCTTCAGTTTCAACGACTGCAATTGTGAACAAGCAGGCAGCAATTTTTCCAAGCAATTCTCAAATTTTTTGTTTTGTTGACGATTTTGTACGATATGTAGTTTTTCGATTGTCTTGATGACATCCGGAATTTCTGTGTTGAGTTTCAAACTTTTGTCGTCATTCATGTCGAATATAATCGTTACCTTTTTCAAATGGCCGGCCGCACATCGTTTACCAATCAGCCGGAGAATTTCTTCGATTACGCTCAATTCAGCTTTTTTCCATTGGATGTCACTTTGCTTGATTGATACCTCGGCCACAAATTGACCAAGCTTCTTGAATGCATGTCGAACGGAATAGACAGGACGTATTTCGGATATATTAAGAACACGATTTGGCATGATTTCTTCAGCGATGATTTTTCGAAAATTTTCGCCTTCATCACACATTTTCAGTAGATCGAATAATTCCAAGTTATCTGGAATGAATATATTTCATAATTATTCAACTAATTTCGTGTTTCATATTCGTATAACTCACCGAAAATCTTCTTCAACAATTTTGCGTCCAAGAAATCTAAATAAAATTTCGGCCCTTGAACGAGTGTCGGCTTTGAGACCTCAAAATCCTCAATCGGAGAAAATTTCTACAAAAAAGACCCGAATGAAATCAATTATAAAACTGAATGCCATTTTTGACAACACCAATTGAACTTTTTTTTACTCACCAATCGCTTAGGTTGAGGAGCATTTCTATCCTGTAATAGTCAAATCAATTAGAATTCAATTATTGATATTTTTTGGAATTATTAATGGAATTAATTATACTGGCCTATATTAAATTATTCGATCTGTATACTTACGCGGTTGATCGCGACCACTACACCATTTGGTGATGTTTCCATATTTTCAACACAAATTCACTCCAAAATACCAATGTTTTGAAATGAAAATGACTTTTTTTCCTTTGATTCAATTCAAATTTGAAATCCGAACAAAAGCAAAAAAAAAAACACGAACGATTGATGCTGCCAAGTGTTGATAATCGTGAAAATGTTGCTTCTTTCACTGGATTTTATCATTTACATTTGATACATTGAACTGTTTGATACTTTATGTACGATTCGACGGTGCAAAAAATGGCGCGGGATTTCGTTCACATAACAGTTAATCAAGAAATGATGCTCCTGTATTAATGTTGAGCTCAGTGAGAACAATCGACGAAGCGTGATAGTTTGAGACATTGATCAATTATCGTGCATCAAAAACATACGCACACTTGGTGCACAAAAGTAAAAATGACACCACTCTGTTATTATAATTGTTGTGTGTGTGTGTCTGACTTGAACAAAAATGAATGTTTGTGGCCAAACGTATTTTTTCTTCATGTGAAATTCATTTAATACGCGTTGCATTCGCCATCTATGGGCATTTGATGGTATTTTTGTGTTGAAGTTAATTAGCTTTGCTTATATTTGTGAACTTTGCGACAGTAACGCCATGAAAATGAAAATCGCGTCAACTACGTCAAGACGTATACATTTGTAGTGCAGTGTATGTGTAATCTTTCATCGATTCGGCAGTGAGGAAGTGTTATTTGTGTGTTCTGTGTCGAATAAATTATTTTTTACAATTGTAAGCAAAGTTTAATCAAAATGAAAAATTTAATAAACAAAACGAATTTCCAATTGTAAAATGGTTCGGTATTTGTTGATACAAATGGTGTGCGGTATTTTTTTTTTAATTGTTGGCTCATGGAATTTAGTTTGTTGATTTGTGCAATAAAAATGATTTGAGGGTTCTCTGTCTCTCTTTCGATACATAAAATATTTTTGGATGACATATACACAAGATAAGAATAAAACATAGCTCATATCGATACACACCTTGATTATATGGGGTGAGAAAGAGAGCAAGAGCGAATGAAATGTCTATATCCTCAATGTGGCAATACCACAACTTATAATCAATACATTATGAATTGACAGAAATTTTCAATTTTACTTCATCGTCAATTTGAAAAACGATTTCAACCAATTATCATTTTGTGTTGATGAATTTATTGGCTGAACAAATGAAAGCAACAAATAAATGCTAGCAAAGAGTCGCATAAATGGACACATGTCAATAGAAACGAAATTGTTTGTGAAAATGAAATCGAGTTGATTGTTATTTGGGATGATAAACCATTTTTTTTTCGTTGGTTTCGATAATAAGCCATATATTTGATTGAGTCGCCGTTCAAATTGGATCAAAAACAACATTTCGCATATGATTTGTTAAGTCTGAACTGAAGGATGAGACATTTCCGAAACTAACAAAAATAAAAGGAAAGAACTCCTTTTGTTTCAGATCTGAAATTACTTCATTTAATTTGATTTATATGTAATGAATGAGCGAGAGAGAGAGAATAAGTTTCAACGACATGCTCAGTATGTGACACAACGAATGTGTAAGAGTGTGTATGTGTTAGCATGCAATTGGATTCTTCATTGATATTCACTCCATACACATTGATACCGCGCACTCGGTAATAAAACTTGACTCGAGCCACCGGGGTGTTTTTTTTTCTTCATTATCTTCATAATATATTCTCCAATCTTCGTTTCTCGCTCTGTCATTCGCGTTCGCATCTATTGAAGCATTTTTCGCATTCTTCTAATAGTGCGCCATACACCATACCGTAGTAAAAATGCGCATGTGAGCTACACACTCTATACCAACATGCAAAGAAGTGTAATGTACAAATGGTATTTAATATGAATATATGTTTTTTTTTTTCGGTGCGAAAAGTCGAAGGATCGTCATAGAATCAGTCTTGTTGCCGATATTGTTTTGAGTTTTGAATGCATTTGCTACATCGTGACAACTTCAAAGTGCTAAATATTTCGACAAATTATCAGTTATAAAAGCAAAAAATAAAACTTGAAAATCGGCCAATGAAAGGGAAACGATAACCAAACAAAAAAGTTGAACAAAAAAAAAACCCACTGGCGATTTATTACTGTGCCAAAATGTGGATAATACTTAAAAACGCGAAAAGAATGACGGGCAATTTATACTAACAAAAAAGTACACACGGAGGAATAAGTTTAATGAGCGAACAGTCTGTGTGGTTTTATGAAATATCGAACCAATTTGCAACTGAACATTGAATCTTAGAAGAAGAAAAAAAGAAATTAATCGAATTTATTCTAATGTTAATGTGTGCTTTTTTTCCAGTGATTTTCTTTTAATTTTCATATGTTTGTACAAATCGAGAAACAATCAAACATCGATTGAATTTGAACGTTGATCGACGGATTGCGGAGGAAAACTATAAAACAATATTGTGTTTCATTTCATGTGTGATTTGATCAAACAAAAATTCATAACGAACGACAACGCTTTCAGATTTAAGCAACAACGTTACGGGCAGCAAAAGCAGCAGCAGCAGCAGCAAGTAATAAATCCATACAGCCGATTCTGAAAGTTTCGATAGTGATATCTGGTTTCGAGACATCACGTACATACCATATACGTAATAAAGAGCTGTACTGTTCGAATTTAAAAGAAATTTACTAGAATAACAAACGCTGCTTTTGGATGCTGCTCGTGGCCACATAACAGTCGAATTGGTTGATATATTGACAAAAAAAAAATTTGTGCAAACGATCTTTCGGCAGACGACACACACACATACATACATCGAGACAACGTGTGGGACAAGAATCACTACGATGAATTGCTAATTTAATGTTAACAATTAACGCTATTATTGAGGGGATACGTTGGGAATAGACGAAAAAGGAAAACTTTAGGCGCGAAGAAGACACAAAACCATACGCCGACACATACAAGATATATCATTTAGACCATTTCAAATAGCACAATAACAGAGCAATACTCTTGACCATTTGAGGTAATTTATGTGAAACGTGTATGATTGTTTTTGTGTTTTGTTTATATCGTCGGCGATTAACGATTTTAATGATTATTATATTGGTTTCAGGAAGACGCATCGTAATCGAATTACTGTAAAACAGGTGAACTTATATCTATTTATATTCGGGACGGAACCACTGATTAAATACCAAAGCGGTAAGTGGATGAGTGAATGAACTGATAACTAATTGTTGTTACATTTATAAAATTACTAAATATTTGTCGAACGCAAAATTTTCGAATTCAAATAAGAAACATTTTTTTTTTTGCTCATTTGAAATGTTCAATCTAATATTCCAATGAGACCTTCGTTTTTATACAAAAACTTTGCCAAACATTTCCATATTCTTGTTATATTTTGTTAGAAAAAATCTTCAATTGCTTTCTCAGTGTGAGAAGAAAAAATTGTAACGATCGATAATGTTTCGAAGTAGGAAAAGATGTTACTTGCAAGGAAACATCATGTAAATTGATGGTTCCAATTTGTTCTCTTTCTTTAACAACAACCCCCCATTCCCTTATTCAAAAAAAATGCTGATGTTTGTGTTATCATTTCCTCTTTGTCTTCGCATTGTGAATAATCAATATAGTTATCCAACGTTTATTTATCCATTGAAAGTGTTGACACATTCTGTTGTTAGTTGCTGCTGATGTATTTTTTTCTCGTTCATATAGTTTCACCAAAAATCGAATTAGAAGAGTAAATAGAATATAGGCATGCAAACTTCGTCAAAACTCTATGATATATTTTCCACTTGAACAGATAAATGAAAAAAATCATAATGTAAAAACAAATAGTTCGTCCCCACTTATTTTTCCCATGTTTTGTTATGAAATGTGTTTATTGTATTTACCATCTGCGAGTGTGAATTGTCGCCAGAATCATACGCTCATTAAACTGTTGAATGAGAATAATTTGTTTTGAGTGACACATAGTTACAAGAGCGTGAGAGAGAAAGAGAAAAAAACGCGAAACGATTGTTTTTTTTTTCAATATTTCCGAATTAGAAAAATATAAGCAAAATATAAAGAAAAAAAAACTAAATAAAAAATATCAAACGGAGAGCAGATTGTGGGATTAATTTGCAAAAGAAAAATCGATGACATTCGAAATGGGCATCGTTGTTTAATGAACAGGGTTAGGCCGATTGTACCTGACCGTTACATTTTTTTTAGATGAAACAAAAAAACACAGCAACAACAACAATGCCGTTCGCGTTAATAAGAATATTTGTCATTTAAAATTGTTGCTCACGCAACCCATGAAATTATTCCGACCAAAAGCAAAAATGAACGTTACATTCAAAATAAAGTGAATGAGAGAAAAAAGGGAGAAAGAGATGCAAATAGAAAAGAAATTGTTTTTTTTCTTAAATTCTGTGTATCGCGCACACGACGGCGTTGAAGCCGCCTGTTCATATACACTCACTTGTTCATTATCCGCGCGTAGATATGTACGTCTACAACTGCACAAATTCTCGTTCAAATCAATTGAAAGAGTGTGAACGAAAGAGAGGGAGAGAGAGAGAGATAAAGTACAGAGTGTGTAACTGGAGTAGATTACTCAGAAACTACTACTGCACGCTGATTCGTCTATTGTGCTGCTTTGCATATAAAATGTAACGACGTGCGCGTGTGTGTGTGTGTTTTGCTTTTGATGTATTGGAATTGCTGTACAGAAGCAGAATACTCTCTCTATCTCTTTCACTCCGTTTGTCACACAAACGTATTATGCCATACACATCGATAATCAAGTCCGCACATACTCATATACAATATACAATTTTCAAAATGGCTGCCAAGCAATTTTTCGATACTAATTCGGTGTGAAGTGTTAAATATTTTTTTCATCGCAAAATCAAACAGGAAAATATAGATAAAAACCAAAAAAAAAGTTCTGAAAATTGTTGAGTGCGAAGCGATTGATTTGGACAAATTAAATATTTGATGTGTATTGTTTTCCGTTTATTTCATTTCGTTTATTTCGTTTTTTCGTCTAATTTATTTTTCGCGACCATCGCTTCGTGCAACAATTCTTACCGATGTAAGGGAATAGCAGAGTGAAAAAAAAACATATATATATAAAAAAAAATCGCTCCAAAGCGAGACGAGTGAGAACGAATTGAAGAAAAAATAACCAACAAAGAGTGTGTGAAAATAATAAAAAAAATATACAATTACTTGAAGTGCTCTTGTTTCGGATCAAGGAAAATAAAACAAACAAAAAAAAAAATCCTTTTTACTACAAAACTTTAGGCAAATAGAAATTCTCATAACGAGAACCCAAAATTACTACAGCCAAAGGGTGAGAAATCGACTAGAACGAACATAAAAAAAGAAATCATTCATCGCTTAGGATAAGAAAAACAAAATACAATTGGTAAATGTTCAATCATTTCGACAATTATTTCATGTTTTTTAATTTGAATTTAACTTTTGCCATTCGATTGAAAGATTGATGTGATAAATTTGGTTCGAAATCTGAAACAAATTGGAAAATCGGAAAATTTCCAAAATTATTGTTTATACAAGGAGAGGGCTAAAAAACATACATATAAAACGAGTGAATAATGTAAGTGTGAATGTTTTCGTTGTTGGATTGAAGTAAATTTATATGTGCGGCAAAGGCGCTCCAGCAATATATTCTAAACAGGTTCATTAAATTGATTTGTTGAGCATTTGCTCTCTGTGCGTTCGTACACAATACGCGATATTGAAGCAGAGTGAAGTGAGAACGATGTAGAATAAATGGAAGAAGAAGAAGCATTAGCAGTTGTAGTAGTAGCGAATGAAAAATGTAGAAGCCACTGCCCAATTTTACGTGTGTGTTATGTGAATTTGTGTATATATGAGAGAAACTGTTTAACAAGAACCGATAAAAACTATATATTTTTTTTCGTGTGACTCAATTAATTTTTTCGTAGCAAGCTATTTCTCTTTCTATCTCTCTATGACCGTTAATTCTCTTTTATTTCACTCGTATATTTTCACATGCGGAATTTTCATTTCTGGTGAAAAATTCGTGACTCCCATTTTCCGAGATGATTTCTAATGATATTGATAAGGCACCATAATTTATTGAAATTATAACATTTTCTATAGTCTCAAATCGTATCCATACCAATTTCTGTATGCTCAAGTGTTTGTTGTTTTCTACTTTTAACATAAAAATTGAGAATTTCAGATTGGTCAAAAGTTTTATTCGCTTTATCAACGTACATATTTTTTTTAAAGAAATTGTTTTGTTTATTCAATTTTACAGAGCAAAATGAACGAGTTAGACAGTTTACGACAAGAAGCCGAAACACTAAAGAATGCCATTCGCGTAAGTGTCGACTTCTATAATTGTTTTTCTTCGGATTTTTCGCACAAATAAAATTGTGATACGTGCGCTTTTGATACCGTTCAATGGCAAGCATTTTACACCAATATAAATGTACATTGGAATGGTTTCGTATGTCAAATGGTGATTCATTGGCAGCAATACGGGTGTATATTATCATAATTTTATGGATGTCATACTTGCATCATTGTGTATGCAAAACTGGCTAGTTTTTTGCATTATTTTGAATGATGCACGTATGTGCATGGGAGAAATCGGTTCGTGGTATGCAATGTGGTATTGTTGACAGTGTGAATTAATCATCGGTATGTATGTGCAATACACAAATGACATTATTTTGCTCGTTGATGAATTGCCACCGTTCAATTGCCACACCACATTCCATACATATTGAATTTGTATAAGCAAATCAATGGAAATAAACCGAAAATTATTTATGAAATAGGATGCCCGAAAGGCCGCATGTGACACAAGCTTAGTACAGGCCACTAATAATTTGGAACCTATCGGCCGCATTCAAATGCGCACGAGACGCACACTACGCGGACATTTAGCTAAAATTTATGCTATGCACTGGGGCAGCGATTCAAGAAATTTAGTATCAGCTTCTCAAGATGGAAAATTAATCGTTTGGGATTCACATACCACAAACAAGGTAAGTGTACCACATTTACGGCTATACTTTCCATTGAAATGTATTCCAATCGAAGTACTTTACTTATAATCAAAATGATTTTTTTTACAACATTTGATATTAATTTGTTGTAATGTTACAATGATAGGTGCATGCAATTCCGTTGCGTTCATCATGGGTTATGACTTGTGCGTACGCTCCATCTGGCAGTTACGTAGCTTGTGGTGGCCTCGACAATATATGTTCAATTTATAGTTTAAAAACCCGTGAAGGTAATGTGCGAGTTTCACGTGAATTACCTGGGCACACAGGCTATCTCTCATGTTGTCGATTCTTGGACGATAATCAGGTAAACAAATTCGTGATAAATGTCACATTTTTATTCATTTTCAAGAATTTAAAAATAAAAAATATCGTGTACGCACGTTATCCAAATTATAGATAGTAACAAGTTCCGGTGACATGTCCTGCGGTTTATGGGACATTGAAACTGGTCAACAAGTGACATCATTCATGGGACACACTGGAGATGTGATGGCATTATCATTATCACCACATTGTAAAGCATTTGTTTCAGGGGCATGTGACGCATCAGCCAAATTATGGGACATTCGAGAAGGTCAATGTAAACAAACTTTCCCAGGACATGAAAGCGATATTAATGCAGTAACGGTGAGTCAAATTGCCATTTAGTTTTGGGCAGGCGTTTGACTTTATTTTCTTTGCTTTTTTGCTAATAAACATTTTTCTCCACTTGTACAGTTTTTCCCGAACGGTTTCGCCTTTGCAACTGGATCCGATGATGCAACTTGTCGTCTATTTGATATTCGAGCTGATCAAGAATTGGCTATGTATTCACATGATAATATTATTTGCGGTATTACATCGGTAGCATTTTCGAAAAGTGGTCGACTTTTATTGGCCGGCTACGATGACTTTAACTGTAATGTTTGGGATACTATGAAAGCAGAACGTGCAGGTATGTAACTAAAATGATTTTTTTATAAATAAAAAATAGCTGAAGCACAAAATTCATGATTTTTTTCCAAATTACCGCAATAAAAAAAAAATCGTGCCGAGTTTTGTTGTGAACTAACTCAATTGATTGGGCGTAGTCATTAACAAAACCGAATTCCAAATGCATTTTCTAGTTTTTCATTCCATTTTCATAAGCGAATCGTAATTTTTTTAGAACGAATAAGCAGATTTTTTTTAACCCCTTTTCAATGTAATTGAATCAACAGGCATTTTAGCTGGTCATGATAATCGTGTATCCTGTCTGGGAGTTACTGAGAATGGAATGGCAGTAGCGACAGGATCATGGGACTCATTCTTGCGAGTGTGGAACTAAGTCTAATCGAGAAAAGTCGCTGCATTTATCAGCACAGAAAAGAAGATGGAATGAGAAAAAAAAATATAAAAAACACAAACAAAAATACACAAACACAAAAACATATTGAGAAAAAAATGCAAGAAAATTCTATACATATTAAATTTAATTTAAACTCTAAGAAATTGAATGATAAGAAAAAAAAAACAAACCAATTCAGAAATATTATGTTCATAACGTTTAAAGAAGAAGAAAAAAACACACACACACACACAAACAATTGGTATATAACAATGATATATCTGTATGGAACAGAAAAACAACAAAAAAATATAAGCAGAAACTACAAAAAGAGAAATGTTTATACAAACAGTTAACTGATAGCGCCAACAAAACGAAAATCAAAATCAATCTATGAGATTGATAATTTACCGCGATGATGGAAAAACCAATGAACGAGATGGAGTTGAAATGAGCACTTTTAAAAACATGCATTTGATTGTCGTTCGGTAATGGTCGTTTTTACCGGGCCGCATCAAGCCAATACAATTTGGATCAAAATGATTTAAAAAAAACCCGAACGAAGAAACAAAATGAGTGTTTCGAATATATTTGAAATGAAAAAAAAAATTTAGATTTTAAGTCATTTTGTGGCATACGAGCAAACGCAATGCTTGATTGCACGTATTTTCGGTATTTAATTTTCGAGTGTCACAACAAAATGATCCAATCTCTAAAATTTAATCTATTTCACAGAAATGAATGCAATTGTTTAGCAAAAATAAACAAAAGTTTAGATCTCGAAGGCAAAATATCTCTCGAATTGTTTTCTCAGTATGCTTGTTGCGATTGCACGCAACAACAGAAGCAGCAACAGCAAAAATAAAGAGCATCCGAATGCAGGTGTGTGTGTAGCGAAGTTTAATGACTACTCTCCGATGCCCATTCTCGTTGCTTACATTTTGCCTTTCCAAGTCACCAAAAAAAAAAGTTATTTTGTGCATATTTCTCTCTATCTCAGGGTCACAATCAGGGCATATGTTTTCATAATTTAATTTCAAACGCATACACATCTATACATTCAAAAGAATTAAACAAACACTCTCTCATTGGTCGGAATGTCTAGCAGATTCATTTCATCATTCCATCAGCGCGGTATATTAAACATACAGATATATAATTTAATACAAAAAGAAAAGATACAGTTTTCAAAGAGAAAAACATTATAGTTGATTTGAAGAAGAAAGAAAGATAGATTAAAAAAAAAAAACGTTTTTTTTTCTTCGCGTAAATTTCGGCATAAGTTCATGTTATGCCTCAATTTTGGTGCGTTTTTGTTTTGTTTTATGACGTTATTCTAAAAGCAAAAAAAAAGAATCAATTTTGAGGATCGCTGTTGGTTGAACTGTGCGTTTTCTATAATCATTGTTTGCTATTTAACAAAAAAAAAAACTTTTTCAAAATATTTATGATCATTATATGTGTCATCTTAATTTATTTGAATTAAGGAAGTGTAAAGTTAAAAGATGAAAAAAAATACAACCAATTCAAAATCACTTAACCAAGTCACATACACACAAGCAAATAATCGCTTCATTCGTTATTCACCGAATTCTCACGCAACAAATTAAATTGAAAATGTGAAAACAAAATATGTTTCTTGCAACCCAAAAAAAGAGAACAAGAAAGAAAATATATGCAAACGCACACACTGACTAAAAAAGTGAAATACTAAAGCCATGAGAGAATCGCAGAAAATATTGTTTTTGCATCAAAATAGATTTGCTAATTTTTCTTACATTTTCTTTTCTTCTACTCTGTTTCATTTTCAACGTAAATTTGTCGAGCACTTTTCTTTTTGAGATGCTTTCATTATTCAATGTTAATAATTATATGTTTGATGTTTATTTTTATTTTTTTTTAGTTTAAATTTCTTAGTCTAAATATTTCTTTTGTCAAGAGAAAGCAAAAGAGAGAGCAAGAGAAAGCCAGAGGGGAAGAGAAAAGAGAGAGACAGACGTACGGAGAATACCCATTTTTCCGCCATTTAAAAAAACAATTTATTTATTTTATTTTAGTTTTAGTTTCAAATTCAATTATATAGCAAGTGAAAAACGATTTGAAAAATGTAATTTTTAGTGGTTTTATTCTCAATTCGCCTACTTCACTACATCCGTTTGTGCACGGTTTTTTGGTATTTTTTTAAAAAATGACTTCATTCGTATTTCTGAACTCTGGAAGCAACACCTGCTAAAAACGTTGTTTTTGTTGCGGTTTCATTTTATTCCCATTTATCTGAAGAAAAAAAAAATGGAAAAAAACTTCATCAACGGCAGGGAATATGCTTGATTTAAGTTGCTTTTGATTGTATCGATAACTCAAATTGCCAGTTATTCAAAAATTAACATTGTGAGGCGCTTTCTTTCATATATTTTTTTTCTTTTTACAAAGAGTAAAATACTTACAATTTTTCTATTGTCTCTCTAATAAATATTTTGAAACAGGTGACGGTAGCTTTTATTCACGCACATTGATACTCCGGAAGATTGACATAAAAACAATTTACAAATAATAAAACGGCAATCACAAGCAGTAACTATTAATAGTTGCTCCCATCTATTGCTATAAATTTCAAAATGAGCCACAAAATCTTATTCATTCAATTAAATCTCCTAAATTGAATGGGTCGACATTTTGCTGTGTGATAAATAATAATATTATGAGCCAACAAAAAAACATTCTACTTATATTCAGAAGGAAAAACTAAACAAACACCTGCACAGAAAGAGAAAGAGAGACAAAATCTATAGTAAAATCATTCGATTTTGTTCGTTGATTTCAATGTTTATTCGTCTTATATTTATGTTGTAGTGAGTGTGTGGATTTTTTTCACATTTTTTTTTTATTGAGGAATGAAGAATGCTTCATAAGGTTTGAGTAGGATCATGCAAAACCAAAACCAACACACAAACAAACAAACAGAAAACAATTTAAACTATTTAATACGATAGACTTTATATACAATCACTAAACTGCTTCAAAAGAAAAATGAGAGAAAGGAAGCGGGGTAAAAATGATCGCAAGGTGTTCATTTGCAATGAATTCAATTGCAAACTAACAAAAAAAAGACCAATATATTTGAAATCAGTTGAATTTAGTTCATGCTTCAAATCTCGATTTTTTTCAATACTAACGATCTAGAGAATAAATCATCTCAAATCATCTCGTCACATCAAACATTTACCACAACAACACACACATACACACACACAAAAAGCGTATAATTCGTGAGAAACATCTTTCAAAACAACAACAAAAATAAAATAGTCTCTGTTTCTTGGTCGATAAATGCAGCAAATTTATCGAATTTGAACAAAACCAAACCAAACAAAAACAATTCAAGTGGGACAAACGTTGCTGATAATAATGAACATGAACAAAAAAAAAACACACACACGATTTGAAACTAGCGATATATGCAATTCGATTCGTGTTTTTGTCGAATGAATTTATGCGTATGAGTTATGCAGCGATATTGCAGGGAATATTCATGGCCGAAGATGGTTCTACATTTTCTACATGTTCTTCACTCCAAGCAATTAACTCCAAAGTATTTTGGAGGCGCGAGCTTCATTGCTCACAGTTTAAATCCATTTCAAAGCACATATCGAGTACCATTTATCACTGACAAAACGCTAGGGGCACATATAATTATTCTTCGAGTATAGCATTTTTAGATAAATGAATCCAAAATAAAGTAAATTAATGGTTTACATTTAAACAGGAACAAAATAACAAAGCAAACAGAAGATCAGAATTACAACGGGGTGCAAAGTTTACATAAACGAGGCGTGCATTGGTCACAGTCAAATGAAACACATAATGCCCAAAACGACATAATGGAAATACAAACTTACACATTAAACATCAAAACACTTCTACTTTTTTATGAAAAAAAAAAAAAAAAACAAACAAAACTAACAAAAAACGTGCACATTTCGTTCATCAAATTATTCGCAAAATACGATGGATGTCGAATGTCGCCTCTGTTGTGACTGAGCCTCAATAGTTTAAAACCAACAAAAAAACAAAGAAACAAGAACTAATGTAATATTGAATATAAAAAAAATAATAATAATTTTTAAAAAAAATGAAATTGAAGCAAAAGTGAAAAACGTGGAGCATAAATTTAGAAGAATAAATTATAACAAATTTTGTATTTCTTATTTAGTACTTGAAAAAAAAAAAACATGATGAAAATGAAAAAGCAGCCAACAAAATTAACAAATATTTAAAAAAAATGACAAAATGGAAATAGAAAATGAATTCTATTCAATAAGTAGTGAAATGTATTTTATAAAATACAAAATTACCAACAACTGAAACAAAACATTTTTGCATACATTCAAACGACTTCACGAATGTTGTTTTGACATTTTGTACAGTCATTTGTAATTGCAAACAAACTATTTACTAGTTCCACACACACACACACACATACACAACACACATTTAATAAATCCATAAATGAACAAAATAATATTAACACTATGTGCAAGATAAATATGAAAACAAATTTATGAAATTAATCATTTAATCTCTCTCTGATTACATTTATTACAATCGTGTATGTGTAACAGAGGGCATGTGTTTTATATATTTTTTTTGGTCTGGCACACATTCAACGCAACAATATTCCATATATTTCAGTCATTCACTCACTTTAATCAAACGCATACGGTGTAGTCAATTGTCGAGGACGACAATTTTATGCGTTTGATAGTCTCACCGGTTTCTGGCCCAAATTATTTTTTTATATCCACAAACAAACAATCAGCTAACGCTTACATTTTATAACCATATAAATCAACCGCAAAACAACAAACTGATAATGTGTTTGCACAAAAACGACAAAGATATACAAAAAACGTTGTGATTTGATTGTCATTCATATTTAAACATTTTTTTTTAAAAGAAGCAAAACTCTTATCAAATTGCACGTGTGTATCACATGCAAATAAATGTATGTATAGCATTTAAAAAAGTGAGATGAAAAATGTGCACTTTCTTTGAATTCAAATTCCAAAATAATTCATGAGTACGTTTTCATTTCGTTCAGAGGAAAATGGATAAAGAGAGTGATTTTCTATTTCAATCGATATTCAATTTTCATTGCCAAAAAGACATCTAATTAGATGGTTTTTCATTGAGCATTTTTCTGTCGATGCATTTTTCCAATCTGAAATAACACAAGATTCTTTTCGCCAAGTCATTACGGGACTGTCCCGTCAAAAAAAAAACGATCAATTTTTAAACATCAAATGAAATCAATTTCTTAATTATGGCAACAATAACAAAAGATTTTATGACACAATCAATTTCCGTATGCATGTATTTTTCACAATTCAACATAAACTACTCCCGATACGGTGTTGAAATGAATGAATGGCGAAATTTAAATGCCAAGAAAATCGAAGCAATCAGTTTTGAAATGGTAACAGTCGATATATACATATTACATTTATACACGAACAAGATACCGAAATAATATGGCAAGTTATATAGATAAAAAAAATATGCAGGAATATAAGACACTCACACTACTAAATAGATTTGTGATTCCATTCAACAAAAAAAAAAACAAATTGTTTTGCATTCCAGTTGTAAAACTTGACCAATTTCGTTTTTTTTATAAAAAAAAGTCGTCAAAACTTGCGGCCATCAATCAACTGCTTCAGTATTTTAATTATTGTTATTCTATAACAAATAATCTCCATCCGATTCTCATTCATTTCACAAATTTGCACAAAATTCTCAAATGTCTATAGCAGATCAAATATATAGATATATCTTTTTGGGTTAGAATCAAATAATGCCGATTTTTTCATACCGTTTTTGTCTACAGTACAAAATAGAGTTCTTCTTCGTGAATAACAAAAAAATAAACTAATCATCCAAAACAAAAAAATAATAATAGCATTTATAATGTTAAGGGAAAGACGGGAAAATCAAACCAACCAGAAAAAAATAATAATAATCAGTAATTATAAAATAATGAAGCAAGATTAAATTAGACAAAATGAAATAGGTTGTGTTCAAAATCCAAAAAGAGAAGAAAACACATTACTTTCGCCGATCAGTGAACGCATAAAATAAATCCTTTATAATTAGTTTAAGATGAATTCTCAAATCAAATTGGATCACACACGCAATATAATTCTTATCACCAGCGATGGTATTTTACGATACACATACTCACACAATTTTGGCCACATGTTTTACACACAAAATTGAACAGATCAATCGGACTGTAGAAAATTTGTCTCTTTAAAAACAAAAACAATTTTAAACGATTTCATCTCGTGTTTACTGTAGCGGATAAATCGCTTCTCTTTTTTCTTCACATCATTCTCCTTCGTTCGTTTTTTTTTCGTTACATTCATTATATTTTTAAATGATGAAAAATCCCGCAGGCAAATTTGTATTCATCGATAATCTCCCCTCTCCATTTACCTCCAAAAAAAGCAAGAAAAAATGCGAATTTCGACGTGTCCAAGAGTTTAAACACAGCGTCTTTGAATTCAAAATATATTCATTTCAAAACCACCCTGTATATATTTATATATATAATGAAATATTGAATAACGATACACACAAACACAACAAAAAAAACGAGTGATAAAAAATTATTTTAAAAAAACATAAAATGATTTTTTAAAGTCTTTTTTTTTCTCAAATTACACGATTGAAGATAAAAGCAAAAACTCTTATAAAAAAGGCAACAGTGAACTACATTCATTTTTCACATCACACCACAAAATCACTTGCAATCATTATTAAATAAATGCAACAAAGTAAAAGAAAAAAATTAACAAAAAAAAAATGAATTTTTTTAAGTGAACATTTACACAAGAACACAAAATTCACGCAAAGAAAAATGAGAACAAATTAATAAAAACAAAAAAAAAACATATTTATAATATAAAAAACAAAATTAGCATTAGTAATTAAACTAAAGTATAGAACGAATTCATCATTTCACAAGTATGCAGATGAAGAAAAAAAACAATGTTTTTGGTTTTTTTTTTTCAAGCGACTCAAAACTCCAAAACTCACTTACATTCAAACGAAGAAGAAAAAAGATGGAACCAGTTGCCACAAATTGCCATTAATTATTATCCAATAGTGTAGTAGATGCTCTTCAACGCACACAACAAGTGATTGAAGAAATCTACATCGGATTTTTTTTGTGCGAAATGTGTTCGAGAAAAATGAAAAAAAAAAAAAAAAAATATTTTGAGCCAGCAGCCTTTGTGTCTTCTCAAATAGTTTCAATTTTGTCTGTTGTGATGTGCTCAAAACACATTTTTCTACACCATGGAATATTCGTGTTCAAGTAAAAAAAAAACAGCGAAAAACAAACAAGAATCGTTCCTGTGTTAGATTCAGACGCACCTTCAAAAATGAACAATACAAAAACAACAACTACCAATAACATTTAAATACACAAATACACAACAAAACCCAAAGGACTTAAGTTTCGATACTTCATAAGTAGATCATCAAAAGTCATCAATTAAAAGCAAACAAAAAAAGAAACTGATAACAATAAATTGACAAAAAAAAAAAACAACATATTGATAACATAGTGACCGATTGAGCTGAGAGGGTTTGATCGATCGACAGTGGTACAAATGTGCCATATTACATTCGAACGTAGTTATATCAACGAACTAAGATTAAATTCTGCACAAAAGTGTGCGGTACGAAGCCAAAGGCTTCATAACACACAATCAACTAAACAAACAAAACAAAACTTCTAAACAACACGTTTGTGGCACTGCCGGTTCGTCCACCGCTCAGCCCAATCAAATGTCCAAAACGAGAAAAATAAATTGATTTAATGAATGGTGAAACAAAAACAAAAAAAAACATAAAAAGTAGAATCTCACGTCATTTTTTAAATTCGACTGCAAAAATCGCATAATACATAACTAAACAATTTATTACAATTTGCTATTATCTGTTTATAAACGATTAATTGAATGAAATGAGGATTGCAACAATTGAAAAGCAAAATAAATAAATAAAAATGAAAAAAAAAACATCAACTCTCATAAGGAACCTAGAGTTAAAACATGATACCAAAGTCACAGAAAAAACCTACAAAAATTATATATGATTAAAAAAAAAGTGAAGAAGAAAAGCAAAAAAACATCATGTCAACAATATGGATTCATAAACTTAAGTTTGTCATTTAAATGTTGAGATTAAACAACAACCGCAACTAGATACATTATTAATATAAAAAAATAAATATGTAATTGTGTAACTGATAAAAAAATAGATTGAGCATTTTTATTTCAGCGTTCATTTGCCTGTCTTCCCATTTTTCGCATATACACATTTCCATTTTGATTTTATCGATTTTTTTTATCGTGAAAGCAGCCATACAGTTATGACTCATATTCTAGCGAAATGCTGTACTTGTTTTCTCTCACTAAAGTTTCATGCATTTTCTCCCACTCTTTTAAGGTGTGGTTCGTTGGGCACTTTTCATGTGGCTTTCATATTTTCCGGAAAATTTAGCTTTTGCCAACTAACTTTCGTCACTGGTTTTTATATGACATTTTAGATGGCGCTTTGACAAATAAATCAATTGACCGCATTTATGGAAAAAGCTATTCCACACGAAGTAAGTTTTCCCAAACATGTTCCTTTATAAAACAAGTGGTAGATTAAAGGGACGTTTTATGGCGTGCTTTTCTTTATTGGAAGATTCAAATTGTGGACATTCATTGTTAAAAATATATAATATATTTATGTTATTCAGCAAGCTTTTTGATACTCTCCAAAACTTGAACCATCTTTTCATAGAATTAGAAGCAAAGTTTTATTTTTTATTCGAAGCTGGATACGTGCTAAAAAAGTACTCTTAATCTATTGAAAATTGTGGTATTTCAATGTTTCATCTAAAATAATGTTTTCAAAATCGCTACACATGTTTGCATATTAAGTGGGTAATGCTTCCAACCGTTGGAACCTTTGATGTTCGAGCATTTTTCATTAAACATATCTATATTATTTGATCGCTGGGTGATAATAAAAAACAGTCTCTTTCAATGATACTATCATACACTTGAGAGTTCTAAAAGAATAACGAAATTTAATTCATACATTGTTGGTTTTGTATCAATTCAAATACATACAAAGACAAAAGCGACTGGATCCATTACTGGATGAATGCAGAGGATAGTCAAATTTCTCGTATTGACCAGAACTAAATGATACAAATAGAAGCACGACGAACTGTAACAAGTTTTAAAAAAACTGACGCATATTTCGACGACAGTTCCAACAGCTGAAAAGCCAACAATCTGGTCGTGGCGACTAACGGCCAGACCAATGGCAGGAAAGAATTGAATGTACTCATGCATTTTGGAGGAATTGATTTTTTTTTCACTAAAACTAAACAGTTATTGCGATTTGAATGCTTTTGAAAAAAAAAAAAACAGTTCAAAAGTGGTAGAGATTGCAGCTGAAGAAATTTGAACAAAGAATGAAGAAAACAACATTCAAAACATTAATCACACTAAAAAGACACCATTTAAATCATTGCAGACTGAAAATTTCAGGGGGGTGCAATCAAAATTTCTTTAATTTTGTAAAGCGGTAATTGAAATTTTTAAAAAATTGTAGGGGGTAACAGACACTTTCAAACAAATCATCATGCAAACAATTGAATTCAAAGATAATCGAGGTTTTTATTTGCGCGTGTCTCTTTCCAGTTAGTTCTTTTTTACTTACTTCGATCTATAGAATTTTTAAGACAATTTATGATGGGAAATCCAAAAAAATTTAAGGGGGTAGTTGAAATGCCATCTAATTTGTAAAGGGGTAATGCAAAAAACTTGATGTCTCAGGAAGGGACATTATTACCCCCCTCCCTCTGATTTAAATACCGATAAAAATGTTTTTATATCTTTTTATAAGGAGCCTATTAAGAATCTATGTGATTAACGGAACTTTTATTTGATTAAAAACACACATTTATGACATGCCACTATGCGTGAATACAATCAACATTCCGTAAATCTATATTCACTGTAGTTAAAATAAAATGGGGTTCAACGTATACATACTCGGAAAATTCGCGGTGCATTAGCAAAATGTTTCTTAATTTAGCTTTAACGAACAACAGGTTCTCACGCAAGAATTTCTTTCTTCACAGAGAAGAAGTGATTCTCTCAGCATTTCTTTAAGTTTACTTAAATTTTCGTTGAAAATGTTCGAAGAATTATCACGCAAGAACTATCTCGCCGAGAAAATAGTACGAATACATCGGAATAATGAAATAGAAGGCACCAGCAAGGCAATGCAGTACCACGGAATACAGTATTCTTACCAGGGGTTCAATTACACTCATATCCTGAGAAGTGGTTTTGAAATACTTTTAAAAATTTATGCTCTTTTGTCAAAGACGAGTTTTACAAGATTTTTTGAAATTTCTTTCATTTTGTTTATCGAAATGTTCCAATAGGTATCTGATAATTTCATCTGTGCGATCCAGCTGACGGTATTTCCATGTTTTCCTAAAAAATCTACTTACAAATTGCCGATAATACAAAGTTTCCCAAATGTATTGCAAATAGTGCTGATGGCATTTTATAACAGAAAAATCTGAATAGTGTTTCTCACTAACATACAAGTTTGTTAACGTTACAACGAACAACCGTAGTCAAGTTATGCATGTAGTTCCTGACCATAGACACGCAATTGTTAACTGAAACTGTAACACATAACAGAATAGAGCTTGAAATGGGCCACATACAAAAACTCATATCATCTGTTATTGGATGTCAATGGACACCATATTCCGGACAAAAAGAAAAGAACATGCCAATATGAGCATGCGCGTTCACCTGTTTTCCCTTTATACATAGTCTAACATGGTGAAAAAGGCCTAACATTCTACGAGTTTAATGTAATATTCAACATTTCAAGCTGTACATTTTTAATTCAAATTATCAAATACAATTTTAAATCAACTTTTCAAAATAACTCGAACCATATCTTTGAAATTTTATTAACTATATCCTTCATTTGAAAAGCTTAAAAGCTTATGGCAATTCTCCTTAAGCTCAATCCAATGCTGTATTCGTGCATGGACCCATTATGTCTACTTATTTATTTGTCAAACATAATGTTATTCACCCCATTTGTTTATTTTCTGTTTTTACACTTTTCATATGCTGTTTTATTATAAATTCAAGCGACAAGCCAATGGTGCAATCAGTTGTATGAGTAAATTGTGACTTGAAGGACATCAAAAACTGTGCTACGCTTTTAAAATGTTTCAAATATTTCGAGCATGAATATAAGTTGAGGTGTTGTTTATTAATCTACATTTGAGTTCCGTTGTTGTTAATTTTATTGTAAATTAGTTAATTAATTTAAATATTATATTTGAGTTTTTTTGTCGTGAAACAATGAAAAAATTTTTTACCAATGTAACATTCGACGGAAATAAGTACATAGTCGCGTCCAAAGATTTTATTTTCTGAAAATGGGTGCCTCTGTATAGTGTAAATAGAAAATTACCATTTTGTCTTAACATTTTACAATTTAAAAATCCAGATCTAGAAAAAATATCGATGAAATACGATAAAAATAATTTTGTTAGGTAAAAAGCGTATGCTTTTGAATTGAGTTAAAAAAACAACAACAAATATAAATCGAATTTGCATGTGAATGATGATAAAAAAAGAGGCTGTAAAAATAATACTTATGTATTACAGCAGTAACATGAATTAAACATTGTGCCCCATTTATTTCGAACAATAATTTGATAAACACCATTCGGCTTGATTGTTTGACATGATTCACGGATCTATGAAGTACATTCAAATCAGAGTATTGAAGTAAGTATAATTGTATATTAGTGAGAGAAAATTATTATTATTATTCTTTACCCAAAGCGTTTCTTTACCGAAAGTTATTCTTTTTTGAATCAATTGAAAATAGTTGGGAAAAATAGTTTAATATAATCTTCTATATTTATAAAAGCTTTCAATTCTGCTTTTTTGCAACAAAAAAAATCAATATACGAAGTAAGGATATAATTTATTGGCTTGTATTTTGTATAATCATTTCTTCTTGTTAGTAAATTTAATAGTGGCCGCGGAAATCTATCATCAACTGAAACATGATGATAAAGACAGATCGAAATATGAGTTGATTTGATACCACCACGTATAATTTTAAAGATGAATGAAATTTGTGAAATCTTGCGTTTTTTCTCAAATATAATCATCGGCACCAATATGTGTTGTCTATATTCGTATTTTGGCAGTAAACACAAAATACAGAGAAGAATTTCTCTGTCTCTGTTTCTTTCAGTCAAAATATCATTTTGGTGCAAAATACACTGAAAACACCATGGAAGGCTATTCAAATTTAGCAATCTGAACTATTTACCGTTGAAACTGATATAGTTTCAAAAAAATTCAATAAGCCTCAAAAATCGACTTTTCAATTTTATTTTTATTTTTATGTTTAAAAGAAATACCACCGAACTTATTATATACTAATAAGATTAAAAAAAAACATTTTTAACAACTTCATTTCTAAAAGTCATCTAGATTTCACAAAGTAACCAAACCAACCCCACGAACACATTCTTTCAATCTTTTATCCATAGAAAAGATGTGTGTGGAATCAATCATCGTTATTCAATTTGGCACACATTATTACAACAGATACCAATGGTTACGATGGTGAGAGGGCCAGTCCATTCCCATCAGTCCAAGAAGAATGTTTCAAGAATAAGTGTTGGTCCCAATTTTTGTAATTTATTTTTCATTATTCTTGACTAGTCGGCATTTTTTGTATGGCGAAGATTATCTATAACATTTACAATGAAAAAATTCCTCCTCAAACCCCTTCCTACACCAAAGCTGTTTTAAGAAGCACTATCGATTGATAACATTACTTTTCCCCCTTCAACCTCTCTTAACTCCCAAATGGGTGCATTTTAGCATATGTGATGATGAGAAAACGCAGAAAGGGAGATCGAGGTCGCGGCTACCCAACATAATAATATCAAATAAAAAAACCTTTATCGAGGTGAAAATTTCTGATAACATTTTTGTGATGAAAATAGTCAGTAGAATCTTTTTTTGTGTACTTACTGTTATAAAAACTTACATGCATTTCTTTTTTACCTCGGTAAAGTTTTTTTTTTAATTTGATATCAATGATTTGGTGAGAGATATTTTCCAAATTAAAAATTCAAATACAATGAAAATATGATTATGTCTCATAATGAAACGGCCAATTTTTAGCGGTGTGTGGGATGCACATTTTTTTATCTGAAACTTGGGGCTTAAATCAGTGAAATTTTGAAAGGAAACTATTGACCCTGTTTCAAGAAATGTCCATTATGTTTCCGGGCCGACTGCCACTTTTTGATTTTTTGCCAATTTGGTCACATCAACTTAAAAAATTCAAGTCGCATCGTTAAATTTAGTTCAAGACCTTTCCAACAATATGCGCATGGGTTAAGTGGAGGCGTCTCGGTGACCGTAGAGAAAAGTAAAAAATGACATTTCGACATTTAAGGTATCGTTGGAAGGGTATTAATTTCTAGAATCAGAATATCGATGTTTCAGGTGTCAACAACTTAATTAAGCGCACCTATGGTCGTAAAAATGATTTTTTTAAGGATCATATTTTTTAGACAAGTGGACCGATTTCCAAACGTCAATGATTTGTCTTAATCGATGGCCCAAGGGTTTTTCAACCATTCTAGGCTTAGATTTTGGATATTTCGTGTCGACTTTTACACATTAGCATGGTTTTGTTACTCACGTGAACTACCGCCCGTTGTAATTGTCACTTTATATCTACAACTTTAGTTAGTTTTTTTTTAATTTGACCCTCTATCGCCAGTATTACAGCCCTTCAATGGGGCTGGAATAATTTTTTTGAAGTTTTATCTATGGAGTAGTTCGAGAGTATGAACAAAATACTATTTAGAAGATGCAGACCAACATTTGTCTTGAATCGGCCAATATAAAAATCGAAATATGTAAAATCATCACCAAAACTGGGGTTCATCGGATGATATTCACTAAATATAACTAGGGTGGATTTTTATCTTCTTTGCAATATAAATGGTCTGGAAAATTTTCAATAAACCAATACATTTAAACAATTCTACTACTACTGTTTTTTGTGTGTATTTAATCTGATTATATCAGAAAAAGATGTTAAAATAAGAAAACAAAATTTGTTAATTCTTTATTTGCATTCCTTTATATTATAAAAATATTATATATATATATATATATTTATGTATATATTTAAATAGTAGTACATTGTGCGTATATCTCATAATTTTTTTCTTTTGAATCTTCATTCTAACAAAAATTGAATTTGAAAAATCAAAATTTCAATTGAGCACATCTTTCATAATTAGTTCTGTAATACTTATTTGTTTATTTTTTGCGAGTTTTGCATTTGTTGAATAAGACTGAAAAGTGTTGTTTTTTGAATGGAAAACATTTGCTACAAAATCCAAGAAACAGTAGTTGACAGATAGAACAGAGAATTAAAAAGAAAAAAAAAAACACAAAACATTCAATAATAATGGAATTCGATAAATTTGAAATATTTGTCTTATTGTTGTTCCATTTCTGTTGTTTTTTTGCTGTGGATAATATTAATTACTATCTTTTTGAATAGCTTCGGATGACGACGGCCATAACGATACTGAAAAGAAAATAAAATTAGATAATGGATTATTTTGACATTTTTTGTACATAAAATTATTTTAGAAATGAATCAAGATTGAATGCCCTTGACCATACACTTGATGCTAACATGTATTACTTTGTTTTTGCACATGGAATTATGATTATTTTCACTCTATACTTACCAACTATAATGATGATGAGAACAACACCAATGCAACCCATGATAATCATCATTTTCATGTTCGCCCACCATTGTTTTCGTTTCAATTTGCCAGCTTGCTGTTCGAATTGCGATGCACCGTGTTGTAAGGCGTCAGCTCGTTGATCCAGTTCCGTTAATTTTTGGTCACGTTCCAATACTTTTTCCACATTAACACGCATTATGCCAACCACCTCGTCGACCTGAGCCTGTGTCTGTTGCAATCGTTTTTGCGATGGATTTTGGCCGCCAATCGTGCTGCTATTGGGTGGCGGTGGCAATGTAGGAATACTGATTCAATTAATTTTATTTAAAATTTGTTTCTTTTTTTCGTTCGGTTAATATGAGTAAATTAAACAGATAACACAATTACTCAACAAGATCAAAAATCAGTGATCAGTGTGTGTATCAACAGAATATACTAAACATAGAATTTGAAAGATAATTTACTTAAACAACTTCTTCAACGTTCAGTTGATGTTTTCTACAGTGGCATAAAATTCTTCAAATTAATAACATTCTATCAGAAATTTTACGATATTTTTTAACACAGAAACTGATTACAGTGTTTTACTCAAATATGTTACGGATGGTAAAGAACTGTCTAAAATTGGGAAGTTTTGAATGAAGCGGCAAAAAAGTGAGAATTCACGCTTATACAAAAATGGAAACATAATAACTGATAAAAATTGCGGAAGCAAAAAGTTGAAAACTACATGTTATAAATGGAGGATAAAAAAAAATACGACAAGTGTGGAAGACATCACGATGATAAAATAACAACAGAAGAGATTTTTTACCAACTTTTACAATAAATGTGCTTGAAATGTGAACAACAATGTTGGCAACGGGAATGGAAATACTGTACGGCAATATTAATAGAATGCAAACAATGTAGAGAAGGGTGAACTGTAGAATATAAGCAAGATAAGAAAAACCCAAAGAAATGTCAACGGTTGCAATTAAGAATTAAGTTATGCAAATTTTAAACTGTGCATAATACAAGAACTTTTTTATAAAAGTTTTCTACGAATCCGAACATATACAGCATTTGTTGCTATCAAGATGAAGATAGATTTGTGTGTTTCTTTTTGTTTCAACAATTTTTCTTACTACAAAGAGCATGTCACTCTGTTACAAGAATATTAAACAATCTTTAGCAAAAAAAAGTAGTTTCCATATAACTGAATCTGCAATTAATCTATGTTATATCATCGGAAACTGTGCACTATCTCTTCTCCAATTTATTGGAATAAGAAGAGGAAGTTAGTTATAATTCTTCAACGAGGAGTGTGGCACATTTGGTAAAATTTTATTTCTTCATTTCATTCAATTCGAAATATTCATTATATATAGCTCCCCAATGATGTCGTACTTGAAAAAGAGATGATTTATTTAAAAGACAAATTATTTGTCAACAGATTACTTATATGACAGTATGCATTTTATTCAATGATGAAATTGTTAAAGTGAAAATGAAAAATGCAATTGAAACTTTGTTACTTACTTCGTTTCATTTGATCCAGAGGGTTTCGACATTGTGTTGGCTTCTGGTGAAAAAATGAAAATGAAAAAAAATAATTAGAATATGAGCTTCTTTTTTGGATAAATGTTTATGTGAACACGTTAATCGAAAGTCATCATTATGTATCATTTGTGGACATCATTTGTTGTTGACAAAGAGTCGGTTTTATTTAGTCTGTATTTCTTTATGTTATTTATATCGGCGTTTCTTTTTTATTCTTTTGTAACATTTCTATCAGAAAAAAATGGATAAGTAATGAATTTATCAAATTGCATGTCAACAACAAAAATCGATTGATTGAAAATGCATATTCAATTTTTTTAAAATAAATTTACTATAAAACTCAAGCACTGACATGTTATTAACAGACGACAAAACTATAAGTAAAATATGTTTCTTTTTTTTTTACAGAAAAGTGACAACGGAATGCAAACAGTAAAATAAAATCAATTTATTGACGAGGTATTTTGCACCTTTTTCTTTTTTCGTTTATTAATTAGTAAATATTTTGAAGTTTAATTGTTGTTTAATCGTTTTTTCTTTGTTTGTAAAAGATATTTATGAAAATTAAATGACTTATCGCTCAACTTGCGTTCATGCCAAACAAAAGAAGGCAAATAAACAAGGTACTCTTTCATCTGTCAGTATTTATCCACATGAGAACTTTTTGACTATTTTGAAGTTTTGACTTGACTCCGAATTCGAATTTGTTAATAATAATTTGACATATAATCAATTTGGAACAGTACCTAGGTACGCAGTTCAAGAAAATGAATTTAGCACGAAAACCTACATTCATTCACTATTTTACACTGCCAGACTGTATTAAATGTAATTTTCTTACCGAACAATATTCAATGAAAATAATTTCTACGTTGTAGTTATCACAAAAATAGCACAAATACAATTCCTTTCTCCTTCTTCCTCTTCTTTATTGTATTAATTTTTATCTGCACTAGTTTTTTTTTTATTTAAATACTTTTTTGCAAATAAATAATAGCTATAAATTGAATGTTGTGAAGTTAAAATGACGAGCTAAGAAAATTGTTCATTTCAAATGATTCACACTCCTGTAATTTTTTTTTCGTATGATCTGTAATGGCGATACACTCTGTTATTTTTCTTCTTCTTCTTTCATCATTTGAATTTTAGGAAGCGAGAAAGAAAGTACGATATATTTTATCAAAAGAGACAGATACATGACACTGCACCCATTTATAAACTCATGTAACCAAATAAGACATACACTTGACGATTCAAGATAAAACAAATCAGTGAATCAAAATATTTGGGAACGAATATCGTTCAAACATAAATAATATTATTTTTTTTACCGATTTTTCGGGAAATTCATTCAAGTTTTATAGTTTATTATATACAGAGACAGATCTATGTTCGAACGTCAAAGTTTTTATTTCATTTACGTATACATTGAAATTTATTGACTAATCGTTCAACAATCAATTTACTTACACATGCGCAAGTTTGACACTTGTTTTTCAATATTGACATATTTATATACAAAGTGTTTTAGGTCTCATATGTCAAAATTACGTAAATAATTTTTTTTTTACGAACGTTATTACAACATAAAGAACGTTAACAAAAATGATCAATTAATGAATACCATCAACAGATGGCGAAAGTTGCAGTGGAATGAATGTATTTCGATTCAAACATAAAATTAAAAAATTTTTGGTGATCTTTTCCTTTAATAGAGAGATCTGATGATTGATGAAATCATCTTAGTTTTGTTTCGTCAATCATTGTCGAAACATTTCCTGTTTCAATAGCACCAGTTTAATTAATAGTAGAGATCATTGTGGTTCCTGTTGAGTTCAATTGTACTCTGGTGTAAGAGTAAATAAAATCGTTTTTATATTTTTTTATAATTGTTTATCGGACATTTTTTCGGAATTCTATAATCTGATGATAATCGCCTAACAATTTTTGCTTCTTTCAAAAGGTGCAAGAACCGTTCGAGAATTTGTGAGAAGCCAACTCAAATGTTAAAGGATGATTCGTATGGCAGGCTCCAAATTGCTTGCACGATTATTATTATTAATTTCGTCGATAACTCTAGTTTCGTTGCTGGCTCTTACCCGATGTGGCATCGGCAGCCTGGTCGATACCAATATCTTAATTACTGATGATGGTAAAAACATTTTAAAATAACTTTTATAAGTTTATTACTATATTTATAAACATATTTTGTTTAATTTTAATTACTAGATGATGTAATTCAAAAATCACAAGGTATAAATTATATGCTTTTACTGCAACAGAGGGAAGAGGAAAATCGACAAGAAATTGCCAAACTGACAGCGGAAATAAAATCGCTCAAAGTACAACTAATTCAACATCGAAGTGAGTTTGCATTCATCGCAAAATAAATTTCAAGATGTATTTAAAATGTCTCAATGTTTCTATTTAGATAAACACTCAGTGTCTTTTGATTCACATATCCAGAATATTTCATCGTCGTCGCTTCCATCACAAGCCACACCAGCTGTGACATCGGCCCCATTGGGTGATTGCACGAATTACATACGAAAGCAAGTTGGTGCCGCTGAAATTTTGCATGGTCTTCCACTGAACAATGAATACGAATTATTACCGTTTAATCATTTCACATTCAGTCGTGTTTATCCCATTGAATTGGGATTAGGTAAGCGGGTCGTTGAAAAACCAATTGGCTTTAAGAGAAAAGATTTGCTGGATGCTTTAAATCGAGCGCTTGACAGTCTCAACAAAAACGCTTCAATTCGTTATACATTGGACGATTTTTCCGAGGGTATTTATCGTATTGATCCAACAACCGGAACTCAATATGATCTATACTTTCGAACAAAGGAAATAAAGGAAATTCGAAAATATACATCAATCGCTAACCGACTCAAAAGCCACAATAATGATGGCATCAAAAAATTAACTATAATGCGACCATTTGCACCGTTACAAACAATACAAATCGAAACATTTCCGAAACAGCGAGAAAAAGAAAAGGAAATTGTCCACATAATATTGCCGCTGTCTGGACGTACAGATACTTTTCAAAATTTTATGGATAAATTTGTAAAAATTGCATTGAAAAATGACCGGCGTGTACATCTTACGGTTGTGTACTTTGGTGAAGACGGTCTGTCAGAAACACGTTCAATTATGAGTCGTGTACTGGGAATGAAGAAAAGCGGCGGAAATTCATCGAATTTAAAATTATTAGCTCTTAATGAGACATTTTCAAGAGGTAAGTGAAGTGATATTTTTCGCCGTTTTATTTGGTTATTCTCCATTTTCTTTTTCAGCAAAAGGTCTTCGAGTAGGCGCCGAAAGAGTGTCAGATAAAAATGATAAAAATAAGGATGTTTTATTGTTCATGTGTGATGTTGACGTGGCATTCAGTGCAAAATTTTTAGACCGCTGCCGTTGGAACTCGAAGCCCAGAAAAAAAGTATTTAAATAATTCATTTTTTGATATAACTTTGGCACTTTGTTCTTGTTGTTGGAAAATGAATTTTGATCATTTACAATTTTATATTCTCTCATTTCATAAATCTTCTTCTCATATTTTTCCAACTAGGTATATTATCCAGTTGTGTTCAGTTTATATAATCCGCATGTTGTTTATACACTGCAAGGAAAAGAAGTACCACCAGAACACGATCAATTGTTGATTTCACGTGACAACGGATTTTGGAGAGACTTTGGTTATGGAATGACTTGCCAATATAAGTATGAGTTTATCAAAAGTGCTCATTTATACTATTCATTATTGATTTTCCGTATGTAGAAGAAACAAGAAATTATAAAGTTAGTCAGACTAACAGTAGAATGTTGGCAAGGGTGAATGCTTCACAAATCTGTTGCATGAACACTCCAATTTCAAGAAAATGAATATTATTAAAGACAGTTATGAAAACCAAAGATGCGAATTATCGCAATAATTATCATACAACTAGTTCGGATTACAATGAAGATTGACTTTTGTGATACAGTACTATTAACCGGGCAGGTCAAAATACTAACGTTATCGGGCAAGTGGGGCCTTTGAGACCCGACGTACATTTTCCATGCAAATTCAATGAAAAAAAAATGTTTCTTTTTTCAAATTTCATTGAATTTATACGACGAAAATTATTGAAATATATGTTTTTCGTAAAATATAATTGAAAAAATAAAAAAATAATCAATATTTATTCCGAATCGGATGAATTTAAACAGTTCAATAGTTGTTTAGTACAAATTTTGCACTTCATTTAAAAATTTTGATGACATTTTGTATGGAAAATGTACGTCCGGTAGTTGTTCAAGCCTCAATACAGCGCTACTTAGGGAACCAAATTCAAAACAACTCCTATCAACGATTAGTAGAAGGATGAAAGAATATTACAAAACAATTTATTTGATAAAAATAATATTTTATGCGATTTTATGTATCTTTTTTTTTAAATGCGCTACCGGGCCTCAGAGGCCCGGCCCGCCCGGTTAAGGGTTGAACAGAATTCCGTTGAAATACTTATATAGTTTGTTCAAATTATTTCTATTTTTCATTCAACGAATTCTCCTTCTCTCTTTCTACCGCTATCTCTTCTGTCTAAAATTTGTTTAGATCCGATTTTATGAATGTGCGTGACTTTGAAGAGATTGTTGGATGGGGTGGTGAGGATGTAATGCTCTATCGAAAATATGTACGATCAACTATAAAGGTGATTCGTGCAACCGATCCAGGCATTTGTAAGTAGGCAAATCTATGTTATAGAATGAAAATCATTGATGCATTTCTCGCTGTTTATAATGTGATTTATATTTCATTTAGTTCATATTTGGCATCCAAAGGTGTGTACGGGAATAACGAATGGACAACATTTAACCGCCGATCAATATCGTGCATGTATACGATCACGTGCTTTAAATGAAGCATCACATGCTCAACTTGGATTTTTGGCATTTCGCGAGGATATCGCAGCACACTATCAAGATAATAATGATAACAATGATGTTACAAATTCGAAAAATTCTGGCACACATACCATGGATATTAAAATATTTCCATTAAAAACGATAAAAATAAATAAGAAATTAAATATCTCTGATGAGTCATCATTACCAAACAATAACTATAAGAATAACAATAGTCACATTGATTCAGATGTAAACAATCAGCAACAAAAGAAATCGAAACAAAATTTGAAATTTTTTGGTAGTGACTTAAAAAAAACTTGATCTTACAAGTACCAAGAATTCGATAAAAAATCAAAAAAATTGAAACAACAATCACATTTGCAGCCCGAAAGTATTTGGAAGATTGAATTTTGAATAATTTTCATTTGTAAACTGCCATTTTACGTTCAAAGACTGAATTGACTGACTGAAGTGACAATTAGCTAATGTATGCATATCAACAATTGGCGTACCCCGAAAACAAAACGGAAAAAGGACTGTTTATAGTTCGTATTAGATATTGGTGATCATCAGACACAAAAAAAAAAAAAAATTCAAATTTTAAATTGTGATAATAAAAATAAAAAAAAAAAAAAAAAATGAACAAAAAATGGTTTGCGAAACTATTTATTTAACTATATACGCTCCGGTCTTAATGATATTTGCAGTTAAGCTCTGACCACGCTAGTCAGGCTTCAAACCTCATTCTTTCATTGTATCTATTAAATCTTTTATTGTGTCGGGTAACAGCGTTTGCAGTGACACTATTTCACCTGTTTTATCATAATCGTAACAGTTGATGTCTGCTATTTTGCCTAACTGTTACTATTTTCAAAACCTGATTTAACAAAATTGGAATAGCTTTCTTTTCAATTCTTGTAATTTACACGTACATAAATTTTGTATACAATAATTGTGACATTAAGCACAAACATGATTGTGTTTTTAGAATGAAATAACAGCAAAACCGAGTTGAAATTGCTCTTGTAAAAACGACCTTTTATTACAAAAATACCTGGTTGAAAAAGTGAAAAAAATGTAGACGTTTTATTTCTCTTAATTCTATAGAACAAACTCGTCTACATCATCTGATGCGATAAAAATGTATAAATTTGGTTTCTCCGTCACACAAATCGTTGTCTCAAGCTATCTCAAGCCGACATTTTATTGACACAAAACTCACACTTATATTTTGCAGCGGTAGATTTGTTATTGAAAAAAAAATCCGATAAAATGAATCAGTAAATTATTATCCATCAAAATGAAACAGTGCAAACGAGTCCATCTATACAATTCCGTTTTTATGGACCCGCTTACTTGTTTCATTTCTATAGACTCAATTTGATTAGATAAAATTATTCTGATCCATTCCTGTATATTTACTCTGAGAGGTTTGCAGAGGGTATCTGAACCTTATGTTTTGTTTCTTTTATTTTGCATTAAAAATCTCACGTATAATTATCATTGGATTACAAATAAAATTGTAATGTATCAAATTTCAAAAACATATATATAAATATAATAAAGGAAAAGGAATTCACCAAAATATTTGTTTTTTATCTAGTAATATTTTGATGTTTTCTTTAAAACAGAGAGTAGAAAACACTACCGCTATAGTAATACTATATTAACAGTGCCTATAAATAGTTACTATTTGTACACATTTCGATTGTGTGATCACAACAATTTTTGCGAACTCTAATGTGAACAATGCAACTCTTTGTATGTAGATTTTAAATACAAAGAGTCGCATTGTTCACATTAGGGATGTATATTCGAATGTCCGCACATGTGAAAGTCGAAACTGGGGACTAGGTTTAAATAATTGTACCAAAAATGTACTTAATTGTACCGCAATTTATTTTTGATACATACAAAGAGTTGCATTGTTCACATTGGAGTTCGCAAAAATTGTTGTGATCACACAATCGAAATGTGTACAAATAGTAACTATTTATAGGCACTGTTAATATAGTATTACTATAGCGGCAGCGTTTTCTACTCTCTGCTTTAAAATAACAAAAAGCAGGTTTGTACAGATGGGATCACCCAATAAATTTAAATGATGTGACTTCCAGTGCGCTCGATTACAATATTCTTCAAAGTACTATGCGAAATATCAAATTTAATATTTTTTGTTTAAAAATATTAATTTGGCCGTTTGGCAGTTTAGGGAACAAATTGATTTCGAAATCGAAAAAAATCGACAAAATCAATCTAATTAACTTTTTTTTCACAATTGGACTTTATTCCGGGAATAAATTTGTTTAAAATCAATGTAATTTACATGACACCCCAAGAATTTGACAGAACATTAAACGGACGGATATGTTGGATGGACGGACATGTCCGGAAAATTCATGGATATGCATTTAAATAGACAGAGATTCGAATATAAAAAATAACTACAGAAGTACATGTTGGATGGACGGACGGGCAATGCATGAAAGGCAGTGGACTTTGAATCATTCATAGGGACAGTCATGTGTGGATTCCTTAAAGAAGGCATTGTGAGTCATTAGTACAAAGCAAGCGTTCACAAACGCCAACATTTATACAGCACACCACTATAGTGCTTCGTCAGCGCACGAAGTGCTCCAAACGCACAATGAAGGCACTAGCGACGCAATGCTTAAGCATCATTTGATGCGCTGTATCAATGCTGACATTTGTGAACTCATGGTACAAAGAGAACAAAATATATTAAAATAGATTTGTTCCCGGAACAAAATAGATTTGTTCCCGGAACAAAATCCAATTTTTAAATAAAAGTATATTAGATTGATTTCAACCTTATGAATTAAATTGATTGAGTTCGAAATAAAAGTAAATTAGATTGTTTTTAAATATATTTGTTCCCAGAACAAAATAGATATGTTCGCTGTGGCTCGTTATAACTATTAATAGGCAAAAAAATTAGCAGACAATACATTGAACTAACTGGTCAGTTGAGCTGACAGCACGTTAGCCAGCTAAATGGACTAAAACAATAGAAGATATTGTTATAATGAACAATCACTTCTATTAAAACAAGTCAAGTGATTCATCATTAAAACAATAACGTCTATTGTTTTAGCCAGTGAAGTGAACCGGTTTGACATTTCTCATACAAACCGATTTCGGAGCGGTATCTCGGAATTGGTTTCGTTTTGTGTGAACGAAACGGAGCAGGCGGAACGTTCCGAGAATGGTTTGTATGGCGACGTATGTGTACGTGAATAGCAATGCACACTAATACATACAGCCGTTGTACGGTCGTGTGTATACTGCACAGTATAAACCATTGTCGGAACGTTCCGCTTGCTCCGGTTCGTTCGGTAAGTGAAACCAATGAAATGGTTTGGTTTTGGTTCACTTCTCTGGTTTTGGCCCATTTAGCTGGCTAACGTACTGTCAGCTCAACTGACCAGTTAGTTCAATATATTATCTGAAAATTAGGCTTAATAGGGCAAAAAAATTCACAGGAATTCACGTAAATTCACACTTTTGAGTCGAGTGGTTATTGATGAGTTCGGTGAATTCGTGTGAATAGAATGAATTGTGTCAAAGTAATAAAGTGAGGTTATGATAACCGCAATATTTTTTAATTTATTATTTTTCAATATTTCCGATTGTTTTCGATAGAAAAACGCTCAAATTGAAAATAAAATTAATTTTTATTAAAAAAATATAAAAAACATTTACAATTTCGTTACACAAAATATAAATATTGCAGTAATTGTCAGCAGAAACTATTCACTACTATCTCACATATTTGAATGAAATCGCCGTAGAATTCACCGGAATTCATTCGTTTGCTGAAAAATTAAGTTAATTTGGATATTAATTATATCATTTTGCGACATATAAAATTATTTTTTTGAAAAGTTTACTTTAGGAAATACTACAAATGGCTCGCTATGGCTCGCTATGGCTCGCTATGGCTCGCTATAGATTTGTACCCGGAACAAAATAGATTTGTTCACGAAACAAAATCCAATTTTTAAATAAAAGTATATTAGATTGATTTCAAACTTTTTTAAATTTACCATTTTTGACATCTCTGAGACATATTTTTCAAAAGAGACTATCAGTTGAATAAGTTTTAAAATGACTTGTAAATTTAACTCATTGTTGGTTGATTTTATATTAAATCTACCAAAATTGAATTAAAAATACCACATTTTTTCTCTCTGTGTAATATAACATATTTTCAAACATATAGCTGTAGATATAATAGTTTTTTCTGTAGTAAATTTTTTCAAAATAATAATTACAATTTTTTTCAAAGTACTATGTGAAATATGATATTTCAAATATCAAATGTGATATTTGTTGTTTAAAAAATATCAATTTAGCCATTGGACCGTTGAGTTAAACTGCTTAACTGCCCAACGGCTCTACCGTATATAACCCCCATATGTATCCGTGTATCTGCAGGTACGGATACATATGGGGGAAATATACGGTCCTAACGGCTCAATGGCTCAACTGCTGTTAAATATTAAAAAATATAAGATATTGATATTTTTTGTAACGGCGCTGCGACATTAGTCCTGTTAAAATAATTCCTGAGCCCTTTGAAATATATCCTGAGAATTATTCTATGTTACATGTTAAACTCCAAATAAAACATTCATTATATGATTGCCCGAGAATGAAAGCGAGACTTCTATTCACAACTTATTGAAATGTAACACCGTCATACAAAAAGTGCTGACTGTCAGAATATTTTGTATGGTGGTGTTACATTTCAATAAGTTGTGAGTAGAAGTCTCGCTTTCATTCTCGGACATTCATATAGATTTGATATATGGTCGTCTTGGGGATAATTTTTTTGCATTGATTTGAAAATCCACCTCAGAGGTTCATGATGGATAAAAATCGAATTAATCGTCTTGGGAAAACAATTTCTTGTGCTCGCATTATGTAAGATCAGCCGTGAAACCGGACAAACAATACAAAAACATGGTTGATAAAATTATTCATTATAAAACGTTGGTTGTTGCAAACCTCTTGTAATTTGGACAATCGAAATATTTTGAGAGCTACCTCAATGCTCTACAAGAATTCACGAGCTTTTAAAATGTAGGTTTAGATGAAATAAAAATTGCTATGCCTTCAGCTTGTTTGCCTCAAGCCATTTATACAATTAAGTATAAACTTTATAAGCTCCTTAAACAGACGACATCTAGTTGTCAAAGTTGGTTCCAGCGAGAAAGCGCATGTTTTAAATGGCCCAAAAAGATTCAATTGGTGATAAGCGTATCTGAGTCAGTTTTATCTATAGAAATCTTAGTCCTTCTTTTTTTATCAACTTTAAAGTAGTTTTTGCCAGAACAGTAATAATAAAATTTATTAAATTGCCTTAATTATGCAGAGGTAATTTTTAAACTTAGTATGATAGAATTTTTTTTTTCAATAGGGCTAAGATTGAACGAGAAGCCGGTCCCATAAGAAAAAAAACATTGGTTAAAGTGTTTAGTGAATATATATGACATTTGTTTGGTTGCACAAATGTTGTGCTGCTAGTGCATTATATTTGCCTGTCAAATTCATTCATTTATATCGCTTTCGTGCACACATTGGAGTGTATGTAGTTCAGTTGGTGTTGTTTTTCTGCTTTTGATTTAATTTGAGCGCTTTTATAGTATAACATAATGCAATTTGTTGAATATATGAAAAGTTGATTACTAAGCAAAAGTTTCATTATTCAGAAATCAATTGAGAAATGTTAATAACATAAAAAAGAACAATATATTGACTAAATATTGTGAATATGTTCACACCTTTTGCATAGATGACATTATACCAAAATTCATATACATTTTTTCGGAAAATAAGAAATGTGTGTATGGTTCTCAAGTATGAATATTATTATTATCGCTGTTTGAGTGCTTCTTACATTTATTTGTTTCAGATGTGTAGTCATTTAGTTAGATGGTTACTGTATTTTGGTGTAATTTAAGATGAATGTGTGAGGCTGTTTAATATTTCATATTCACATAGATATTCCATTTGAATCAGTGCGTTCAATTCGTGTGCATAGTGCAAGAAGTTGTTTTTTTTTGTTCGGTTTCAAAATTGTTCGTTGTGTTTAAAGATATGTCGTCTATATCATTGACACGAATTTTGCAAACGAAAAAGTCCAATGGCGAAGCGGACAAAGAGTTATTTGACAAACAGATGGTAAGAATATTTCATGATTTTTTTTTTCACTAAAAATGATAACAAGATGAGTTGTTTATTTACCAAAAATGATAATATGCACTGGTGACATAGTAAGAGTCGAAGTATTTTTTTTTTTTTTTTTTTTTGAAAAATGAATAATTATTGGACCGGCCGACCAACCAATTCAGTTTTTTTATACTGTAGATTTCATATCTCGTTCTCTTCCATTCTTATTATTTCACACTTATCCCAACCGGGTGTAATAATTGTGTTTGTTCTATTTTCGGTAAATAATCTTTTGCGTGTATGAGTGCAAATAATATGAATGCTATTTGATCTTCACATTTTCACACCGTTAACCAGTATTTGTTCTGCCCAATATTGTTCAGCCAAAAACAGCGAAGACGACGGCAAATTACTCTGATTCACTTGATACGCTTTATGACTAATTCGTACAAACGGTCGGAAAATGAATGCGCACACGTCATTGAACAAATAAACGCATGATAAATAAAACTAAATCTATTGCATCCTGTACTATATATCAGTAACGGCACATTATAAATAAATTGCGCACATACATCTTCCACTAAGGCAGTAGTGGGTAGTCTTCATTTTTTTCTCCATTTACGCTGTTCAATTAAATACAAAGACATGACTTTCAATTCTTTCTCTCTCTCTCTCTCTCTCTCCCTCTCTCTCTCTCTTCCCTATATCTTCAAGGAATGGTAGTCGAAATATTTATTTATGTAGTACAATCCCGAAATTTATTTAAAGATAACCTTTTTATCGGCCTTTTTCAATGTGAATTTCAGTTCATTTTTATTCCTATCCGAACTATGTGACGATTTGGATTAAGATGGCTTGATATTTCATAGTTAAACTCCCTTCCAAAAATCCCAGATTTTTTCTAAACTTCCGTTTAGAAAATTCCCGTTTTTTGCCATTCCTCTAAAACTAAAATTAACATTTTTTATCGACATTTTGATGGACCTTTTTTTTTTCAAATCAATACTGCTCTAACTTCCGTTGTAAAAATTAGTGATAAAACGATAAAATTTTAATTCAGAACCACTTAAACTAATAACACTATATAACCTACGAAACGGCTATGAAATACAATGACACCTAATGGAATAAATTAATATTGGTTAGGGAATAGTGCATTCCACATATTTGAAGTGTTGCGTTAATTCATCAGTGATGAATGAACACAAGTTTGTTTTGAATCATAAATACGGGTGTGCACTATGATTTCTGTGCACTTTAATGGATTGAATTCATTAATGATTAGAATTAAAACACAATGTAAACTAAACATTCACTATACCTAAAGTATGTATAATATTAAAAACTATTTACGATTTGAAGCAGATTTGAAGTAATAGTTAGTAACTATGAATCATAAAAACATATTAAGAGAATTGAAGTCTTTGGCTGTTCCGGTTTTTAAGCAATTGTTGTATGCTCATTGAAATATTAACTATTTACATGATTAATTGCGAGTATACATCTTTCCCGGGAAGACTTCCCGTCATAATTATTCTTCAAAATTTGGTTGTTATATATGTCACATAAATAAATTGCATGTTACATATTGAGTATGTCGGAAATCGTACCAAGACCGTTTTTTCCTATTTGAATATTTTCTTAAGCGGTCTATTACAACAAGATTGTATGTATAATAAGAGCAGAGCAATATTAATAGTTTGCGAAATTTTTCATGTATAGTATATAATTTTTCAAAGTAAACATGCGTCATTCTGATTTCACATTTAGATCGAAACCAATTCCAAGTATCGATGAATACATAGCTGGGCAGACAGGCGGGGGAGGGGGGGATTACCCCCTCCTGAGGCATCACATTTTAGCGTTACCCCTTTACAAAATCAACAAATTTTTGCGTTACCCCTTTACAAAATTCATGATTTTGGATAGAATTTTTCTCATTTTGCTAGGAGTTTTTGGGAAAATTACCCCCCCAATCCCCCCCTGAATTTTTCAGTCTGCCCAGCTATGGATGAATATGTGATCTGAAACAAACCACTTTTTATTAATACAAAAGATAATTCGAATTTGTTCAATATGATAAGATTAAAATGATCGGACAAACATTTTGATCACAATTCATATCCGATTTTTAGCAATTTTTCAATATACAGTTCTATAAATGTCAATATTTAATAATTAATGGAATATTTTTTTTGTAATCTACATAGATAGTTTTGCCCGATATTGACAACGAAGCAAATTTTTGTTCAATGCTTGCAAGCATTGAATTTTTTGTTCAATGCTTGCAAGCATTGAATTTTTTGTTCAAATTTTTTCAATTTATCAATTCATAATCGCAAAAAAATCGGTATTTGTAGTTGAAGGAAAGAAAAAAGTGTGAACGCAAAAAAGGATATCTCCTGGTCGTTGTGATTGGGATGAATTCCCCCTAGTTTGTTAATCATCTATCTTCTCTATCAGAGTGACAACAATTATTTTTGATCAATATATATTGCTCTCATACTTTCGAATACACCACCTTTGATTGAAAAGTATCCTTATACACAGAAACTGTTCAATTTATTTTGAAAATAAAGATATGTCATCATATTACACCAAGTGGCGAAATTCCATTTACTTACATAGCATACATTTAAACGGCCGAAACGATGGAAAACCTTTAGAATAAGAGTTAGAAAGTAATTTTAATGTGATTCACTATTACACACTATTACACAGCGCAACAATTGTATGTTCTTTTCTTTCTAATTCCAGGTTGCATGAAATATCAAAACAATCATCATCTAAAATAAACAAAACTAAATACCTAATAATAACTCATTTTACCAAAACCAATGTTTGAACACATCCAACAATTGTTCATTTGCCAGTGGCGTACTTACAGTATCATACACTAAACATCAGCTCACATCCATTGTAGATAGAAATGCGAGTTTGTGTTTACACTGAATGTCAGTTGGGGTTCAATTGTGGTACAGTTGGCGCGCCACGTACTAATGCATAATAGTTGGTTGAAAAAAATAATAATTGCATTTACCTACATTGTACCAAACAGTTAAACACACAAACACAAAAACCGAGATAAAATTAACTACAAATGCATAAATTAGTCAAAGTGAATTCTTTTTAACATTTTCAAATCCATTGCGTAATAATGTAATATTTAATTGTTTTTTTTTTCTCGATTCGTTAGTTCTTGTTAATTAACTTCTTCATCAAATATGAATCGATGCGGCGAAAAAAATTTCTCTTATTTTGTATCGCATCACAGTATTATTAGAACAATATAAGAGGCATTTTTTCACCGTAACGATTCATATGTAAATACTGATTACTAACAATCAAATGAATTAACAACAAATTAAACTAAACTCACTCGTGCATTAAAAATGCATCGCATTTACCACAATTTTTGCAACAAGCTCTCTCTCTCTCTTACGAACAAAAGAAGTGCAAATCCTCTGAAGAGAATCTTCCTAATGATAAAATCAAACATATACACACTCAAGTAATATAAAAACATACATCTTTTTGTTGAGTTTATATAAATAAATAAAAAAAAATATTGTAAAATGTCACTGAGCGATAAGGAATACTATCAATTGGTAAGTGTTTAAATGTTGGTGGCATAACCTGTCCGTTTTTCTGTATTTGCATGTTCTGTTGTTGCCACTTTATTGCTGTATAGTTTTGTTTTATTTTTAATTTTAACATGGTGACACAGTGATTTTTAACGTACGCTAGCGCCACATTCGATTTGTCATTCAACAAATATATTTAAGCAGTTTGGTCTGAACACATTTATGTGCAAAACATTAAATCGATGATAACGGTATAGAATTTTTACCGTGAAAATACTGAATCAAAATGTCACCGTCGATATCGTTTGTAGCGCTGCCGTACAAAGCCCTATGCCAAAACGCTCACTGTATGTTTAACATGTGGCTTATTATGTGTCTTGTTTTTTCGTATTTTTTTCTATTCACAGACAGTGAGCATCAGTAAAGCGTTAAGCGGCACTGAGATGCCATTAAAAGTGAAACATGCAAGAGTTGCGATTATTGGTACATTTCACAGTCGTGGAGCACATTCATTTTGGGCTGTCGCTTTGCGCCAACCGTTGCAGGTAAGATTGAGCTTGAATAAAACTCTTATCAAATTTCATATTATAAACAAAAAAAAGACGTTCGAAAGACATTTTTGAGAAATAAACAATTTTGAGAAGAGAAATAAAAACTAAATCTGAATTACTCCTGTAGGAAAATAGAATAACAGCCTGGAAATTTTGTTATTTATTACACAAAGTATTACGTGAAGGTCATCCGTTGTCATGTCAACATTCTATGCGACACAGAGGCATGTTAACCGAGCTTGGAAAATTATGGGTAATTAAAAAAAAAACATTTTTCAATTTCCAAATAATATTTTCGCATAGTGAGCGCGTTTTATACAGCTTCATGTACACTAGCGCCCTATAGGGGCTAACTATAGTTGATTCGCTATCATTTCACCAATCGATAAAAGACTCAGAAAAGATAAAAAACTTTTCGAATCAATACTATGAAGGATATTGGCTCTTTTAGCCAAACCAATATTAAAGAAAAAACTTAATTCCGATAAAAAAACGAATTTCAAATTTGTGATTCCCATTTAATGAATCTTCTAAGTGTGAAATATCTCATCGTTTATGAAATTTTTTTAATTCAGGGACATTTAAATGACGGATATGGTGTCTGCATTCGTCATTACACCAAGTTATTAGTGAACAAATTGGAGTTTCATGACCGAAATCCACGGATTCCACCAAATTTAACAATGAAACGTGGCGAATTGGATGTTATAGGTGGTGGCGACATTAATTTTTAGTAAGTTTTTACCAAAAACAAATTTAGCATTTTTAAATTGTATAAAATGATGCCATTATTATGTTTCAGCTTTCAAATGGCCGTAGAAATGTTTGACTACTTGGATGACATAATTGCATTAGAGGCAGCAAGTAGGTTTTTAATGGCTTCATTATGCCCTTAAATAACAATTGATTTTAGTTCAAATCTTATATCGTATTTCTTTAACCTTCGATAATTTTATATAGTTTTCAGTTCCATTACAACATTCCATGTGAATTCAATGACATCGGCTGGTCAATGTCGGCTGTCACCACTAATTCCCCTAATTCAGGACTCAAGCCAACTGTATGATTTCTTAGTTAGAATCATGTTTAAATTGCACTCAAACCTACCGAATGATGTGCTAGCAGGTAAACTGAATATTGCTCAAAAGATGAACCAAGACAATGTTTTTTTTTAAAATCATTTTCTTGAATATCGTCAGGTCATCGTGATCGATTTCGGACCATATTCACGCAGCTCAAATCATTTTACAATCAATCACGTAATCTGCAGTATTTTGTTAATTTAATAACGGTTCCAAAGCTGCCGGAAAATGCGCCGAACTTTTCTTCGCAAGTGGATTTTGGAGCATATACACCACCAGTTGTAGTTATTCCTGAACCGGAACCAGAGCCTCTAGTTGACATGAGTATGCCCACATTATCGCTACCATCACATGATGATTCGCCACAAGATCCACCTACGCCTACTGTTAACTTTGAACAATTGATTCGTGAACGGGATGAATTGATTCTACATTTACAAACCGAAGTCGATCGATTGGGGTAGGTTTTTTTTATGGTTAATTTTCAACTTATGTTTTGTGAAAATGTATGTGTTTTCATCCATTAAATAGAAAAAATCTAAAAGCGGCCGCACTTCATAAACGAGATGAGCATGCGCAATATGAAGAAACGATTGCATCTTTAAATTCAGAACTGAGCGATGCCCATGAACAATTGACCAATATGAGATTTGTTAAGGAAGAACTAGAGTTGAAGGCTCAATCGGTGGAAAAAACTCAAGTCGAGGAAGAAAAACTAAAGGCCAGCGAAGAAAAATTCCAAAAACTAAAAGTAATGTATGCTCAAATTCGTGATGAACACGTGAAATTGTTACGACAACATGGTGATGTAAGCAAACAATTGGCGGGACAAACAAAAGTTGCTAGCGATGCAACGAAAGAACGTGACGACTTAAGAATTCAACTAGAAGAAACACTTTACAAGCAAAGCAAATTGGAGGAAAGTGTTCAGCAAAGTTCAAATGATGTCAAAAGCGCAAATGATGACTTACAGCGTCGCATAATACAGTTGGAAAATGAAAATTCAGCCTTATCTGCCAAATATGATGATTTAAATGCGAACAAGTCTGCTGAAGTTGCCGAACTACGCGTCTTATTGGATCAATATGAAAGTGAATTAAAAGTATGGCATTTGCCTTTGATTTTGATATAGAATTACCATTCTATTGTGCAACTACTCACTTAATGATCGCTGAAATAATATTTTTTTTATTCTTATGTTTGTTTCAGTCACTGAAATCTTGGTCCAGCACAATCAGCACGGAAAAAGAAGAATTAGATGAAAAGCATAAAAATATCATCACGGACAATGCAATGTTACTAGCCAAAATTCAAGAGCTGCAAAATTCAGTGCCCGAACTTGAGGTAAATTACTCCGTTATTATAGTATTGGCCGATGAATTAATCGTCGATTATTTTTCTAGGTAAAATGCGACAATTTAGCTGAAAAAGAACAACAACTTCGTGAGGCGATCGAAGAATTAGAAGGTGCAAAAGCGGAATTGATCACAAAACAAAATGAATTGGTGAAGGAACGTGATAATTTATTGACACGTTGTGAAGAATTTACTCAAACAATCTATGAATATGATGTTGAGAAAATCACAATGGCCGGAAAAATGGAAGAAATGCAAAATAAACTTGAGGTAATGATTGGCAAGTTTTTATTTAATTAGCACCTCAAACACATGTTTTGAAATTTTTTTACATTATTTGAGATCATCGCGCCAGTATATTATTTATATGTGTATTTTGTGCTTTTGTAAAATTCCCCATTTTCAATGCTTTCCGATTCAATTTCCAACGCATACATACACATGTTCAATGGTAGAATGATCTGTTTCATTTACATTTACTGTACCTTTTCTTCTACCATTAAATGTCTGTGCGAATAAAAGTTTCACTCACCAAAATATCAAAAATCAAAATATTAGTGGTCATTAACACATTTTCATCTGTGTTCTGTTATGACTTTTTTGCTCTGAAAAAAAAAATCATTTTGATAATTTTCTTTTTTTGTAAATGACATGTAAAATGATTTTGGTTTTGGACTTGGAATCGATGATGTTGGAATATTTTTGGACATTACCTACAACGTACATACTCACCAACACGAATGCAAAATGGCACAATATTCTTTAGTTAATAAATTTACAATCAAATCGCATGCAAAATGTAAAAGATACAATTGAATGTGATTTGCATGATTTACTTCTTGAACAGGATGAATATAATGAAAAATTATCGCAAACCAACAACACCATTCATACGTTGGAAGAAGCATTAAAAAATTCACGAATCAGTGGCGATGCACGCATTCGAGCTCTGGTTGAGACATGCATCAAATCATCAGAGAAAATGGTGACACGAGCTGCAGCTGAAACTGATGTTGCCGTTGCAGCTGGAACATCGGCTTATTTTATGCTTTTTAGCGAAGAACTGATGGAACTTCTCAATGAATTATCAATGGCTCATTCCAACTACGTATCTGATAGTTATAAAAATGTCGAGGCACTTGCACGTAAATCCATTTTAATGGGTCATTTAATGGCTACGGTTTACATTCAAGGCAATAACATCTGCAAGACATCAGCCAACATTGAACTTGGCGAGAGTAAGTTTAATATCGATTTAAAAGTAAAAATTCCGAACAATGGTTAATATTCATGGTTTTCAGGAATCATGGATGAGATTAAAAAATGGAATTCAACATCGTTGGAACTATTCTCTTCATTGATGTCGACACACGAATCAAAAGAAGTGCAAAATCGCATTGATGAGGTAAAGAAACATAACGGCTTCATTAGTCAATAATTCTTATCCATAGCTTGAAGGGGTTTCTTGGACTCGGATAAAAAACTGAATTTTTTCCCCTAAAACTCTATACTTTCTAATCCTCTTTTAGGTAAAGAAACGATTAGAACAAATCTCAACAATGATCCACGAATTAAGTAAACAGTCTGAGAGCGGTGAAGATATTGGCGAAATTATTGAGCGCGAACTTAGTGGGATGGACAAAGCTATCGAAGAAGCTGCTTCAAGAATTGAGGTATATTAAATTTCATTGTCACTTTTCAATTTTTTTAGAATATCAAGAACTTTTTTTTAATGTAAGGAATTCTATTTTTTTTTAATTCCATCCAGGAAATGTTATCAAAATCAAAAGCTTCGGATTCGGGTATAAAATTGGAGGTAAATGAGAAAATACTCGACGCCTGCACTGCACTTATGAAGGCAATTCGAGAACTGGTGAAAAAATCGCGCATACTTCAAGCTGAAATTGTTGGATTGGGCAAGGGAACAGCATCAGCAACCGAATTCTATAAACGTAATCACCAAAATTTCATTTCTGAAGAAATGCTATCCATTCTATCGTTTATCTTACCATTATGTGATTAACCCTAGGTAATCATCAATGGACGGAAGGATTAATATCAGCTGCAAAAAATGTTGCTCAAGGTGCTAATTTCTTGGTGTAAGTAATTTCTTTCGCAACTTTGTCATCTTTTAAAACCACACGCTTAAATTAATCCGCTATAATAACGGCTTTTTAGGACGGCTGCCAATAAAGCTGTCAGCGGAGAGGCAAAAAATCATTTAGACTTAATAGTTGTGGCTCAAGAAATAGCGGCATCAACGGCACAGTTAGTAATTGCAAGCCGAGTAAAGGCGCCAAAGGAAAGTCAAAATTTGGTAGCGCTTGCGATGTCATCGCGTGATGTAACCCAAGCAACTGGTGCGGTTGTTGCCACAGCCAAAGATTGTGGCCAACGTTTGGAAGAATCACAAGATCTTGATCTAACCAAATTAACGGTGCATCAAGCAAAAACGCTTGAAATGGAAATTCAAGTAAAAGTTTTAGAATTGGAACAAGCCCTGCAAGTAGAACGCTCTCGTCTGGCTTCATTCCGCCGAAAAAATTATCATAATTGAAAAGCGGTTACTTCTCTTATAGAAAATGAAAAGAACTCAAGAGAAAATTCCATTTAGATTTGAAGTGCTTTTTAATCAAATAAAAAGAAGCTTTAAATGGTGATTTTTTATACTGTGGAAACTGTTGAGAATATATGTGTATTATTTTATTTAATTATTTCTCCCATTTGTGGAATAACTTTTATACCGTCTTGAAGTAATTGAACAGTTAATTAAAGCTAATGTTTTCCTATTTGTACTAAAGTTTTGAAAAAATATATTGAAATGAACATAAGCAAACACTTTTTTCATTAAAGAAAATACGTCCCAGAAAAACTATCGCCCAAAAATGGTTGGAATACATTCAGATCCAAACGAATAAATAATTTACGCACCTCTCTCAAATTGATTTTTTCTTTTAAAAGTGAAAAAAAGACCCAAACTTTCGGTGTATGGAAAAAATATATGACAATCAAATATTTCAAATCATTTGCCACTTCGAACATTCGAATGAAACTGTATGCATTTGTCTTTCACATTAAGAGCACACGGTAAGTCGGCCACTGTTTTATTTTGGAAATGTTCTATTATTACACAAGATTCAACGTAAAATAGAATATTTTTTTAAAACCAAATGGTACCGGTACTTCCTAATCTATTGTATAAAAAATGCATAAAAATAAAACGATAATTTGAGGTAGCTACTCGTAAGTAGTTTTTCAGTATGCTTTATTTGAAAGAGTTTCTTGCGTTTGACAATCTACATATAACATGAAAAAAAGCGGGAACTTATTTCGCTTGTACATGACATATTACGTGTGATTAATTTGGTTGTGCCAAACGATATTTGGCAGCACGCAAAATTGGATATTTATCACCCGTGCATGAACCGCGGAAATCATCATTACCTAATGAGACATTCACAAAACAACAATCAAAGAATGAAAATTTAATTTTTTTAAATTTATAAAGGAAGAAAAAAACCGTTACCCAAATCATGAATGGCTACACCAGCCAAGTTTTTGCGAACAGCATAAGTAGCCTTGCTCTGTGCAGTTTCTGGATCTATGTTGATTTAAATATAGATATTAGAAATGTTGTAAAATAAAAACTAATTTTTTTTTTGCACAAACCCACCTTCATAACCAACCCAAATTCCAAAGTTTCCATTTTCATCAGGTAAGCGATAGGCATAAGTACCATAACGTGTTGATGGATCACGTTGAATGCGTAATGGTTGATGTTCGCCTTTCAAATGAGCATTGCTTGGATTTGGAAGAAGACTACACACTTCGGGGTAGGACAAAAATCCAGGCGTTCCCGTTTGTATTCCGGCTTGTCCGGGATTATTAACCTAAATGGCAGAACGGAAATTTTCAATTTCATTTAATTGAATTTTAGCAAAATTAAAAGTTCTCACGTTTTCACTAATTGGTGGTACTCCTGTTCTGGTTGATTCAGTTGACAATTGCCATGAACGACCGTGAGTCGGAATAGCGATAATCAATTTATGACTAGGTAATCCATTTTGAAGCCACATATTAACTTGATAGTCAACATTACTCTCTGGAATACGTTCGTGCAAACTGTAAATTGGTGCTGGATAATCGGCTTCGTTATTATTACGTTCCCATGTTTGATAATCGTATGTGGCAAGTGTAACAAAATCAACATTTGGTGCTAGGCCAGCGACATCATAATGAACAGTTGTGTTTTGATTTGGCAAAACAGTCAACGCTAAAATGTAATTATCGGGTCGAATAGCATCTTTAATTTGACGAACCAAATCTTTAAAGGCAACTTTATGTTGTTCAGAATTATCATCTAATGGTTTGCCGGCTAGACCAAATACTTTCTTTGTCGAATACCAAAAACTGCCTATTCCTGAGCGAATTCGCTTTGGCTTATTTGGTTTGAACTCCCAACCAAGATCTAATCCATCAAAATGGTAAGATTTTACCAATGTGTATGCACTATTTTGGAACAATATAAAAGAAAGGATTTTTTTTTCAATTTACTCCTATCTAGTCATTTGGTTATTTTGAAATGTTTTTGACCAGTAATCTGCGACCTCAGATGCTCAGCGATGTGTGTTTTATTTAAAAACTGATTCCGTTTTTTCATTTGAAATGTTTAAACTTTAAATTTTCATTTCTATGCCCACCCCTTTTTTTTTGTTTGTGTTAATGTGATCATCGCGAACAAATCAAGTCGACTCACATTCCAAATTAACCGAATCCGAAATTAATCAGCCGTTCTAAGACGTTCTCATTTCTTTTAATATTTTGGTTGAAATATTTCAAAATTATAAAAAATTACCTATTAATAAAGATTGCGAAGGCAGCTGGATTTTCCAATAATTGCAAATAAATATCATGGTTTGGATCAGCATTACCACCAACGCCCAACAAAACTTTCAACTTTGGATACTTCGTTTTGAGATTAGTCACTTGACGGAAGAGACCTTGGCCTTGATCCAAATCTAATTTTTCGTTCAATGATTTCACTTTGTTGGTGATCGGATCAATTCCTGCCCATCCATAAACCAAAACATCACAGAATGAAACAGCTGGTTCAAGTTCTGGAATTGTTACCTTTCCAAGACCTAAAAAAATACAATGAAAATTACATTTAAAATTCGTTCTACGAGAAAAAAAAAAACAAAAGTATTTTCAACATATAGAAGTTGACAACCTTCGACTTCGTTATCGTGTATAGAGTGTAATACGTATATCGTACGACACTTGATAGTTAATAACACTTTTCTGTGTTGTCGAATATACAAAAAAAGTAAATAATTATCGATCGCGTTTTTTTTAAGTGATTACTTCATCGCCGGTTCAGGTCGGTTATTTTGATTTAATTGTTTATGTGATTCACCAAACGAATGACTTTTGTCAATAATATGTTAAACAAATTTAATATGCGAATCACATTTGTTTGAGATGATTTTGCGTGGCAAAAAAGATAAATATATCAAATGGAAAAAGAAACTGATAAAGAATTAATTCCGGTCACTGATGTTCATGTAAATATATGTTAATACTGACGCGAATGGTCATGGAACTAAAGGTAAACGTGTTCTGGATTCATCGAGAAGATTCACTGAGAGGAATGTTGTATCAAAACCGACATTATGCCGAAATGTATTAATGATCATCTCATTCGTGAGGACACATCCCACTCTATGTATTTGAATTTGTTTCGCCGAATTGATTGAAGTAAATATATTACTCATCATATTGAGTTTTGCATAAAAATTCTCAAAAATCGTAATACCCGATAAGATGAGTTAAATAATGTTTTAAAACTATCAATATTATTACTATTTTGAAGTAATAAATATTAATTTGTCCTTTAAGCTAGAGTAAAACCTTTTAAATTTATACAACGACTTGTTTCATGGAATTCAATGATTTATTCATCATTTCAAATAATGTTATGAAAGAGTTATTCGTCTTTGTATTTGATTGAAATAAAAGACTGCGCATACATTTGGTTTCAAATGTGGTCATTGTGATTGGACATTAAATATAATTTTAAAGAGATAAATCACTTACTTAGAGACGACTACGCTTATTTGCTTTGATTTTAAACTGTATTAAATTATAAGTGAAAAAGTACTAAATCTGATCCGTTATTTTTTAAGCTTTACAAATGAAAGTAAAAAAAGAACCATGATAGTAAAAAAAAAATCAAAAAAAACAAACATTTTGATAGATTTCACATTTGTAAGGAAATCGCAACCGCGATATGTAGCAACAACAAAATTGTTAGCATGTTTATTTTCAAGTAACAAACAAATTCATATGTGCGCAAAATTACTGAATGTTTTGAGGATAACCTTCTCCGCAACCTTTCTGAGTATTTGCCACAAGTTTCATGGCATACGAAATCAAGTTACTAAATGGATGAACACAAATAAATCAACATCATTCCTGTAAACACAACAAAAAAACGTAGTTGTGTTGATGTTTTTGTGATGTTGTTTTGCGGTTTTCGTAAGCATTCAACTAAATTAAATAATCTCTTCACTGTATGACTTAAAAAAATGACAAAATGTTGGCCCCAATAAGCTAGCTATATAAAGTAGAACATCGTCTCATAGTCCAACAGTGATTACATTGAGATTAATAACAACTTAATCAAAGAGAATAAATCATTCTTTTTTACTTTCGGCTCGAAATTGCAAACCATTTGGTTTTTTATCTGTAGCAAGAATATCATGAGAGACTTTTAAATTAGTACTTATGCTATTTCACATAGCATAGAAATGTTCAAGTATATTTTCCAATGTAATGAAACGTATGCGATTACTTCTAACAGATAAAAAATTATTTCTTCCATTTTCTTTATGCTAATATTAGAATGGCTTAGATAATAAGATGAATCTTCTCTATAAAAACCAATACATTTAAAAAATATATCAACATCCAAGCTATCATGAATAAGTTTAGCACACTTTTCTGGACGTTTTTAAACAAAATATTAAAATGAGCCAATTTTAAACAATTTTCAAACTACTTGCTACTATTTTTTTCGTACTGCGTATTTCTAAGTTGCATTACATGGGAAAGTTCATTTATTTATTGTAAACCATATAGATAGCAAAGTATACATTTACGATAAACTCATTTAATATTTACGTCAATTGGTTTCGGAATCAGATTTGTTTCTTATTTGAATACAATTTTACACCTCGAATATAAACGCTGTATAGTATTGACATTTTTCTCAATTCGCATCATACAATGAATGTGAATTCTCTTCTAAATCTCTATTGTGTTGAGGTGATATTTTTCTTCTCTATTTATGGAATTTTTTTTATGAAACGAAGAAAATAAATCTCGATACTGACCTTCGCGTGTAAATGAAGTACTATTGTAAACACAAACGACTTTTTTTCCCGTGTCAACAGCAGCGCTTTGACGAAGCTGAGCATCAACAATGACCGTTGTGCTAATAGCAAAGAGAGCAATAATCAGAGCTTTCATTTTACTCCCCCGAACAACCTAAAAAAATTCTCAAAGTCAACTGGAAATAATTTTAAAAAAAATAATGGAATTAAAGTTAAAAATCAATATGATTCACAAAAATTTTAAAAAATATATAAGAAACATGAAGAGGATCAAATAAATAATTTTATTAAAATAAATGGTTAATATGTCTTCACTTACCGATTCTTAACACACAATCAGTACCGTAAAGATGCTCTTAGTTAAAATATCCAAATTGAACTGAACTGAGTTGTTAACGAATCATCTGAATTTAAATTTTATTTTTGTGTCCAGTTTAGCGCGGCCAATACACATGCAAAACAGAAACAAACTTTAAAAGAACTTGATAAAGGAATCTCATACACTACCCATGGACACACATAATACAACACAAAAGCGCGTGCGAAACGGTGCGAAAGAGGGAGACATAGAAAAGCAAACATATACGATAGAAATTTCAAGAAGTGACACTTTTTTCTTAACGCAAAAACAGGACAGTGTATATATTTATTTTTTTTTCATGTTATATGTATAGGTATATAAATAGGTTCATTTTGTGGTATGGCTATATATTTTGTGGTCATCGATGTTGGTTATTTTTCCCCCCTTTGTAATCAGGTTATCATCATTACTTTTTTTTTTTAAATAATTAAAACTTTTCCGCAATTTTCGGAAATATAAAACGTCATTTTTGGCCGTTATTATACGTCCAACTTCTGATAATAATATTCAAACGTCAATATCAGTTTTATCAACTACAGTGTCAGTGGTCAAATTATTTGTATTTGTGTTTGTATATATTATTGCAAAATGTATTTTATTCTTTTTATTGTTGTTTTTATTCTACAGTTTTCATTGTTTTCAGAGCTTAAATAAATATCCTAACATTGTTTTGTTATATATTTTTTCATCATCATCATCATTTCAGTGTTTTCCGTTTATTGAACATTAAATAAATCGAATGCTATTTACATTGTGTATGAAGCATACAGACAACAATATTATAAAATTTATAAGAAATATGGTGCCAAGTTGAAAATAAATTCCGCCCCAACTAAATTCAAATGAAGGAGAGACCTGGTCCATAACGCCATTAATTTTGCTAATGATCCTTTTTGTCTTTTTTCTTTCGTTTCTTCTTTTTATCTTCCTGCTTCCGTGATATGCATACACGACAAAACCAGTCTTGGTCTTCGTTGGGAGGAACAAGAATGCCGACACATACCCTAATTTTTTTTTTTTTTTTTTTTGGAAAAGAAAACCTCATTATGAATTCTGTTTCTTTGTTAATTTTCTTTTAATTTATTCTTACCAATGGTACCAATCATCGCAGCCATCACAACCAATCATTGGAGTTCCATCATCAACTCTGCCGCAAGCCGGACAAATCCATACTTGATTCTCATCATTTGTCTGAATAAGAGAAAATATATCGATAATGCAGTACAAAAAATATCAAATATTAGTTGCTGTAACAGTTGCATTATAATGCATGCAAAAAAGACCACTAAGTTCATTTCAGAGAAATCCATTCTAACAATAGAAATTAAAAAATGATTTTAGGTCGAATTTAAATTACCTGCTCATCAGCTTGGATAACATTCGGCACGTTATGAGGATCAATAATATTTGACTGATTGTCGAACGTTTGAGATTTTTTATCTGGGTCGCTTGCAAATGAGGCACTTGCTTTAGAAGATTTGGATTTTGAAGATTTTAAACTACTCGAACCTTTTGGTCGACCACGACCGGACGGGGTTGGTGGCAGAACTGTTGAACTTGCCATCGACGAATTATAATCACTTCGAGCTGGTACCGAAGCATCGAAATATTCATTTTTAATTGTTGAATTAAAATCGGTCGTTTGTTCTGTGGAAACAGTGAAAAAAAAAAAAAAAATATTTCAAAATAATTTTTAATCCAATGTGGACGATGAAACGGATGGTTCAATGCGCCTCTTACGTTTGTTTGATGATTTCTGTTTTGGTGGTCTTGTTATTAATGCGCTTATTCTAGCTAATTCTGGAGATGGTTCTCGTGCTATTTGTTCACTTGTCTGTTCATCCAACTTTCCACAAATACCAACGACTTCAACATCGCTTTTTTCACTGTCTTCGTCCATTGTGCGCCATTGCTTTTTCTTCTTTTTTGAGCTGCTTTAGAAACGAAAAACAAGTGTTCAAAACCAAATTTACCAATTTGATAAATTAAATGCATATACCTTTTTTTACTAACTGGAAAGTCAGGCGTTGATGGTCGTGATGTCCGTGATGATGGTGACGATGACGATGGTGCTAGTTTGAGTGTCAGTTTTGGAATTGTACTTGTTTCTAAATTACTATTTTCCGTGTTGAATGTTTGATTCATATCTAAACTATTATTGCCGATGTGGCTGTGATCGGGATCTTTGGAAAAGGCATCATGTTGCCATTCGGTATGTGCTTGTGTAGAACCATAGAATATATTCGAAGTTGTTACTATGCTATCATTTGCATCATTTACCAAGGCGGCCGACCGTTCACGTTCCTTTTTCTTTTCGCGCTTTTCTTTTTTCAGCGCTGACTTATCTTTCGGTGATTTTGAGTGTTCACCTTTGTTCTTTGATTTATCTTTTTTATCTTTTTTCTTTTTCAATTTAACTGCGCCAGTGTCTTTGTCCTTTTTCTCCTTTTTCTCTTTGTCCTTTTTATCTTTGACCTTCTTTCGTTTTACCTCGAAACCGCTAATACTTGGATGACTAGGTGAATGTGATGGATTCCGATGCTTATTATTATCGTCATTATCATCATCGTCCTCGTCATCATCATCATCATCACCACTGATTACAATCGGTGAATTGTATACTTCATGAACATGTGGATTTGCGTTGCTAAACATGACACTTTTCTTTGAACCAAAGTTGGCGTTTGACGGTTCTTGATAGTGTTTTTGTGACGAATGCAACGATTCATTCAATGATGAATTTGCAATGTATTCATTTTTGTGGTGCATTTCGATATCAAACGACGGTGGCATGAGTGGTGCAACATTACATAATGGTTTCGATGTGTCTTGCGAATGTTTGGATAAATTTTCCGCATCTTTTTGATGTGTGGGATCATTAAAATTGGGTCGCTTAAAACGATTTAAATTGGCAAAGTCGAAATTTTGAAGACCCGGACCAAATGGATTATTTTGAATTTGATCACGTACGGGCAAATCAAAGCGAACAGATTGAAAAAGTGGATTGAAATTCAAACCAGGCATCGGGTATTGATTGATTAAACCGACATTCGGACGGAAATCATCGTTTAAAAACATTTTTGATAGAGGATTCTCTTCGACATTATATGATGACACTGGCGGTGGTATCGGTGTCATAACATATGGTGGATCTAATAGTTTTGGAGTTTTTGGTACTCGTTCTTTCTTTGCTAGTGGATCTTTTTTGTATTTTTTAGTTTTCGTTATTTTTGGCTCTTTGGGAGGTTTATTCAATTTCTTTAGAAGTTTTAATTTTTTACTAGGCGGCAAATTGTCCAAGTTGGGTGGCATGCGATTCATGTCTGTCATTCCGCAAATATGATCGAATTTTCCACCACTACCAAATCTATCATTTTCAAATAATTCTTGGCCGACCATTTGATGATTCAAATCATTTGGATGGTTCGATAGCATCGGATGCACAATTGGATTCAACATGCGATCATATTCATGTGGATCATCATTCGGTTTGCTCAGCAAATTGGATGCGGTTGATGATAATTTTTTAAAGAATTTAATCTTCTGTTTATCCGGCTCGGTTGATAATTTTTGAAATTGTTTGATTTTTTTGAGACTTTCCTTTGGTGGATAGGCATTCGTTGCTGTCTCATGCATTGAATATGGATCGAGTGTGACCGATGGAATAGTAAATCCTTCCATTACATTCGGATTCAGACCAATAGCTTGTAAGTTCTTCTTCGATAATTTGGACATTTTCTTTTTGCGTGGTTTTTCTTGTAATTCGGGTGTATCATTGACCGAAAATGGTAGATTGCCGTTCAATTGTTTTTGTTTATATTTCTTTTTGAGTGTATCCAATCTTGCAAATTTCTTTTTCATTTTCTCATAAACGGGCGAAGGATCCGAATTGTTCATCGGCATGGAGCCATCACCTTTTGGAATAATATGACTAAATGGATGATCGTTGTTTCGATTGGCTTTCAATTGGTTGATTTTCTTTTGTTTCTTTTGCTCTTTTATTTGTGTAACATCAATTTGAGATTTTTTCGTTTTTTTCTTTTGTAATGCATCCGGCATCGTTTGTATTACTTCATACAATTTGACACCTTTAGTGTTTTCACCATCTTCGTATGAACCATCGGTGTGACTGGTATTATGTGCATCTTTACCTAAATCATGATGTTTACTTTCAATAATTTCAGGACTTGGTGTACGTTGTTTTATTTCAATTTCTTCAGGTTCAGGTTCTTCGGGGATAACAATTGGTTTTCTTGCTTCTGGCAATTTTCCCTCACGAGCTGGTGATATAAATCCACCCGTGGTCATAAAACAACTAACAATCTCACGTGTTTTTCTGCCGGCATTTGAACCGTTTTCGTTGTTGTTAATTGATGTCGACGGCGGTGGTCGATGAGCTGCGGTTTGTGTTGATGGTATTACATCAAATGGTTTTCTGAATGTGTTCTCGTCATTTGAGACTGTGGTATGATTTTCAATGACAGTTGTCTCGCCAATCACATTAATCGCTTCACTACCTTCAATCGTTCCATCGTGTTCAAAAATACCATTTTCATCCATTAACACCGGCCGATCACTTATTTGATTTGTGCTAATATATGTTTGTATAATGTTCGTACTATTATGTTCGTCTTGAATAATTGCATCGAGTTTGGGTGCTTCTTCGGCTGGTGGCGTTTCTAAAATGCAATTTGTTTAACCATTGACATCAAAATAATCAAAATAATTATAATAATCACCTTCATGCGGTTGAATTGGTGGCAGATGTTCGTGTATGTGAACAGGTCGAGTGACCACTTCCTTCGAACCTGGCTTGAGAAAGTTCAAATTTGATTCTTTTGCAATGGGAAATTTCGGTACATTTACAATGCATGGCACTGAATCGACATTTGTTATGTACTCTTCCAAATCGGCTATATTAATATTAAGATCATTGAATGCTAATGCAATATCATCTAAATTCGGCTCGGTGCGACCATCTGAAATCAATTTTAAATCAAAATAAATAACATTTTCAACAACAACAACAACTAAAAATCAAACAATAATAGGTCAATTTACATAGTTCGGTATAACGTTGCGTTTGGCGCGTCAGTTCCTCAAGATATTTATGTAAAATATCAGTGATTAATTCCAATGGTGTTGTCTGAATGGAATTCCATCCGATGGTTTGTGTGATTTGAGCCACAATCACTTTTGTCAATTGTTGAATGTACGGTAATGACATATTTTTTTTATCTTTTAACTACTTTTTTAGGAAATTCAATTAGTTTTTTAACTTTGAGTTTTGATGGGCAAACGCTACAACAAAAAAAAACAATAGCGCTTCACTTCAAACTTAGTATCCTTCACATAGTACCAGAATTTTGTTCACAATGTTTAATATACATTTTTAACAATTTATCAATTAACACAAATGTAAAAACGATCTCCTCGCATCGCACATCAGTACAACTAAAATTTCCATTCAAGTTGTTGTATTTTTTTTTGACTGACTGAACGAAAGGCTCATTAAACGTCAACGTCAAACTCGAATCGAACAGCAGAAAATCAACACGGTGTATTCAATATAACATTGAGTTTGGATGAAAAATATCGGCATTCAACATTTGTATCATTCTGTACACGGTGCAATTCAACAAAAATTTTGTTTCCTCTTTACAATTGAATCTGTTGATTTGGAATTGGATTTTTTTTTATTTGATTCAGTGCATTTGCTTATCATCTCTTTTATAAAATATCACATTCACACGATAAACATCATTCAGAATTTGTAGCCATCTTGTAATTTGGTACTCTCTCTCTCTCTCTGGCAAGACACATACAGAGGTCGCTGTCGGTACACAACGTTTTACTGTGTTTTGACAACTTATATTCGTCGCAAAATATGTCAATTGTGAAATAATAATTTCTTGTAAAAACATTTGCAAATTGTGCGTGATTTTTCTTTTGAATTTTTAATTATTGATCTTTTTTAATGAATAATAAAATAAACAAAAAATCAAAATAAAACGGTAAAATTATTTTTACTATTATTTTAGATGTAATCATCAAAATTTTCTAGATAATTGACTTTTTTTTCTGTAATCAGACAAATTTCTTGATGAAAACACAAATTTCACACAATTTTGGTGGGAAAAGCAATTAATAAATAGAAACAAGAAAGATGTCTAGCGATGATGAAGATCAATTATGCCGCTTTGGAACACCTCTGGATCCGATTGAAGAAGGTAAACATGAATAAATAATCAAAAAGTCATTTACATTTTGTCTCTCCATTATTCCAGATGAAATACCAAAAACAAAAAAAATCACACTTGCCGATCAAATCGCAACCGACAGTAATGGAAAGCGGCGTTTTCATGGTGCATTTACGGGTGGATTTTCAGCGGGATTTTGGAATACCGTTGGCTCACGCGAGGGTTGGTTGCCGAGTGAGTTCAAAAGTTCACGTTCTGAAAAGGCAGAGCGTCGTACTCAGCAAGCGTCCGATTTTATGGACGATGAAGATATGAGCGAATTTGGAATAGCACCGCAACGTATTCAAACGACAAAAGATTTTGGTCCATCGGAAAATAGAGAGAGAAACAAACGAAAATTACAGTCAGATCTAACACAGGGTCCGATACCCGGTAATTCGATTTCCAATAAATCATTATGAAAAAAATCCAATAAATTTTAATGTTGTAACATTCAATATTGAAAATAGGTGTTCCCGTGCTTGAATTAGTATTGGAATCGTGTCACGATAAAGCTGCTGTTCGACTATTGAAACAAATGGATAAAAGATATGCAGTGGTTCTCGCAGCCAAAGCAAAAAAGTCAAAAAAACGATATCCGGAAGACGACACTATGACTTCGAACCAACAAGTTGAATCTGAAGAAACTGCGGAACAAGAGAAAGTCTATAAGTGTGATATGGGGCCGATGAGACGCCCGACAAGCGATACAGAGACCGGTAGCAGTGATAGCGACGACGATGAAGAACTGGTATTTGATAAAGACGAATTTGATTCCATGTTTGAAACTTTTAAAACGAACCGATTTGGTTTAGGCTATAAGGGTTTGGACAAAGGTAATTTTTTTAATATCGTTGGAGCAGATGCACCAATAATGCAAAATGACAACAATAGCTTATCAACATTCACAATGTACGATAAGAATAAAAAGAAAGTTACTATAAGAGGTCAAGCATTTGGTGTTGGTGCATTTGAAAATGATGATGATGACATTTATGCCCATGAAGATATAAGCAAATATGATTTTCGGCTGGATAGTCAAATTGAAAAAAAGTCATCAAAAAGTTCAAAAATTACTGAACGTGAATTTGTGAACGGTTTTTGTAATGCAACAAAAGAATCACGGATAGCAAAGAAACATGTATTTAAAGTATCGTTACCATTTTCGTTCGAACCACGGAATTGGCTCAAACGAAAAAGTCGTTTTGGACCTGAAGTTGCTGCAACAACATCGACGGTCAGAGAAACTGTTGGCAGACATGATTTAACGCCTGATCAACGTGGTCAACTTTTGGGTGATAAAACAAAAAAAGTTCCGATGAATGATATCGATAAAAAACTGCAGGCAGCTGGTTTAAAAACGATGAAATTCACTTCTGGTGGAATTGAAAATAAAACAAACAATGAGCAAGCAACAACTTCAACAAATGATGAATTGAGCTTGAAAATTGATGAGAATCTAACGAAAATGCGCGAAAATAAATTTATTGTACCCGAGGGAATACCACAAATTTTTGATAGGTAATTATGATAACTGTTCAATCATAATTTTCCATAAGTTTCTTACGAAATTTAATATATTTGTTCAACAACATTCAGATTTACTTCTTCAAGTGATCCAAAATGTCTGTCTGAATTGAATTCAAATGAAGTAAAAGCGGCTCCAACAGCCCCAGTTCCCATTAGGGAGGTGAAAAAGGTTACGCGAACGAAAAATATTTGGATTGCATGCCAACTATTGTGCTACAAAATGAACATGGAGACAAATGTGGGGTATGTATTTGCACGCCTTCCTTTTTCTTGATGATTTCATTTTAATTGCATTTTATTTACAGAACAAAACCAGATAAAGGGAATACATTTTCCTTATTTAAATGCATTGCAAATCCGGAAACCGTACGTCGTAAGCAGTTAGAATTCGCAATTTTACAACAGGAAGATAGTGACCAAGTTGAGGTGAAAAAAATTGAAGATATGTCCGAAGAAAGTGAAAAGCCGACGAAAAACGTTCAAAATAGCTCAGCTTCAGATCACAACGAAAAGTTGTCGCCGGCACCAGTTAAACAAGTAGTTCAAAGTTTACCGCCCGAACCAAATTCAAAAATTGAAACTAATGCCAAGCTCGAAACGTCAATTCCGAAACGAAATAAACCCAAAAACGATTTAGAAATGAAAATATTAAATGCACAAGATGAACATCCATCCAAAAAGAAGGATATTTTCAAGGCAATTTTCGATAGTGACAATGAAAGCGACAAATCTGACGAAGATGGGGAAGTGAATAACTTCAATGTTGTGAAAAAACCAGTCATCAATGATGATGTAATGTCTACATTGACAAAACCGTCATCATCTGTAACAGCACTTTGTGCAAAAATTCCCGATTTATCGTGTCGGAATACATCGCCACCACGTGGAATTTTCAGTGGATTAACCAACATAAATCGATCTGTGGAAACTAAAACATCGGAACTGAAATCTACAGAGGAAACATCAAATGAGGACACATCGGACGCTTATGGTCCAAGTCTACCGCCGATGAAACCTTCGCATTCAATTGATAACAAGTCAAACAATTCTATACAACAAGCCGAACTAAATTCCATAAATTCTATTTCATTGAACAAAACAAAAGTGTTTTATGAAGAAAAGTGGATTGAAAAATCAGATGAAAAAGAAAAAAAATCAAAAAAACATAAAAAACACAAAAAAGATGGTGATAAACATAAGAGTAAAAAAGATAAAAAAGACAAAAAAGAAAAACATAAAAAGAAGAAGCGATAATAGTCATTTTCAAATACAAATAAAAATAAACGGTCAGATGAAAATTAAATACTTTTTGGTTTTTCATTTAAGACAAGATAATTTCAGTAATTCTTTTGCAGCACTAAATGCAAGAGGTATTTTACTATATTCTTTTCAATTTTATATTTATTTGTTGATACAAATACAATTCATTTCAAAATATAACAACATATGACACAATTGCGATTAATTATACAGTAAAATACAAGAAATACAATATCATTTTGTCTGCTAAAACATTTTACTTTGATATTTTACAATCCACTAAAATTTTAAATGCTGGCCATGGAAATATCCTCATTTTTATCATTAGTGAGTTTGTTGCACTTCATAACGAGTTCATGAAAGTTAAAATTTGTTTCTATTTTCAATTGGCTGTGTGACTGTGTTGCAGTGCAATCGTTCATATTTTCATTAAATCCACTGTCAGTTCGATCTAGGGATATGGCTGAATGTTGATTTTCTTCAATTTGATTGAATGAACGCGATAAATTCTTGCGATTTACAGAGTTACATCGGCGTTTACTTCTATTCACAGTCGGTGTGATTGGATGCTGCTGCGATCCATACGATAATTGCATTTCATCATAAGAAAAGTTTGCTGTTTCATTCGACTCGGACGATCGTTCATCATTTAAAAAAAATGACTTACGTTTGCTTGAATTGCCATTGTTAACCGCGCTATCGGTTGACATATCAAAAGACTTCCATCTTCCAATTGATGAGCGATCGGGTGTGCTACGAAACAACGACAATGTGGATGCTTCACATTTTTTTCGGGATGATGGTAAACTTTTTGGTCGAGATTGCGGTGTGGTAGACTTAGATATGGGCGAAATACAACCAAATGATTCGCGTCCCATAGAATTCAGTGACACATCTAGCGGCGGCTCATTTTCATCTTGTACATTATTATATGGCGTCAAAAACCGACGACGCGCACGCATATTACTGAGATGCTTGACATTTAGTGAAAATAAAAGAAAAATTATTGAAAATTAAGTATGTTAATTTTGACAATTGGCGTAGGAAATTCAAAAGAAAAAAATTACCATTTCAGGTGTTTGCGGTGCTGGACTATCTAAATGTACATCTCGTTCAAATTCGGGTTCGTTGCTATGATTACTGGTATTCGTAGCGGTTTGAAATAGTTTTCGACGCAATGATGCGTCGCGTGCATCGTGATCAATATTTGTTGCATATTGCATCGTTGTATTACATGAACTATCACAGTGGACGATTGGCAGTGTTTGTTGATTTTGTGTGAATGTGAAATATGGTCGAAGTGCTTCTTCAACATTTTTTGGCAATATCGGTGGTAATGTTAATTCAGTCTGGCAACAATTGTCACGCATCACACGTGACTGTTGCTGATTATCTCTACTTATTATGATTTTTTGATCACGCAGTGGACATTCAACTGGACTAGGAACTAATTTAAATGGGAAAATTGAAAAATAAACAAACATTAGTTTCTAATTTATTATTTCGAAATGAGTGGAGTTGATGAATAATGCTAGAACATTACCTATGATCTGTTCTTTGAAATATGAACTAATAGCAGCTTGTGCTTTGGCTTCCAATTCGGGGTCAACAACCGACATGAACTGAGTTTCATGTGCTTCAACGTTTGCCGGATTTAGTGTTGACACTTCGTCAATGGTCCATTCGAATTCAAGTTGTGTTGAACACATTTGGGGTGTTGTCGGCCGATGAAACAGTGATGGGCTAATTGATTTCAAGTTTTAAAATAAAATTAATATTGAATGAACATTCAATATGCAAACACATACACATCCACAAACTTAAATTTGCAAAAGACCAATCAATTTTTTTATTATAAATAAACAACATTTTAAAGTGATGTCTTACCTATCGATTAATGGCAAATGCAATCGCTCCGTAATGTCGGCTTCGAATGGATTGACAATTTTTCGAAATCTTGATGGTGGGGTCGGTGTATTTACAATTGGAAACGAATGAAATGTTCCATTGCGAGCTTTTCGTATTGAATTTGGTGTTTGAAACTCTTTTGTCACCGTTGTGACACTATTAGATGTGCTGTGACTATTGATAGTCGTTTGATTCGTACAGCGATTTTTACTTGTGTCATTTGCATTTCGCCCCACATTTGAATTCATATTTCATTTAAAATTCTCGAATAATTCACACCGACAAGTAAATTATCTAGAATTTTTCGTTCTTATGCATACACAGAATTAAATAAAAAAAATCACACAAACTGCTGACAAAAAAATATCAAATGTTTATCCCAAAAACTGATTCTAATCACTAATTCCCTTTCTTATTTCAAGTTTATGAGTATCGTCAAAGATTTTCTTAATGAAACTTAAAAATTAAAAAAATAATAATAATGTATATATAAAAATGAAGTGATGAAATTTAAAAATATTAGAAGAAACGTTGAATGCATTAGATAGAGTGATGAGAGTGTGACACGGTGAAATTAACAGTTAAAATTCAAAAGTGTTGAAGACATTTTGATTCTTTCATCGGTGTGTGAATGATGAAGTAATACATTCACAGGCGTCTATTGGGCCTAGATGGTTGAACATATACATAAGCATGTGCGCTCTCTATCCGTCAAACTGACACCAGCAATGACATTCAGGGTGACCAGATGATGTTCGTGTATGTATGATTGTGTTGATTGGTTATGACTTGGCGCTCAAAGTTTAGAGCGGTATGCATATTTGTGCTTAAAAAAAATTCAGCCTAATAATTCGTTTGGTACAATTTAAATGAATATCATTCTCTTCCGATTCGTTGATATTTTTGCTGTAGTTTTATAATTGATTTTGAATATTTTTTGAATACATACCAAATGTTTATTTGCCCAATTCCGACACTGCCACCTAATGTTCAGAAGGTGAAACATGTGACACATAAAAATGAAAATTATAGCGCTTTGTATCATTCTGATTGTCATTTCAGTAGATTAAATGCACAGTTTTCAATAAAGATAACATTTTCGAATGTTTTATTTTTTAGGCAGGACGTTAAGTTTTAATTGTAACCTTCTAATCTAACAATTTTTTTTCACAAAAAGAAAATTATTCGTTTACAAAGAGATTTCAGTTTATTCGATTTTTTTTTCGTTTTTATAAAGATTTGAATAAAAACTGTTGGATTTTTTGACGGTTGGCTGCTGTCAAAATGAATAGAACGATTTTTGTTTACAAATTGCTTTCAGTTCACAAAGAGATTTCTTGCACACAAATTTAAACATATATTTTATGAGTATTTAAGAAATATGACGGATTTTATTGTTGTTTCTGGTTTGATTTTGAAATAAGCGAATATTAACATAGCAAATGCAGTTAGAAAATCCAATTGCAAATTGGCATAGAATCAGCCCATCATATTTGAAAAGGCTAAATATTCTGATTTTCGTATTACGTATTTGCTAACTCCAAATTGAAATTCAATCTTGCAATTGGCACTGAATGTTTCAATACCATTGCACACAAGCACATAAAATCACGAACAGACACTCATGCCAAATGTTCATTAGAAAAACTACGATTTTTTTACGGATTGCTCGACTTCCATCTTCCACGTTACATTGATATTCTGTGGAAATCATTTCTTATAAGTTTGGGACAACCAGTTTTAACACTCAATTTATTCGTTCGTTGGAATCAGGTTATTGGTAACGTTTGTTCGTTGATTGAATCTTATACACGGAAATTGCACTCATAAAATTGTTATGTTAAGAAATAAATTCAAATTGGTTAATATGTCTACAGCGGAAAAAATCAAATACTGTCGGCCTGATGGCATAATGGAACTATCCAGAAATTAATCAATATGGCATATATTTGGTTTAATAAAGTTCATTTAAAATATAAAAAAAAGTGTGTGTTTGTAAACTTTATGCAAAAATTTATCAATAGTTTTTTTTTTCCCAAACCCAATACTTCTCAATTATTCCTATCAATAAAAGTGAATAAAATATCTATCAAAATGAAACCGATAACGCTCAGTCCCACTTATAAGCTATAACTAAATATGCAAATTATTTTCCAAATTATTTGCTTCGTATAAATATATTAATGAATAAAGCATTGATTTTTTTTTACAATTTGAACATAATGTAATCTATAATTACATATAATTATTAATTTTATATTTTTCTTCAGCTTAAAAAGTCAAGTGTTCATTTGAAACATTTATTACAAAAATTTCTTTCATCATATTGCAAACATTTGTTTGTTTATTATTAATTTAAAAAAAAAAAAAAATTTGAAAAATGTAATCTCTTATGTTTAATAATAATTAATAAAACGGCTTGCGGGAAAGCAAGCAAACTGTTAATCAAATTTGATTGTCTATATGAATAATGACATCAGCCACCAGACAAGCCGCAATATAGCTACAAACACCACCGCTTTTACGACTTGATGAAGCCAATACAGCCTATAGAATTGTTGGAAAAAAATCACAATATTTTTAAGAGTTTTTTTTTCTGGAAAGAAAAAAGCTTACCGATTCCATCGTACAAGTGCTTCTGGAATAGTTTCCAATGGATCTTTGAGCAAATACTGTCGAATTCCACGGAAATAATGTTGCAAAAATAGATCCCAATCGAGTTTTCGCATATCGAAAAAGAATACATCTTTGTCTTTTTCTGTTAGGCTATTCCACATTTCGATTAAATTGTCTTGCTGATAATCCCATTGCCGCATTGCAAAAAATTCAATGACATGCATGAATCGGTGAATTCGTTTGTATGTATTCAATAATCTAAACAATTCAGTATCAACATTGAACAACCGCATATGTTAGAAATCACAAATTAAATTGTATTTTAAAATACTAAAAATTCCACATATGAACGCCTCGGAATAAATACTGCATTTTATTCGAGTATATGCAATAGCTGTTTTTGAATTCGTTGCTTATTATGAATAGAGTTGATAAAGATTTCTAATACAAGAGAGCAATACAAAATTTTTTATCCGGCCTTATTAGTATGAATAAATTCGCAATCCGTCTCATTAAACGTTTCTTGGTAAATCATTCAGTATTTATTTCCAGGTGCTCACATATTTCATTGGTAAATCCTGTTTTGTGACCTTACTTAACCCAAGAATCGTTTTCGGTCGATCCACCTTAATTGGAACCACTAATGGGATACCATTTGTTCGAAAAATGTATATCAAATTACAATTTACTTTAATGTCAAACAAGTATACAAAATTTAAGTCGAACATTTGTTTTGGCCACTAAATTCCCCAAACTTGGTTCTAGGGTTAAATAATAATGTCGTCTAAAGATCAGTTGTAATTTTGTTGTTGAGAGCGAAGAAAAAAAAACTCTTGTTAAAACCTTTGAAAGCATGGCGAGTGCAATAATCAGCGAAAGAAGAAATGGACAGAAAATGGAAGACAGACACATACATGGTGAAAATGGAAGATTGTTAAATGAAAGGTAATGATGATATAATCAGAGTAGATATTTTTATAGTTTAAAACATACGTAATATGTTGTTCACATGATTTGAATGGGATAACTAAATGGAATTAACAAAACTGGTCGATATCTAAAATGATTAGACTAGTCTTGTTGAAATTTAACAAAATCAGGCTCGAAAATAAAATGTTTATAAGAATAACAAGTTGGAGTGAATTTTATTTTGTAGACCGGTCTACTCACGACACATACTTTGAACATATCCGTTACATAAATGAAATCTGAAGAAATGCGAACTCGTACTTGATTTAAAAAAAAAAAATATCAACTAAATGATCCACTAAATATAATGCATTTGTTCAAAGTATAAAATAATATTGGTGTCTCCGTTCACCAGACGATTAGTTTGAGTTGGTATCAATTGATCAAAATGTATATATTGATAGTAGTAATACTTACCTCGGTTTCTTTCCAATGCAAATTGCGAATGTGTCTACCAACAGGGCCGGCAAATAGTGTAAGAAGAGGATCGATGCTAAATGCATGAATTTGTTTGGATTGTTTGCATAGCATAAATACCACATCGATTTTAATGTTGGATACATGAGACCATATTTTGTTGTTTTAATTGTGAAATCACCCCATGTGAGTTGATTTGTAGGCGATGTACAGAAATTGTAAACCGGTATATCGGTCATTGGGCAAATTTTCTCAGCATATCGTTCACCAACATTCCATGCGGTTGCGATAATACCATTTACACATAAATCGACTGGCACCATATTAGCTGCAGCACTTGGATTTGCACGCAATGTACGAATTACACCCGTTCCAGCACCGGCTATCGCACCAGTTGGACCATAGAAATTATCAATCCAACCTGACACAGGATCTCTGTATGTTGAAATTCTATGAAAATAGAAGAGCGTTTACAAAAAAAAAAATGTTCCACAAACCAAATGAAAGTTTACATTTTCGAAAACAAACGACAATAACTCACACAATGCCCGGACGGAACATGCCAATTGGTAAACCAGCACCATGTTGATGGACAACATCTTCTGCAATTGCTTTTGTGAATGTGTATGTGTTTGGCCATTTATCTGATATGAATGAATTTACAAAATTAACAATAGTTTAGAAGCGAGTTTTTTTTTATTGAAAAAAAAAAAAAACAGAAAATCACAACTTTATATCGAACCTAATAGAACAGGTGTGATGCACTCAAGTAATTTATCTGATGTACATTTGGTTAATATCAACATTTCACCAGAATCTAACGGTGGTGGATAAAATTTCTCTTCAATATAACGCTGTGGACATTGCGTATAGGCGGTTGAAACATGAACAATACTCTTCAATTCAAGCATTTCGCTACAAATTTGCATGACATCTTTGCAAGCTTGAACATTGATTTGCATTGCGATCTTGAGCTTTTCATCGAAACGAACGGTAGCCGCCATATGGAATACGATATTAACCTGTCAACCACATTTAACACGATATATTAAATATACAATTTTTCATTGTCATTGAAATAAAAACCGGCCACCATTTTTTACCACTTACTTTTTTCACCAGTAATTGTTTATCGGCCGATGTCAAACCTAACCCTGGTTGCATACAATCTCCGGGAATTCCTTGAACTTTACGACGAAATTTCGGTACTTTACGCTTCATTAGGTCAAAAATCTGCATATAAAAAAGATTATTCAATGAAACGAGGATAAAAAATATACCATTGGTTTTATGTATTGGTCCAAAGAATGTCACAAGAAAAAAAAAAAAATATGATTTTATCGTTATGGAAAGAGCCATGAATGAAATTGAGTGATTAAAATTGATTTTATTATACTAACTGGATCATCAAATATCTCCTCAATGCGAGAATGCACATCTTTGCCTTTTTTATTTCGAACCAGCAAATAAATGGTATCGATGGAAGAGCATGCCGTCAGCAATTTATTGATCAACACTACATTACAACGACAAAATTACAATTTTATGACATTATCCGATGCATACGCGTAAGTTGAAGGCGACCATTTATATGATACTTACTTTTTCCCAAAAATCCTGTTCCGCCTGTTATAAATATATTGCAATTGTCATAAAATTTTTGAATTGGAGTAGACAATTCTTCGTCCATGATTAATTGATTGTTGATGTTATTGATATTGTTGTTGTTGTTGTTATTGACGAACGATGCCGTTAAATCTGAGTTAACGATTGTGTTAACCTTAGGCGACGCTATATTTTGAGTAAGTAAATCCATTTTATCTCTCTCAATCTACTTTAATTCTGTCCAAAAAAAGTTAAACAGTGCAACACGTTTATATCGAAGCAAATTGAAACAATTTAAACTGAAAAAAATGGAGACAAAAAAAATTAAATGATGTAGAGAAACATTCTCACGAATCAAAAATTGGCTAAATGGCCAAATGTTAACAGAACTGAAGGTCAGTATCATTTCTGAATTTTTTTGTGTTTTTTACATTATTGTCCTTATAACTAGTTTGAATTTTCTTTCCAAAATGTTCAAAGAATTCACATATGCATGGAAGGATGATAAAAGTTAAAATGAGCATTTAAAAACAATTACGCATTCATGTCAAAAAACAATCGTGATGATTCCATAAATTTAATCGAAAAAACGCAAAATCTTTGCAATATATCAAATTTGAATGACATGATTTAGTCTACGTGATTTACTAGACAATAGACTCTTTCAATTAGCCCAAAATTATTGAAAATACAATAAATGCTTACCAGTTAGTTAGAGAAATTGTGATTGAATGGTTTTAAACTTAATATTTGTGTGAACACTTCGATTGCATACTTGATCATTCCTAGCATATTATCATCGACTATAATAATAAAAAAAGACGTAAAGTCTTCACAAACTGAATAAGATGTAAATATTTACACGCTGATCGTGTTAAAGAGCGTATCAAATTAACACTTGAAATTTCAGTTTTGAAAATGATCAAATGACAAACTAGAAGCCCATTGATCGGCCTATTTTTTGCCAATGTATACGTGAAGTTCAATCTGTTTTTATATAACAATTTTGAACTGATTTGTAATTTACAGGAAAAATTTTCATTTTTTCAATGCTGACTGTGGCCCGGGAACACACTTGGAATACGTAAGCACATATCGCACATTTATATATATGTATTGATTTCTATACTCAACAAAAAATCGAAATAAATAATTTTATAGTCAAATTGCATTTGCTGTGGATTCCACAATCCTCAGTAATAGGGTGTACAAGCCGTAAGCAAGATATACAACAGAGATTTCATATTATGCACGCATATTTTCATAATTTTTACTTGTACAATATTTATCTTTTGTGTACTCATCAAACGTTCATTGGTATTCACATATCATAATAATTGAGATGCTCACTTATTCTTGATACTTGTTCAATCGATACACATAGTCAATATATTCAAATCGGCGTACGCGTGTACGTGTGGATAATCTAATGGGCATTCGACACAATAATGCGCGATAGACGATGTGATTTATTTGATTATACTTCGCCTTTACAAAAAAACGCAATGCATTGTCACATTTCACATTCCGTGTGTATTCAACCATACCTCTGTGGTATGATGGTTTTTTTTACTCCAAATCGATATCAAATTTTATTGAAATATGATGGATTTCAAGTGAATTTTAATTAATTTGGAGTGAGTGTTGTATTTAACAGCAGCACATAAAATTGGCTTACATAGAGAAGGAAGTACTTAACAAATAAATTGTTATTGCTTCTCTTTGATTCTCATCACATTCCGATGACGCTGAGCTGATTTTATTGTCATATATGCATTCAAGCACGCTTGCTGTTACGTGAACCATAGCATTTCATTTCGAATTATTATAATTCGCTAGAAAATTGTTGTATCATGACTATCATATGGAAATAGCAAACGACCAAACCACCACCAGACGGCTAGTCAATAAACTTTCATATAAGACTATTAGCTAACATAACATTCTATAAAATGCAATAGAGTGTGTCATCCATGTGCTAATCATATCAAGTTCAGTCGAACAAATATATGTGATTTCAATATGTATATTATATGACCTCTATAACGGAATCTCAACGAATCAAATTGGTTTTTCGCTACTTGGAGGCTTTTCGCAATTGGCAATTGGGTAGTATATAAAAAAGTGCAACCCTACCCGAAACAAAAGCTATCCAAAGAATAAACAGAATTGGCTTTTTACAAATCTTCGTATAGTTTATTCCTGAACATTTTATTGGATTTTTATTTAATGGAAAAACTGCTTTTTTTTCTTTCGGCCCGGAATATTTTCATAGCTTTTCGCAAAAGAAAAAGATAAAGAAAGAAGGGAGAGAAGAGAGAGAGAGGAGTAGGAAAACCTACTCAAACAAATGAAATTTCAATTGCGATTTGTTTTTTTGTTTACTTATCCAATTTGAATCACGAATATTTATAGTTATTATAAAATTATGTGCGTGATATAGCCGTCGAAAACGAAATTATATCTGATATATAAACATTGTTTTCATTATCTTCATTCTCCCAAAATGGTTCTATTCTTTTATGTTAATGGATCGATTCGGGTTAACAATTGTTCCTTGAGTAGATCAAAATCGTGGTTGCGCCGAAGATGATGGCGAAACAAATTTTCCGAAATATGTACATATTAAATGTTAAAATAGCATTACGAAGCCAAAAGCACTCACATTAATATGTACATGTACATGTGACATAAGTGAAACTGAGAAGATTACTGCAAAAGACCAATGCAACTACATATGATTACTTTTTTCTCTTTCTCTCGCTCTTTCTTTTATTCCTGCTTTCTTCGATAAAGATTTCTTATCGTCTTTCTTTCTCTTCTCCTCGCTCTCTACATAGGTTTATACAAAAAAAAAAATGTTTTTATTATGGTTTCATAGAAAATATGTGGCTCAATTAATGTTAAGTAACAATTTGTAATTATTTGAGCGTGCATTCAAGCTCATTTGCTTCCAATGGCTTGGTGCAATGTATATTATTTAAGAGTTATGGACATTTAATAAATCATAATAATAACTTGGTTTATATTTTTTTTTTTGGCTTACAGCTTGTTTCATTATTTTTCGATTGAAAATTTTCAAATATGTTCAACAGAATATGAAAATGGATATAAAAAAAAATACGCTATAAAACTGAATTTAACGCCACTGTAAATTTATTTAGATGCACAAATAATGATGATATAAGCTCAAATTTGTTTTTGCTATCATTAAAAGAGAAAGATTTCAATCAACTTTACACAAATAAAGTTTAATTAGTCCACGTTATGATTCACCAACCAATAAATTAGCAACCAATAAATTCAATATTTGCAATGAAATGAAAAATCTATGGTATGCATTTTTGATCTCTGTTTATTTATTGGATCAGTAATTGAAAGCAAATTTTTTTCAGCAAAGAATTCACTTTTTTTACATAAAGAAGGTGTGAAAAATACACTTTGGTCACTTCTTAATTTTTCGTGGAATTATTATTGACTTATATGACTCTGTTATAAGTTTGTTCAATTTTTGTTAAGAATGATGTTGTGAAAAAAAAAATTGTCCCCTTATCAATAACGAAAAAAAAAACTAATCAAACAATATTTCAATACACAAATGTTATTAAGTTAAAAATGATGATGGTGATGTTGAGATTCTCTCGCTATATTTTCCAATAAAAATAGGTACCCGAATTTCATCAATAATGAAGAAAAATCACACACAAGAATTCACAATAAAGTTTTCCGTTTGTAAAAAAAAACCGTTGAAAATATTTGGATAAAATTGATCGAATGTTTTGTATCTGAAAATATCTTTATTAACTGTTTGGATTTATGTGTGCAAGAAAAACAAAATTTCAAAAAATCACTGTTTAATTAATGTGGCACACCAAATGTTTTATTATTTTATCTAGAGAAAAGATAATATGCGCGCGCACTTCAATTTTTGGGTTCACTCCGTTTAAACGAATGCCGATCAACTAAATTCAAATTCGAAATGATTTTAAAATTTGTGCAGTGTCTCGCCGCTGTCGTCGTTGTTGTTGTTCACTATCGAACATTCCCTTTCAATGTCTCCGTACTTATTATTATGCTTTGGCACTAGTGAATGACGACTGAGTTTTTTTTTCTTTCTTCTTTTTCTGTTTGGTGTTGCTATTTCTGCCGTCGTCGTCGTCGTATCTTTGCGAACTGAGTAACGTGCGTATGAGGCTCTTCAGTGGTCTTTGGATTTGTATTGAAAGTAATGTGTGTTGTGCTGCGTTGCGCTTCAGACACTTTGTTATGTGTTGATTGTGGCTGCTGTTGCTGCCTTGACTTTATGATGTACGAATAGCACTTGCTCTTGCTCCCGCTTATTCGTGATTTACCCTTATGTAAATTTGTTTGTCTTAAATTGCCACTCAGAACATATTTCAGACATTTTTTTCCGAAAGTGATAGACTGAACAATGATTGTTATACCTTCAAATGACAGTCAATTTTTTTATATAGGGGAAATGCTACAATTTTTTTTTTCAATTTTTGGTCAGTTCTTTTAACATCGTTACCATATTGTACATTTCATTTGAACTTATTTGTCTTTCTCTAATTTTCATCACCAAACGTATTGCAACTAGTATAAACCACAAAAGTGATATGCTTCATTTCTTCCTTAAAAGCTTTAGGGTCACACACGTACGCACACATCATACAAAAAAAAACCCACAATGTACCCAGGGCCAGTTGGAATTGAGGTAAACGGAAATGTTTTTTTTATTCATCACATTGTGAGAGACGTTTGTGAGGAAAGGAGAGAGAGAGACGTTTTTCATTCATCAGTTTAAGTGCATACAAAATTATACATTTAGCACTGAACGGTGTGCGGTGCATGTGTTTCTATTTTCAGTTTACTTAAAAGTGTCACTCTTTCAGGGAAAACAATTACATCAACTCAATTACAAAAATTAGTAATTATGTCAACAAAAACGGTTTTTGTACACGCACACGACGCCCGTAAATTGATTTTGACTATGAAGTAATGGAATTTTTTTTTTTCATTATTTTTGTTAAAAGTTAAAGCTAGACAAGCGCGTCACTCTGGATACCGGATTCTATGAATCATCGATGAAGACGGGTCTATATTAACAGGTTATTCGGCCTATGGTATTACTATTTTTCAACAATTGACAGATTCATGATGACTGCACTAATTTTAATTAAGAAATTTAGAAAGAAATATAAGCCAATTTTTCGGATGCAAATCGTCGAGTTCATCTTGGTGAAAAAAACAAATCGATAATAGGAAATTCATAGCTTTGTTTTTTTTCACTCTTCTGTTCAATGACATTAAGCTTCAATGCAATCGACATAATAAATATGAATTAGTAATTCAAAACGAATTACGTAAAAGGTAAACTCTCTATATATATGCTTTTGTGTGCTTTTTTCGTTTGTTCATTCGTGCACGTTCGATCGTTTCTATAAAGTATCGGTGGAGGGAGATTTGGTGGACCGAATGGGAAAAAAGAAACGAAACGATCGTCTCACATATGTTGAGATTACGAAGGGAAAATAACCTGCTGATGCGATAGGTGGAATGGAGTGAATGAGAAAAATGGAATGATCATGTGAATGTTCATGGGCAAAAAGATCACATGCACTAAATCGTCCTATTTTTTATTCACTTTCTTTCGTTTTATCTCACCTCGAGATGATGCTTTTGGCACCAAGTCCATAATAATTTCCGTGTGCTTGTGATGATATTTCGCAATAGAGCCACCACAGTTGAGTGAAAAGATTCTTCTTTTTTTCAATTCATAAATAAGAAGCCAATTGAATATTTAATACATTCACATTGCATGCAGACGTCAAATCTACGTCCAAAAGAATCGTGTAATATCCATAGAGTTCTGCAGAACGAAAACATAAACGACGAAAACGTAGATAAAAAGTGAAAACAATAAACAATATGTGCGAAGTATATGTGATGTTTTTAATGTCGTTGTTATTGTTGTTTCCCTTGCAAGCGGTAAGCGCTAATATGACGTTTTGAATAATTTGTTGAAATTGACTGTTGTACAAAAAATAATCAACAACTTAATTTTCTTCGAAGAGATTTTGGAGCAGCTCGGTTTTTTTTTTAAATTTTAATTGAGAATAACATTCTTTTATATGAAATACCAAATACAATGTCGATCAAAAGTTTGACTTCACTTGTCGCTGGAAGTAGAAAATTTACAACTTCGATAAACATTCATATTTGTATAGAGTAGAATAAAAATTTTAAAAGTGTGTATTGAAAGTATACAATTTAATAAAAAAATCGGAACATTTGAACTCGGTACCATACTGTTAGTATCGCCACCTGTAGTTAGAACATTTGAACTAAAAGTGTTAAACAACATCTCTGCTGGCAGAAAAAAGTAAAAATAATAAAAAAAAACATAAGTCATAAAATGAAAATCAATGGTAGAAATTATAACTTACTTTCGCCATTTTCACATTTGTGCTGCACGTAGTGTGAAAAATATTAGAATTGGGCAAAACTATGCATGAATATAGAAATTTTCTTGGTGTGTACAATTAATTTTTCAAATCTTATGATTCGCTAGAATATTTTTGGATCGAAATTATATTCTGCAACCATATGTATTCTGGTTATGGTATAGCTCATATGCCATATACTACAGCCAACTGTGAGGGCTCATTATCATTCTATCATCAAATTAGCAACTCAAATTTATACACTTTCATGCATCATGTTTTAAATATTACGTGTTTTGCGACGCATGCCATCGCATTTCTATTATGGTCTTTGTCAATTCATATTTTCAATCGAACTGATTGACCGCTATTGGAAATGTGTTTCAATGTGAAGTAGATTATTGAGACATATGACAATAATTTATGCAAAACTCATTGCAAATAACAACAACATCCACATCCATTGAAGTGACATCAACAATAACAAACATTTTAATATTTGGTTATTTGATTACAACACTTTCTTTCAGTGCAGTGCAAGTGTATGTTTGTGTACTTAATTTAATTTGCACATACAACTCTTTCTTCATCTAAATAATGAATTTTGGTCTAGTGTCGTTTGTGTCATTTCATATTTGTGTGTGTGTGTTTTTTTTTTTTTTTTGATCGAACTTTGATGATTTCTGTTGAATTTAATCTTCGTAAATAATTTTTGCTGTTTGAATGATTTCTGCACTCAAATCGGTGGAATCAATACCTTGAGACATTGAGAGAGCAGTAGAAATTCATTACGACACATTATTCTCTGTGATGAAATTCATGAAATCGTAGAAAGTTTTTTTTTGCTTCATTTAACGTGTGGGCCGGGTGCGTTTTTTTCTCTTTCAATACACAAACATATTTCCGCTCTTGTCTTTACTTCTTCTTTTTTGCATTGTTATGAAATTACAAATTCCTCATTAACATGCACCGAAATTCAATCAAAGCGATAATACGCCTGACAACAACAAACCCGAAAAAAAGAAAATGAAAACAAACAAAAAACGCACACATAATCATTCATCGAACATTTTGAATGTGATCGAATACAATCAATTTCCATTTAAATTCCGTTATTATTCTAGTAAAAAAAAATTACACCAAAGAAATATAAAGTATTCCGAATTTCGGCACATAATACATTTAATGCATCTGGAGTGAGATTGAGTGGGCACGCATACACATATACACCATCGCATTCAAGGTCGATTCGTCAGAAATGTTCACTACAATTCAATAACCTCATCAACATCATAATCAACACGATTATCACATGTGTGTTGGGTCGTATGTTTAAAGGTACATAATTGCCAATAACGATATTTCAGTTTATAGTTGCTGATGCAAATGACCGGTCCAGTCGATTTAATTGTTTGCTATTTTTTTGGAGGGCTTCAAGCTATTGTACTATACTGTTGTCAACGGACACATCCGAGATCGTTTTTGTCCGTTCGAAACTGAAAAATGAGTAGTACTATACAACATGAACTGCGTGAAAAATTGACTAATGTCATTTTTATCATTAATTCGTTGTTGGGTTGTTAACACGAAATCTGTCGGATGCCCGTAAAAAGACATAGACTGGCTTTCAATTTCTTTTTTTTATTTGATCACCATCGGTTCGGGTGTCAATTGTCTTATTATTTTTTTTTTGTTAGTTTTTGTTACAACAAATAATTACAAATGTCATCGTGTATGTTCTCTTTGATAATGAATTTATCTGAAAAAGGTAACAATTGAAAATGAAATTAATTTAAATTATACATTTTCAAATCAATCAGTTTGAAATCGCAGGTGATGAATTTTAATTAACCTAATATATACAAATCAATTGTTAACTGTCAATAGCTCAATTTTAAATAGGCAATTTTTGGGTTTTTCTTTCGTATACGTCAGAGAAATAAGATAATATATTACTTTGGATATCTATGTACGTCATATACATAGTGACGATCGATGGATGGACAGAAAACCGGAAAAGCACACATTCATCTATAATAATGAATCTATAAACAAATGTTATGAATGTAGGAATTGTTCGCTCACCAAATCATTGATCTAATTTATTGAATTGTATTTTGATAATGTAACAAAATTTTCTCCCCAAAGTACGTGATCGAACATTTCCAAATAACTTTATGTCTTTAATCGCTTCGAAATTCGGGCATATACAAAAATGGAGAAAGAGATAGAAACGAATCCTCTAAAGAATTTTAAATGAGCTCATGTCGTTCAGCAAAGCTAATTTTGGTTGAGTCAGTGCGTTTGTACGATCGATAATCGTACTTTTGATTATGTGCCACTTTGATCACTTTTGCTTCCTCTTTTATGTCGATGGTTTAATTTGTAACTACCGTACACAATGAAATAAAAAAAAAAAACTAATAATGTCTAAATAGTGGTATACGAAAATTGTTCAAAAATATATCATCAATCAGTGTGATGACATAGTACATGAGGCGCATATGCGATCGCACTCAAACCTATTTGAACTAGAAAAAATCAATGTATACCATTTAGATGAATAACAAATCAATACAGTATTCAACCAATTTGATAAGTAATTTATCCATTGCCAAATATATTAATTATCAACGAAATTGAAATCATCAATATATTAATAGAAAATACTAATCCAAAATACAGATATACAAACATTTAATAGAAGAAATTTCTTCTAATAATTTGAAATGTAGGTCATAGTCATTTATATTTCATATGTCAAAACACTACCAAAATAGCTTATAACCTTTTTTATCAATATCAAAGTTAAATGTTTTGATACGGTTGAAAAAAAGTCTTCTTACAACAAATATACATCTCCAAAATCGTCACCTCATAAAATAAATGTTTAATTCAAATTGATTTTTAACGATCATGAAAAATAACGAAAACATATCGATACAATCAAATCTACAACAAATAGATAGATGATTTTAAATTTGGTTCATAATCAATGATGACAAAACTTATATGACAAGAGTTTGTTAACCTTTGTACTTACCTATACCTATTATTTACAGTTTTGATTCACACATTTTCTTTATTAGCTCTTGAAGCTTAAATATTAATGCAGTCGTCTTTTATTGTACGTTACTTTAACAGAATCAACAAAAAAAAACTATTGTATGAGACAAATTAAGTTGTGGATGACTGGGATTGATGAGTTTGGGAACAACGCTATACAGATAGATCATTCAAAAATTATCACACTCTTTTAAGTCTGTAGTTTCGATAGTTTTATTGAACCACTTGTGGGCAAAAACAACAAACATAAATAGCAAAAAATAAATCAAAACCCCATTCAAATGATGCTCTTGTTGACATTCGATATGCAAAAAAATGTATTTTGACATTGGGAAAAATGTAATCGCTTTTTCATATGGTTCATTGAAAAATGAAGTATTTTATATTTTAAATAAAAGATAATAGATTTAATTATATTTTCAACGAAGTTAATTGATCGGTCTTTATCGAATTAAATCGAAACGAAGCCCTGATAATCGTACACATTTCGTAAAATGTGATTATTTTTCATAAAATAGAATCCAATTTCTTAAAAACATTTGAAATGAATGGCCAAAATGGAATGCTGTGTTTAAAACGGTCAAAATAAATAAACTTAGACGTCACTGTGATGAATTCTCTATTGTCATTGTTTACTTTGCGACTGAACATTTTGAATTTGAACGTCAATGAAAAATGACATCAATATCAACATTGAAAATCATCGAAGCAAAAATATTATTTGGTAAGAATAATGCACAAGTGTTCTGAGAGGAAGAAAACTAATGTATGGACAATACACAGGGTGGCCTGTCATTCCATAGCCATTTATTTTACAATTAGTTTTTGTTAGTCTTGGTCATACTCATTTCCGCTTCGAAAGGGTCAAACCTTACGAAAAAAGCTAAACAAAAAGAAAAATGCTTCTATACGTTTTCACTCCTGTGGTAAAAATATTGACATAGAATTATGGACCACCGTGTAATTAATTGTGATGTCAAACACAACAAAACTGTTGCCGGATCTAAAAACATGGTTTTGTATTCAGCTTGAGTAAAGTGAGTGAATACATCGATTGCATTTTGATTAGCTGCGAAAATAACGAAGAATTATCAATATTTATCGAATAAAAGGCGGAGAGAAGGAAAATAATGAGAAAATTTGGTGCTTGCATTGCATTTAATCATGTAAAATCCAATTTAATTTTTTTTAAATAGAAATATCTCTTGAAATTAATATAGATACATTTCGACGGAGAAATGAACTAAAGAGGAATTTATATAGGCCAAGAATTGTCCAGTGCACAACTGTACACAATGAAGAGAGTCAAGAAAAGTAAAATGAAGAGCCGAAAAACAAACGGTAAAAAGAATCCGTGTGGATTTCCATCTCGACTTCAATGCTCTGGACCCAATCAACATCATACGCAATCAAAAAAAAAAACTCACAAATAAATAGAGAAGTGACTTATATATTTATAAAGTGCACTTTCGATCAAAATACAGGTAAAGCTAAAATACAGGTTTGTTTTTATGACGATGCCAATGATGAAAACAGTATGACATATATGTAGTGGATTGCATAAAGAAATTTCCAAAGAATGTATAAAATCATTTCTCAAATGATGCATAAAAGAATAATTTCTTAATTGGATTGATGATGTCATCGACATTGTATTCAATACAAAGCTTTAAACTGATAGAAGATTCCAAAATATTTTTAAACGCTTCGAAATTAATGTGGTATTCTTTTTTGCCTAGCTTCTGGCGATAGACAAAAGCGTAAAAAAGTATTATAATTTTAAAGAATTACGTAAGTTAGAAGACACTATGGTATTAATATTTTAAGCTTAATTCAAATTGGGAACGGTATTTAACTATAACTTTTTGAGTACAATCATAAGTACAATCGTGCCATCTTGTGTATAAATATAGAGTTGTCGTGAAAAGTTGCAATAATAGCGTATTTTGTAAGAGTAACAGTGATATTTCTTAATCAAACAACCACACAAAATAGGCCAGAATAAGGTTACAACGATTATGTTATCACCAATTTATTTCAAACATGATGACTCTTAATAAAAATGTTTTCAAAAAAAAAAAATAGAAATACTTTTTATCTGACGCTTTTATTTAATAAAAAAAAAACAATTTTGAATAATGAATTATTTTAACGTAAGGCTTCAAATAGCATGAAAAAGAAAATACCCGACACAAAAACAATCCCTTATCAGTTGACGATATTTTGTGATGATAACTTAAATGTAGTCAATAAAATGTGTGAAACGTAAATTGTTCAAGGCGTTTAGTTTTTGTTTGTTTAGTCGTCAGTATTTATAAATTAGATTGACGTAAAAAAATTCATCAAATCACGAAGAACTGTGAAAGAAATGGCTCTAGTGTGTGTTTCTGATTATGAGAAAAAAGCATCCGAAATTTTACCAAAAACTCCATGGGACTACTATCGTAGCGGTGCTGGTGCTGAATTGACCTTAAAACTCAATGAAAGTGCATATAAGCGGTGAATAAATTACAAAATAAAAATGTGACCATGTAGTTTTGAAATTAATTTAAAATTTCCGATTTTAAAGTATTCGTATTCGCCCACGTGTTTTGATTGATGTATCAAAACGAAATACAAAATGCAATTTGCTGGGAATCGATTTAAATGCTCCCATTTTAATTGCGCCAACAGCAATGCAGAAAATGGCACATTTTGATGGAGAAATGGCAACGGCTAAAGCAGCTGGAAATTTCAATACAATTTATACAATGAGTACTTTATCGACATGTTCAATTGAAGAAGTTGAAAATGCAGCTCCCGGAACAAATAAATTCTATCAATTGTACATTTATAAGGATCGTGAGCTGACTAAAAATCTAATCTGTCGCGCTGAAAAGGCTGGCTTTAAGGCTTTAGTGTTGACGGTTGATGCTCCGATTTTTGGACAAAGGCGATCTGATGTCAGAAATAAATTCGAACTGCCCTCCCATTTACGGTTTAGTTGAAACAATTCATTCGATCATCTTCATATTTATTATTTTTACTTCTTATTTCAAAGATTGGCGAATTTCACGGATGAAAAATTGTTTGTACAAAGTGCAGGAGGATCGGGCATATCGGAATATGTGTCGGCACAATTTGATGCAACACTCAATTGGAACGATGTTCAATGGCTTGTCAAGTAAGATAAATATGGAAAAAAAATATAGCTGAACGAAAATATACTCTCCATTAATATTCAATAACCAACTCTTTACTTATTTTTTTTTACATTATGTTTATTTTCAGTTTTTCAAAATTGCCAGTAATTTTAAAAGGTATGATGACACTACTACCAAATCTCAACTTAAAGCAATGTTGTTGTCAATGTGTGGCGATTGATTTCTTCTTAATTAATTTCCGTTCTTTTCTATGTGATCAACTCTAGGTATCATGACATACGAAGATGCAAGTTTGGCACTTAAGACCGGTTGCAAAGGAATTATTGTATCTAATCATGGAGCAAGACAACTGGATACAGGTTAGTAATTCTCCATCAATAAGCACGAAATTGTTCACCATATTTGTTCATATTTCAAACATAGTGCCGGCAACGATTGAAGTACTTCCGGAAATTGTTAAGGCTGTTGGTTCACAGATACCCGTAATGGTTGATGGTGGAATTCGTAATGGTATTGCCACTATACAATATATTGAAAAATAATCATCTTTAATTTATTTATTTATTTATTTATTTCGGGAAAAAAAAGGAACGGACGTTTTCAAAGCGTTGGCTTTGGGAGCAAAAGCGATTTTTGTTGGGCGCCCCATTTTGTACGGTTTAGCTGTAAATGGAGAAAAAGGAGTTGAAAGTATATTGAACATACTACGAGATGAATTGGATTCAGCAATGGCATTAGCCGGCATTACCAATATTTCCGAAATTAACAAGAGCTTCATTGTTCACGAATCCAATTTTTGTGTATCAAAACTCTAAAACGTGCTTTTACGAACGAAATATAACAAATGATTTCAATAGATTTGAATACATTTTTATTTATTACCGATGACGCTACAACACTCTCACAATGGGAGAATTCTGAAAGAAATAATGGAAAAATAATCAAAACCCATTTGCAAAAGTAGTTTTTCATTTATTTGATTATTGCTTGTACACATGGAATTTGTTTGTCTTACTCACCTTCAATGGTTGAGACGCGTCAGCCGACCATTAAATCAGCATATACAATCAATTCAATTTGAGAACAAAAATTATCTGTGGGGCTACACATTGCATTTGCAAGATGCTTTCCAATGCAGAAAATACCATAGACGCAAACACTTTTTGTATTCAACCGATTCAATAATTAAACGTGCGCTACAGTTGTATGCAATTCGTAACGCTCCACAAATTTTTTCAACATATGCGCACCGAAAAACGCGAAATATGCTGAATAACATCGAAATCGCCAATAGGTGAACAAAATCTTTAATTCGCAAATGTAACGAATAAATTGCATGTTTCACGTTTTGCCTTCAAACGAATAGGCTTAACATATTTTGACAGACACATAAAGCAAATATTTGCCATGAATCGAAGTGAATTGAAGTAAGGTGGATCATTTATTTGGAATATTGAAAAAAAAAAAACAACTTTGCCGATATTCTGTTGAAGAACTGCTAAGATTTTCATTTAATACCTTGAACGTTGAAAATAAAAAAAATTTCAAAATCAACTGATACTCTGAAGAATTCAAATTCGTGTGTCTGTTGTAAAACATTCGAAAACTTCAATGTTACTCAGAATACCATCACAGAAGTAATAAACGATTGTGATATGTGTGATGCACTCGCGAATAAGACAATATTGAAAAACGCATGCAGATTAAAAAAAAAAATAATTTACAGAAACATTGTTAATTATTAAGCTTTTCGCCGGGTTTCATATCATTCATTCGTGCTTAACGAGCGGTGACGTACCGATTCATGCGAAATTGCATATCCATTTTCATTCAATTTTTCTTTTGAATCGACTTTAACGGAAAAAAATGAACCAAAAAAATATTTTATGTATTGCCTGAGTGGTGATAACGCATTCAATTATGCCGCACAAACTACAATATGAAACTACAGTTAAACTTAGTTAAGGAATAGGATTTGTTCATTTGGAATTGGACCTTCGATCATCATACAAAAACTAAAACATTGAAATGAATTTGAACTATTTTTTTTATGCATGTGGTCCCGTGCAATCACCTATTGAATGTACTATATCAGAATATGAACGTACATTATTAAATATTTAATAATGATATCCCGCATGAAAATATCTTGACTATCTATATGAATAAGTGGACTGAGCTAGCTGCTGGAAATACCCGGTGCTTGAAATAGCGGCCAAGTGGATGCGTATCTGCGGTATGCATTACTGTGATGCCTGCGCGTACATCGAAACAGTATCTTAGCCAATTAATTAGCCACTATTATCGAAGCCATTTTTGTCCCAAATTAGCCGAATAACTATTTAGTCAAGATATTTTCACATGGGTAATATTTAAAAAAATCATTGACAGCACACACATACCGGGAGTGATCAACACACCATTACAAATACATGTGTGAATACCACCACATCGATATGACTCACTCACTCACTGTGCTGAGCTGTACCTAGGTAGTTGAATGCCGAAAACAACAAAACAAAACAAAACAAAACCAACAAACAAGCAAACATGAAAATAAATGAAACAAAAAAAAAATAAACAGATTAAGTCGTTTCGTTGAGCGTAGCGTAAATCATCAATTCAGATTGAAATTAACGCTGGTTGGAACTACGTCTCATCGATATACCGCTCTCTAATACCACAGCAGTAGTACATACTAAGCGCGCTTCAACTTGTGTATTCATCACGTTAGTGTAAATCTGAACATACCACAAAAATTCGTTGTTATTAAATTTCTTCGACTTCTTTGCATTTATTTGAGTGTATTTTTAATAGCTTTAAGATTGTCAATGAAGTAATCAGTGAATGTGTACGATTGTAATAGTATTTTTTTGTATTAAATGGTATTTGGTATCCTCGCGTCTTTGTCGTGTTTTGGTTTTTTTTTTTTGTGATTGTCAAGTTAAAAAAAATCGGGACAGGTAGAAAGAAGCGTTTTTGTTTTTTCAGTTTGCTTTACAAACAACACAAAGAATCAGAAGAAGCAAATGAATGAATTTGAGTGGCGTTCTTATTTGAAACAAAAAAAAAGATCATTAGTGAAATATTCATCAAAGAAATGCTTGCTTGCTTACATTATATGGAATATACAGCTGGAAATTTAAATAAACTATTGGCTATAGTATTCTAATCAACGAAAATTGTTTTCAATTATTTTTCACATTGTTCTGTAAAGAAAGACATCTGTCTTCTTTTATTTGAATGAAATTATTCAGTCGCTCGTGTTTTTTTTATTCATTTATGGTTTTCTTGTTGCATTGATTTTTTTTGTGTCAATGTGAGTTGCATAATCGAATGTTATAACATAATAATAATTTACAATAATACTATAAAGTCAAAATAAAGCATCCTAGAATAAAACTTCAATATTATTCTTCGTATCTACATTCTACAAAAAAATAAATAAAAAAAAAACGTTGACAGGAAATATATCCACCACTGATATAAATGAACACATGCATACGTATTTACATCCGTAAAAGCCAAATGAACTCTGATAATTGGCATAGCATTTCACTCCATAAAAAAATTCCTTTATTGTGATAATGCGCATTTATGCGTTTCTATGGTAACGTGTTGAATAATTTGTTTAAATGTTTTCAGCCAAAGAAAAAAGAAGTGCACTTAATTTGTTATCGACAGAACATTTAGTAAATACAAACAGATTAAGAATAAAAAGAAGATAATAAAATTGCATAAATAGAAAAAGATAAAATAAGGAACAGTTATCAACTGCTTAACAAGTGTTTTTATGAGTGTTAATTTAAAAGCAAAACTTGAATCATTTGTTGTGTACGAACCTTTGTAAAGACAGTGTGCATATTATTGTATCTTCTGTGTTTGATAAAATTGCACTTCCGACTCATTCAATTTTATCATACTTAGAAAAGAAAACGTTTCTACAAATAATATCAAAATCGGTAAGTAAAACCTAGAAAAATTAATTTTTGTTTCATAATGATATGGAAAAAATAGAAAGCACTTTTTTTTGGAATAAACGGGGAAATGGTGTGCAATGCGCATTTCCATTTTGTCAGTTTTTGCACACAATAATACAGAATAGGTCACGAATCTAATATGAAAATAATTAAATAATAAAAAGCACACAAAACTATCCACAATTGGTTTTGTTGTGTAACACGTAGATTCTTTCGAGTTTGAATATAGTTTGTCCATGCTGTTTGTTACCCGACGAACGTCAAAAATTGTGAATGCATTGTTTAAAAGAATTAAGAAACTATTTAGTGATTGCACATAAAAAAACAATTTCAGATGGAATATATGTTTATGAGCCGTGAAAAAAATTATTTGTTTTTTAAACTGGAGCTTAGCATTGATATATATGAGTGCGGTTTGTGTTCGTGTTATATGCTTTATGTGCTTTTTTGTTCATTTCAAATTTATCCTAGTTTTCTATAATTCAATACTCGCAGATGCCGTCAGTTGTTGATCCACATCCACTGATTCTCATTAAAATACACATTTTTTTAGGAGTATGTATTCGGAGACGAAAACTTTGTCCATTGAGCTAAGCTATCTTAATTTCGCTTAGGGGTAAGAAAAAGTTTTACAATTTTAAAACGTTCAAGTTATCCATAATCTGAAGCAATAATTGTAACTAAACCAGTAGAGAGAGTGTAGAAGAAGGCCAGCTGAAATGTTCGAATTACACCCTCTAAAAATGAGTAAAATTTCCAAAAACGTTTTCAAAAACCATTCTCTCTGGAAATCTGAAATCGCACATTAGTGAGTCAAACAAATTCAAATTGGATGACAGATCTGTTTCGCGTTTGTCAAATGACAGGACTGTAATTTAATTAAGCAAAATGGAGATTTTCACATATATTTACCCACAGTCAATTTTCATTATTTCATACTTTCTTAAATTGAAGATTCGGTTCATACTGCTTGGACAGCTATTCAAATTCACTCAACTAATCAATTTTCTTCAAAAAGTCAAAAGGTGCCTATATGGAATGTGGTATCAAACTGATTCTTTTCCATCATTCAAATAATTGATGATGTTGTTATTGCTCATTTCGTAAAATTAAATTTTAAATATGATGGCCCCAATTCAATGAAAAAGCCACGCAGTGAGATCGACACTTACCTGTTTTGTTGTATTTCGTTATCAAAAAAGAATAAGTGATAATATCTCAAGTATATCTTAAAAAATACTTGTAAATGAACAGAGCATGTTAGTGAATCAAAAGACGAAATATTTTACACATGTGTAAAACACAAATACAGTTAACATATTAGCAACGAAAAATAAATGTGAAACAATGCTCGTTCAATATCAAATTATATGGCATGTCGAACAATAGACTTTTGGCAACAATACGCAACTGAAACTAGTCAAACCATATGGAAACGTGTGTTATACCAAAAATAAAAACATTTATGGTTACTGTATTATTTTTCCCTCCTCTACTATTTTTGTTCCCAAATTGTCGACTGCAAGAGCTCATTGTTCAGTTCTATAATTTAATTTAAATGTGATGATGAAATCAGAAAGAACAACAAAAAAAAAAAAAAACACTTTTGTTTGCCATATCAAAGTCAAAGACAAACACAATGCGTGTTCACATACGTTTTGGCCACTTGAAAAAAAATCTTGTATACCGAAATCCAAGTGATGATAAATAAATATATGATATGCGCATTTATAATTTCACATTTGTTAGTCAGGCTGTACAGTTTAGTCTAAGTTTGACATCGTTCGAAATCTGAAAGATATTAGAATTATAGAAATGAATTTGGGTTATAATACGGACAAGAAGATAATTTTTTAACGTATAAATTTATTTCAAACAATATTGTATTTGCACTTATATTACAAAGTATATCTTCTTTCATATTATAAGGTTAGTTTATGTTTATGATTGCTATGTTAACATTTTATTTATTCATCACAATACTTAATTTTTCTTTTCATCGTGTACCTAATGCGTAATGTAAAACATATTTTTTTTTTCATTTGGACCACAAACTGCATATATATAATTTTGAAATTTTCATTCAACCAACGGCTTTATTTTGCGCTTGGATGCATTGCATCATATAGATATGTATTTCTCAACTTCTTAGGTACATATCATTTTCGCCTTATCTCAATCGCGCTCTTTCTTCCTCACATTCATTTCATTTCGCTTCGGAAATGTCGGATATATACTATTGTGCCTCCGTATTAAATCAGACTGTGGCATTTTTATGAATATATCGGTAGCATTCATTTTTATAAAAAATAGTTACAGGCAACCATAGCCGCTTTTTTCACAATTCCAAAAGAATTGATTTGAATGATTTTGAACGAACATCTAGCGTTTGTTTGTATAGACACTGTACACACTATACATATGCACCTCAAAAACATATTATGATCTATATGTTAAGTACAGAAAAAACAACAATTAATTGGAAATTATGCAATAAATACATGCCACATATTTTTATTCAAATACATCAAAAACAAACATGAATCTGACGATGTAAGAACTTGAAATTCTTGCTTATAAACATTTTTGTAGGTGCGATCAATAGAGGGCGATATTTCAAATAATATTCATTATCAGCAATACATATATATATTTATTGTCGCCGTTCATGCTTTCATTTTGACATTGAATGCTTTCTCTGGAATTTCGATGATTGTTATGAATGCCATTCTAATCAAAATCGACAAAATCTATTAGATAGTAGCAAATGACGATTTAACGACAAAAAGAGGGAGATAAAGAATTTGATTTGAAAATGTATTCATGATGTTAATTCCTTAATAGCCAATAAAAATACTGATTGATCCAGAAAAAAATGTATAAGTTACGAAAAAGTGAAGTGAGAGAGTAACAATAAGAAAAAAGCAGTCAGATAATACATTACTTTTTTCATTCGCACAAATAAAACGGTCCGAAAATGTTGTGGGCATAATGGGCATACAGTTATCGCTTTTTATCATACATTCATTTTTTTTCAGTAAAAAAATGCACATAATTATTTTTCAACTGCTCAGTTTTTATATTAAAAACCAACAACAATAAAAAGTGATTAAGTCCGCCACGAACAAGAAGACCAAACAAAGTTAAATTGATGAACAGTTTCAACTTTTATTATCTCTTTCTCTCCCTTTCTTTCTCTCTGTCTCTGGGTGGAGTGTGCATGGTCGAATTAATGTAATATACATTTTTTCTGATTTTAATTACTATGTGTGTTATTTTTATTATTATTTCACTTGTTTATTTTTCTTCTTTTTCTATCGCTTTAACATGCGTTAAGTGATATCGGTGTTTCGCGATGTTGAGTTATATGAATTCTATGTGCTGTTAAATGAATAGCAGAGCAGAAAAACGAGTGAACCATGAACATAGAGAACTGCTTGAGCCTATATTTGAGCGCGCGCGCTCTATTGACTTCAAACCATTGCTGCGATTTTCTTATGTCGCGTAATGTTAACGTGAAAACACATTGAATAGTAGTAGTTTGTTGTACTAGAGCTATTCACAAGGTCGATTGGGCAGTCTGGCCATATTTTTTTTTTCTCGTAAAAACACATCAAAAATTAAAATACAAACTGAACTATTTTAATCAAAATTGTGGAATTTGAAGTCTTTTTTTGACGTACGATAAATTTTCTTTATTTTTTTAAAAAAAGATCGCACTAATTTTTCAAAAAGAAAAATATAAACTTATAGATTTTCTCTTTATGGATTGGTATTATGAATAAATAAAAAAATGATTTGGCTAATTTGGGACGTTTTTTTGACTTAATCCAACTGAGATTGAAGTGATTTAATCACATTCTTTCAAATAGTTTCTCAAAATAACCATCTGTCGATCTATTGGAATTAAACGGGGATTACACTAGGTTCGATTTTCAGTACAATCCAAGGTTTCTCGTTGCTCAGGTTTTTTAAATTACCTTAAGACGCCCGCCTGTGTACACAGTAGAGCCTACTTCCAAGCAGCATCTGCGTTATGGTCAGAACCTAAGCTCAGACGGGTATTTACGAGAAATGATTTATCCAGAACAGAACTGACGCAATAACTCGGGGATCACCTCCTCGATCCCTAAAAAACTGCAATTAGTCATGATCAATAGTAAACTAGGAAAAATAGTAGAAAAAAAACCAATCCAAAAAAACCCATATGATTTTCAAAAAGGAGCAACTTTCAAACGCTCACTGTCGAAATTTCATGACATTTCGGCCAAATAAACAATATTTGAAGGAATTTCGTAGAACCAAAGATGAGAGATGGCATGGTTGATGAGTTCAAACGGGTACAGGAAGGAAGCAAATCCAAAAAATCAATGTAGTTTTGCTAACAGAAAAATGTATTCATGATAAGAAATGAAGGACAATTCAATGCGTTCCAAATAAATATTTGTGGGTTAAAACCTTGTCAAACTAATATAAATTCTAACTCTATTGTAAGATTTTCTCTTTTTTTACATTTCTTTTATTTTTAAATTTTTTGATCATTTTTTATTTTAATGTTCCATCCTTTACAGATGTCAGCTGGGCTGATGTCATGCGTACGAGAAAACTCAACACCAATAACAATGGAAAATTCTGGCGCTGCATCGCTTTCATCGAAATCACAAGGTAGTAACGAAGAACAGAAAGCATACATACGTGTATCTGAGAGTGAAAATGACTCTGGAAACATCATCTATTGCTCTCACTTAATAATATAGTAATAATTTACAACTTGAATTGCTTCTGGGAATTTCAGCAAGCGAGAGCAGGAGTGCAAAATAGGACTGTGTTGTGTTTAATTGGTTTTATTTCAAGATTTGTGTCTAAAATGTCTATGCTACAAGAGCTGTAACCTCTGACTTAATTATCAGATTCGGCAGAAATTTTGTCAGGAGAGGTTTAAAGGATAGTACTTATCAATAGCTAAGAGATTTTTTATTGGTACCTCCCTTTCTTTGTTAGGTTTCTCTGACCTGTGAATCAGACTTGTATATCAAGAAATAAAAGTTGTTAACAGTGAGAATTAGACAAGAAAAAAGAAAACAAATCAGTCACATCATGAGACATACCAGATCTATACATAAATAGAAGTAATATCACCAGCATTTAATTTTTTCGTTTAGCTTGAATACCCAATTCAATTTCAAGTAAATCAGAATATTGAAAAATCGTTTACGTATTTGTGTCATGGTATAGTAAGCAATGTTATTTTTGGTAAGGTCAATACGCCAACACACTAATTGCAAAGAACTTAAAAAACCCTTACATCAATTGGCACTTACTGAAAGAAATGTAACATTACTAATTCAGAAGTCTACCTTACTATATTTGACTAGTTTTTTTTTTTCAGATTTTGCAGGGTTTTTATTTTGTGATTTTTTTATATAGCCTTAAATGGAACACTTTTGTGCTTACTTGAAAGCGCGATAAATGAACGCATAATATATTGCATACACTGAGAAATTTATTACGTACATATGTATGCATAATATATTTAATATAAAAGCCCCTCGGTATTTATGCACATGAATTTTACGATGTACACAATCCAAAGCGTCATTGAAAATATACACATACAGTGAAAGAGAATAAAATAGAAGAAAAAAATCGAACTTGTGTGAGTCACCTTTGAAAATATTGGTGTATTGGTATAAGTTCAATATAGTCGATTCTATCGTCAACTACTATGCCAGTTAATATTATTAAAGCGGTAAAGTAGTGACATTAAAACGATATCGAGCAATGTAGAAACATTTGAGAAAATCTAGTTTATAAAGTGAAAAGTAAATTGGGCGCGTGTGCTAATGCTACTTGTTGAAATTGATTATTTAAAAAAATAATCGCATCGAGCAATGAAAGTTTAGTGAAAAAAAACTGGAAGTGTGAAAGATTATTGTTACCTCCCTGTAAGCTAAAAAGCTTACTGTACTCTTTTAACAAAAGTCTGTAAACAAAATGTCATAGGTAATGAGTTGTTGTGATTTGATTAACCACATAATTCTTTGGAATAGTTTGAAGAGAAAAAAGTAATTAGGTGACTGCTATTTGTCGGATTTTAATGATATAATCATATCATAGACATTCAGTGACTAGATTTTGCATTGAAGTGCATTTTATTTTAATTGAACGATTTTTTTTGTTTTGATTTTGTCTGTATGCGTGCTAAATTCAACTATTTTTGTGGGGGAATGCACATTCGTTGGAAGATGAGTATGACATAATTATTGACTCAAAAGCAACATTTATTTATTTTACATGAAGTAAAAATGACACAAAACTATAAACAACCAACACAAAAGACTATTTCAAGGCATCCAGAGCCAATAAGTATTTATACTGTTACGACAATAGGATTGTTTTGAGATTAACCGTTATAAATATTTGATTTTTGTATGAACTTACATTTAAATGTTTATATATAAATTCCAGAAAGTCACAAACGACGTCGTCGTTTTCATCCCTTGCGAAATTTACGTCGAATTTTCCGACGACGCACATTGACACATGCCGATGCGATTCGACCTATGGTCCAGCAAAATCAAAATTTTTATAATCGAAACGAAGGTAATTCATCGATCAATGATCAATAATCTTTAAAATATTTCAATTCTTGAAACCAAAGACGTCAAAGAAACATTTATTGTAGTTTTTAATGTTTTTTGTTTCGCAGCTAGAAATCATGAGCAGTACGAAAACGATTTATCGAATGTTTCGACGATTCGTTCGTTGAGTGCCCAATCAATCAACGATGATGTATTACCTGATGATTTCTCCGATTTTCAATCATCGCGTTTGATACGGTCAGCAAATCAATCGAATTTAACGACAAATAAACGAACATATGGTTATGCAAAAGACGAAACCGAGAATCGATTAAACCATCATCATCCCGGCATTATGGACCTAAACACCGAAATTGACACCGATTTAACTAGAGAAATGATTGACTATCAACGCAGTTTAAGTGAAGGCCGTCTACTAGACAAGTAAGCTATACTGTATGTAAGATGTGAGTAATTTTAACAAGACTCCATTGCCAAATGAGATGGTAATTTCAAGATACATTATACGCTTCTTACCACCATGGTTCCTCCGATGTGTTTTTTGCAATTTGCCATTTACCATATAATACTTTTCGCATGTGCATTTATTCAATTCAATATTATTGGTTTAATGAAACCTAATGTGAAACTTATACATTCATTCAAAAATGGTATTTTCCTCCGTATTAAATAAACGTATTTTAAAATCAATTTTCCGAATTAAAATCTGAGATTCAAGCATTTTTTTATTGATTAATGCAAAGAATTTTGAAAACTGAGACCCAAAGGTGCGAAGAGACGAATTATTTTTTATTCACAGACATGTATGCAGAACTAAATTCGATTAAGCGAATGTGCACTTGTGGGACGTCACCGCATACATTTAACAATAAACAACTGAAATATTTTCTGCATTGGAACTGATTGGAATGAATTCGATTTGATTTTGGCATTTTTGCGCAAAAGGAAAAAAAATGATTTTTTTTATCTTTCTGCGATTCGTATTTTGATGCCTCCGCACATCTCTTATTTTTTACAGACAGATTCGATGGTTTTGTTTTTGTATATTTTATTACCAATATCTTCCCACTATGCGAATAAAATGGATGATATCTGACACGCACGTATTCGACAGAAAATTTACATTCCCGACTAAGATTCGTGTCGTTATATTCGTAAGCGCAGTATTTTTTTTCTCAAGTAACTGCAAAAACTCATTACAACCCAACGCTGATGAAAAAATGAATTGAAATTGTTCATAGAAAGTTCTTTTTTTTATTTGGCGTGTGTGTGGACCTTCACATCTCGATTATTTGCCTCATTAGCAATTAAGGTGTCTGGTGACAAGTGTCTTATATTCAAAATAAATTTTATTGGTGAATTATATTTTATAATTTCAACTTATTATTATTTGTTTTTTTAATGTGTATTTTTGCAGTGATTTCAGCCGAGAAACATTGTCACGTTCACACGATAGTGTATTTTCTGAGTCAGCAACTGCAAGCAGTTTGTCAATCGTATTAAAGGTGGGTGTTTATTTATGTGAATAGTAATCTCGGTGGAGGGAACAAATTGGAATAATTTTATTTTTACTTAAGTACTAACAAAAAAAAAAACAAAAGTATTGAAATTTTCGATATGATCGTAAATTTTAAACTTTTGTTGTTCCCATCTAACGATTGTTTTACAAAATCAGTTAACAGCTGACACAAAGTAAATCCATTTTAAGGAATTGAGGAATATTTTTTTTGTACATGGACTGGACATTTTGTTGAAGTTAATTATAACAATATATCTTTGTTCCAATACCTTTCATTATTGACTTGCTTATTTTACAAGGAATAGCACATAAGAATATGTGCAGAAGGAAGAATAAATGATTTTCTTTATAAAAATGTCAATTCGTGCATGTGTACTACAAAGTATTCGGATACAAAAAAGAAACCTATTAAAATAAGATTGATCATTTTAGCTAAATTTTTATCACTGTGTCGAAACTTAATGATACCGCAAAATCAATGTAAGATTTTATTTTATCATTAAACTAACATTTCGTGTTTGTTATCAAATCATAGTAACGCCAGTAGCGAAAGAACAGCGCCAATAAGACGTTAACATTAATTGCACATAATTTTTGGTATAATTTGTATTTTGAAACGTGTTCAATTACACAACGCAAAGAAATAAACATGAACACATGACACAAACTGAGTAAATATAATGATGGTGATTTGTAATCACGTAGTATATCGTCAAGAAAAATCTTTGAATAAATCCTGCCCATTTAGACAAATGGTTAGATTATGAGCTATTTATATGTTACTTAGTGTTTTTATGCAACAAAATTGAATTTAATACTCCAGAATAAAATTACCAATTTATGTGCTCATCACACACACACTAATAGAACAATTGCTTAAATGTGTTGGTATATTGCTAATTTTCTTTTTGAGTTTGTGCAAAGTGCGTTTGTTTGTATTATCGATTTTTATTGCACATCCGAATAATGTGTGAGTTATGCGCGTTAAAAGATTTATGTGAACAGATAGACAAGCAACGAGATAATTGTATGACAATATGAAAAAACAATTTTCCGTTTACTTTGAATAACAAAACTAAGTTTGCCTTTCATTTGCAACCGTTTTGAGTCACTCTTTTTATTCTTGATCATTCAATTTGGCTTTAATGTAAACAAAATTATGGTAACACAGATATTCAGCGTTGGTTTTATTTTAGCTATTTTGGAAATAAAACTGAATAAATCGTAAACGATCAGAAACAATAACAAACTATGAAACGTAAGATGCAATTCAATATTTTTTTTACTTTTGCACAAAAAATGAATTGAAAATGCACACAACGCCCAAAGTTGGAAAAGTAATTTACATCGACCCATTCACATAGATCGCAGGTAAATTAAAATACTTCCTACATGTATTTAATTCAGATTACATAATAACTGAATAAGAAATGATGGCGGTGGTAGTGGTGCTGATAATGTTATTGATGGTGAAGAAAATTGCATTTGCAATTAGTATTCAACGACGCGCAAAGTGAAACTGAACTAGAGATGGAAATGAAGCCAATGAAAGCGAGCAACAATAACACATCATAATCATCATCATCGTCATCATACGTGAACTCGTTACATAGTTCAATTTCCACTATTTCTGTTGCCGCTTCTGCATCTTTTGTACCATGTCTATAATTTGCCATCTTCGTATTTTGGCATTCGCTTGATCAGGTTTTTTTTTTATTTGAGAACGTAAAAAATGCAAATAATTATCATTGGACGCACGTTATGAATGTACTTGTACAAATTCCACCAAGCAAGGGAAACAATGTCACGGCAAAAAGTGATACAAGAAACAAGACTACGTACGATAGCGCCACAGACAATAGCGACGGTGACGTTGTAAAATGGTCAGTGACGATCAACAGCCTAGTCGTGTATTGATAGTTTTTGAAAATTGAAATCGGATCTGATAGAGGATGCCATAATACAATCTCGGATAGAAATAAAATTGGAGCCTTGAAAATGATCATTCATCTGAAACACTTGTGACATGCACTAATACTTACTTAGTAATTGACATCAATGAGAGTTCTTCATAAACCTCAGCACGCTTCTTCTGATTGGAAATATCAAATGTGTTTAGTGAATGAAGTGTCAGCGTGCTCTTTATAGGCCTTAGTCTATCTCTTAATCCGCCACTTTTTAGTATCAAAAAGTTCTTTAAAAACGAATTACTAGGTTGGATTAAAATTCAATTGCGATGCAATTTTGAAGAATCAAGCAGAAAAAGTAGATGAAAATTATATACATAATCAAATTTTTAGTCATTACAATAAAAATTCACAGTAGCGACAATCACTGCACTTCACACAGAAACAATAGCTATTGTTTCTATCTTCCTTCCTCTTCCTTCCCTGTTTTCTTTATTTTACGTTAGGCGGCAGCACGTGTGAACATGACTCGATTATTAGAAAAATGTTAAACCATTTCCGATGATGATCAACATAATACTATCAATATTATAATTAGAAAAAAGATCTCAACAATACTGTCGACAAAATGAATTGTCTGTTTTCCATAAAAGAGCATAAATGGTGTTCCAAGTGAGAAAGCGCAACACATCACGAATCGAGTTGAATAAAGACCGGAATGAGAGACCATCGATGAATATGTGTGTACTACATATGTGCATAACTTACCTGGCACATATAATTATTATGCTTTTCTTTATACTTTGCACATGTGTATGAACAGTTCAGCGCGCATAAACAGAAAGATGTCTGACACATAGTATAAAAAGAACTGGATGGAACAATTCAATACAAGAATTACGAATAACATACACATAGTAAAGTGCACGGGGCACAACTTAAAAATTTCGATAAATTGACGAAATGAAAATCCAAAAAGCTGAAAAAGTGTCATGTAAAAATAAGAAATGAATACAAATACATACAAAATGATACAATGTAATGAGAAACATACAATTTGTATAAAAGTAATGATGCGACATATACGAACAAGCACACAACTAACTGATGACCTAAACATACAATAACCCACGAAAAACCAACACAAATATACGAAAGTGATACACTATACCACATGAGCGATCGCAGCTCATATTATAAGTGGAAAACCAGTACGCGTTGACATCAAGAGTATGAGTTCACTTTTTACTTCAGTTGCGTTCGGACGCTACATTGATTCAAATCAAGCGCACGGTCCGTTCGTCATTTTTCTCGCAAGTACATGAATTTTTTTTAGTTAGTTCACTACTCAAGTCACCACATTTCAAGTGTTAAAGTGTCGCTTACCGCGCAAGTGAATTGGTTTTTGTATTATCAATGTACAGGTGTCATCAAATGACTACAACGAAAAACCAAAGAAATCTTGCACCTAACACGATTTGAACAGTTCCAATTGGAGTGTAAACAAAATGATTGATTTCAATTTCATTAATGAACCAGTGCCGTCGTCTCCACTTGCAATTATTGTGAGTTTTTGGTGGAAAATTTCATATTTTATTTTCCAAAACAAATTTACCAATTTATCTATAATTTAAACAACAAAAAGTTTTACGTTTGGAAAATAGCTTAGTGCTAATTTTTATCTTTTAAACTAATAGTTCCCGTGCGTATAGAGAATTTTATTTTCACTATTGCTGTGATGCGCAATAAATGTATATGGCTTTCTAATGCTGTTGTTCATGTTTCATCAACCAGAAGTATCTCTCTGCGTTTACTGCACGACTTTTTGATTCACATCGTACAATTAAATCACTTTTTGTCCGCATTTATTATAAATCACGATCGGTAAACAAAACTTTTATTAATGAATCATACTTTATTCTCATTGGTTTTCATGTAATTCACTGCAGTACTGATCGCAATGTGATTGTACGAACACCTGTGTGAACAATAAACTGTTTCATAGTGGCGGATTATCATAGTTGTAAGACCAAACGATTTGAGGCCCCAAAATTCTGAAATTAAAAAAGAAATTAATCGAAATTTGTTAATGAAAAATACACCGAAAATTGAAAAATGAAAAAGTTAGCGAACTCACACTTGTTTATACTTCTACCAACTTACATACACTTGAATACATTTCAAACTAGCACATGTGAATTGCAACCAACAGAGTGTTAAGTACGATTGTACGCGAGAAATAACTAACGATTGAGCGTCATGTAATACTTGGTAGTAACGTCTAACTAAGATTTGGGCTAAAACCCTTTAAAATACCTATAAAATACGAGAAAAAAAAACTCTTAAAAATTTAATTTTATTTAAATGGCGAAGGAACCCTGTATACTTCCAAATTTCCATATGTAAAATGATTCCACCCAGATCCAAATCTCTTAATCTGTGGAGAGAAATTGGCTAAAAACTCTTACAAATTGGAACAATTTTGAGAAGAAAATCTCGTCGGAAATTGAGCAAATCGATAGAAAATTCCAAAAATTCATTCTATCTAGTGTATATTATTGAGGGCAACATTTCTGGAGGTTATGTTTGGAATAATGTATTTTTTCGTTCTGGGAGGTGGGCAAAACACGAACCCACATTTCTGCCCACCTATGGTGCAGAAATATTATTATTGAGTATTGGTTTGAGAGAACGCCTACATGGCAATCACATTTTTGACAAGTATGATAGATACTCTACGTCTACGTATAAACAAATTTAACATGTTCATTGTTGCAATTTTTAGTTTCAGTTGTTTATGATGAAATTAACATTTAACACACAAATATATGTATCATGTATAAACTTAATTCAATTATATAAAAATGCTATTTAAAAAAAGCCACAATTAAATTTTCTGAGGTCTGACAACTCAAAAAATGCATTCATTTATTTTCCAGGCCGAATTGGCAGATGCACTGCGTAAACGTAAAAACCGATCGGATGCTTCCTATGAGGATTTGGGACTACCTAGCAGTCCAGCAACACCTCCGCGCAATGGTAGCCATGTTGTTGACGGTCAAATCAATAGTACGAACATTGTTGGACGTCATCAACATCATAGTTCATTGGGTTTGCTAAGTATGGTTAGCTCAGACTCTATGGAACCGTCAAATTTTTTGTCGAACAGCAAATCATCGAATGCAGCTGGAAAACTTGATGCAACCGATGAAATCTTTCCACCCGAAATTTCATTGAATTCAAGCCATGAGTTTGAAACGAAGCTTAGCCATTCAGCAGCCAAACATAAAATGGCAATTAGACCAAAGAAAAAGGGCCCGTCAAGACCGTCAAGAAAACCAACCGAAGAAGTAAGTTATTTCTATGACCCAAATATAAATGTTTTTCAATTGTTATTTTTCTTTGGAACAATTACAGGCATCGAATGTTCTAATATTGACACCAGAGGTCCATGAGGATTTCTTGAAATCATCCGATATTATTGAAACATATGGTAATTTCCTTTCTTAAGTTTTTCGACAACTTAATCATTTTCATAAATTAACGTATACTGAATACATTTTGTAGTGGGCAAGTCGCAATCGTTGCCGCGGGGCGTAAACAGCATTTCAAACAGCAAATCCAATGAAAAGCACACAATTTCGACTCCACCAAATACTCAAATAAAATCAAAATTGTATAAAACTTCAGAGTTTGATTGTAGAGACCAAAAGTATTCCGTCGAATCAAACTTAGAAACGAAAACATTGAATTTAAAACGTGAGGATCGAATAAATTCCGAAGAGGGGTTCTTCCGTCGTTTCATTAATCGAAGTGGCCGCAAGCATAAAAAAGAGCACGAACATATTGATACAGATACACCTGATGCAAACAAATCAAATAAAAAGTGTGAAACCTCAACACCAGCAATTAAAAAGAGTGCTGAGCTATCGATAATCAATGTATTGTCCAATGCACGTGCAAAAGATACGCCAATTGAATCAAAATCGTCATATTTATCGACGGAAGAGGTGAATAAGAGTCCAAAATCATTGATTATGAAAAATGATAAGCTTAGATCCGGTCCAATATCACGTCAACGATATACAAAAGACGTAAATGAAATAAGTGATCCGATTGATGTTGCACGCGCCCAAAAATTATCATCAAATTCCACTCGCTATACAAGTTATTTGCGTTTCTCGCCGAATAAATCGATTCAAAACCAATGTGATGATGAAAGTGACAGATCGCACTACCATTCGGAAGAAATACTGTCAACCACATCCGGAGCCATCGCCGCTGATGATCCAAATACCCCATTCAGTCATGATGATAATGATGATGGAAATTATAAACAGGTACCATGTTCTGTGTCGTTACCGAAAAACGGTTGGCCAAATGAGAATAAACTAACATATAGTGCATTGTCGCGAAATGGACACAGTTGGGGTCAATGCCAGCAAAAGATTTCAAAAATGGCAAATGATCAACAAAGTACCATCAAAACATACCACAAAGGAAAAATGGTTGAAAAATCAAAGAGTTTTCGATTGTACACAAAGAACTTTAACCATGAAAATATTGTGCAAATACGCAATGATTGCAAACCCACACTATGTCCCAGCTTGCCAGATTTGAATGCGTCGAATCGAAGCCCATTAGCACGACCATTGCGTTACTCAACGAATCGCGAAAATTTACAATCACTTCGTTTCATGAATAGCAGCGGTGGTCAGTTGAATGCTGGTGCAAATACCAAATGGACACCAACACGTAGCAGTTCATCTTCACGCATATCAGAACACCGTTTCGGTAGTGATCGATTCGAAATCAATGATATGAACCTAATTCCAACGTCAAAACTTTATTCAACGCTCAATACATCGGACGAAATCGCAACGTACGATATTGAAAAGGATAAAACACAGTTGATGACCGGTACTGGTGCTGGTGGCGACAATACAAGTGTTTTACCGGTTGCTGCGAAACATCACTCATTTCAAAACACAAATATCAACGAAATTGAAGATAATATTGATAAAATAATGAAATCAGCGGTAGTGACGGTATTGAAACCTTCCACAGAATTGTATCAATTTAAAACAAACAACAGTAATATTAACATGAATGTTGCAACGATTGATAATCCACCATTGATTCGTCATTCAACTACTGCTACCAAACTTGATCTGCAGGTGCCATCATCATCATCGTCATCATCATCACCTCCACACAAAAAAATCAGTGCGGATATTCCTGAATTCATGCAAATCCAATTAAATCGAGTCGATGCCAGTCGACCAAAGAGCTGCATTGAATATTTATCAAGCGCGGCTACACCAAATGATAACGTTACGGTGGTGAGTTTTTATTTGTATGAATCGTGTGTTTTTTTAATAATATTGGTTTTTGTTAACTAAATATCATACCGAATGGCAACAAAAAGTGGTTCAATGTCGACCTTTCGTCGATTGCATGCTTTTTTCCACTACAGCCAAATAATGTTTTATGCGTTGTGATCAATCTCTTTTTAAATTGCACGCAGATATTGGCCGTATTAATCGAAGTGGAATAAGAGCGTGAAATTGTGAAATTAACTTCAGAAGCTCTTCTTGCATGGAAGTATTTTGTATATATACGTACATACACATAAGTGACTCGCTCAAACGAAAAAATTCAATATGCACACATGAGATAAGATGTGAAATATAGCCACAAAAAAATCAAATAATTTTCGAGCCAATTTTATTTGTGTTTGTATTTTTGAAATAAAAAACATTAGTTAAAAAAATTCTTCTCCATCTATGTATAGGCATCGAATGCATCAATCGAAGAAGACAAAGAACGAAGGTTCAGTAATGAAAGTATTGAAATTAGTGACAAGAAGAAAGGTAATTCATATTTATTTCCATGTGTTTTCTTCAATATACCGAATATTTTGGATATTTTTCAGTAGCCATCAATTCATCGATAATGAATGTATTCAACTCGAATCTAAATAAGTCATCAGAATCATTGAAGAGCATTGGTTTTTGTCAGCAATCTCGTACATTGATCGGTGATCAACAGTTATCACGTGGAAGTTCCATATCTGAATTAAATAAAACATCAACCATGAGTGATAACCATAGTTCGGATGATTGTTTGGATTTGGATTTAGATGATGAAAATGATGAATGTATTGTAATCGAACGTCGAAAATCGTTTTCCGATAAAAAATTGAAATTCGAACAGCAAATTGAAAAAATCCAAGCCGATCTAAAACGTTCAACGGTTATTGGTGTTAATGATAAGGCTGCAAATGTCCGTAAATTATCGCTTGAAGATGAAAATATATCGGGACCAATTTTGCGTGGTAAAAAAACCAACAAGTCTATCGAACCCGACGATCCAACGCCCGAATTGATAAAAGTTTTTGCACGTCGTTCACTCAAAATAAAAGACACAGATGAATATCAAGTGCATAATGATGCTGAACGTGAAACTCTCAATCAAAAGATGAACGATGTTGACAGTAGCAACGATACGAATAGCACGGTGAATCGAATAAACAATATAAAAAATAGTAATAAGCGTTTTAATACCGATAGTGATAAAGAAAATTATATGTCTAGTGGTTGTGCACATAGTACCGTACCAAAGGTGGAAATTTATATCAAACCAAATGAGAAATGTGAGGAAGTAACGCCAATAAAGGACTCACCGGCAAATAAAAATAATGTAGATATGACATCCGTGAAAAGTATTGGAAAATTATTTAACGGTTCGGCAAATCGGTTTTCACCAACACCAATAACAAATTCGATATTCAGCAATAATTATCGAAATTCGACTGCTTTTTTTGAAAATCTAAGTCCAAGCAATCAAGCGCGTTCGACTTCAAAACAAACAACAAACAATACATCACAAGATAATGAAAAAGATAATGGGATCATTTTGGAAAATATTAACAATAAATTAAACACAAATACATATAATAATTTCACAAAAACTGCCACAACATCGATTGATCGAAAATCTGGCGATGATGCAACGAAAAATCCCAATTCAAAACCAACTACAGTAGTCCACAACGATTCAAATAATGCAACATCAACACAAGACTCCGAATTCATGAATATTTTGGAACGCAAAGCTCAATGGGAGAAGCGAGCAAACGCATTTAAATGAAAGCTATGTGAAAACATTTTTCATATACGGAAGACATTTACATAATTACAATTATTTTTTATTAAAAATGAAGCAGACATTATAATGAGATACTTTCAGCCAGATGAATCAGCTCAGCCAGATATCGTCAGGAGCTGAAATTGAGTGAAAACAATAGGAGTGATTGTTATGGTTCTAATTACACTTTCATTGCTACAATCACTATAACAATCACTTTTATTGTGTTCACTCCATTTCAGCTTTCCTCTTTATAATGTCTGAAATGAAGAGCCTTTTTAATATAAAAAATAAAATACATTGTGACGAGTTTTTGAGCTAAACAAAATTCGTGAGAAAGATCGCGAACTTTTGCTAAGTTGAATAAAATATATAAAATTGTTGTTAGAAAATAATCAGAAATTAATATACTATATTCGAAAAATAATTTTAAGTTATTAATAGTTTGGTATATTATAGTTTGGTATATTTGTCAAATTGATGAACAATCGAAAACTGTCATGAAGAATAAAGTCATCAAAATACGTCAACCACAAACGATTTTTTTCATCATATAAGAACAAAATATGTTGAATTTCAATAAAATCGAGTATTCGTTATATGCATTAAAATTAAAGGAGTAATCGAATTTTTCAATTTTTTCCCATAGGAATTTCTTCACTTAATTTGATTATTTCATATTTAAAAAAAAATATATCCAAATATAAAAAAAATGTATTCATTTGTACAACCCTGATAGTCGACTGACAGTTCTTGAAAAGCGTTCAAACTAAACGCTTAAAGAAAAACTTAAAAACTGAACTTAATTTCAACAGTAATAGAAAGCTTTCGCATAAACATAATAAGCCGTTTCGACATGTACTTTTGAGGCTTGACTGTCATTGAAAAACAAAATATTGTGAACGTGAAAATTCATTTCACAAAAAGATCGGATTTTACTGAATGAATAATAATATCTAAATATATAAATAATGATAATTTAAATGAAAATAAAATCTTTGCTTCTACCATCGTCAACATTTCAATGCGCCTATAGCCGACTGGTGTTCAAACCAAATGTAACTAATAAGCTGAATAGACGAATTCATTGGGAAATCTTATACTTGCCAAACGCCACAATTTACAGTTATTTGCACCTTTAGAAACATATACGCGATTTGCTGAAAAGTCTAATTTTTTTTTAAGGTAAACGAAAAGTTTTTGAATTTTCCTAAAATTTTATTCCTTCACGTTTCAATATAATTTTTTCTTCTATAGGATTTCTTAAAAAATTAAGACTAATGTTAAAAAAGAAAAAAAATTATCACAAATTTCGTTATATTTTTGCATTTCATCAAAACAAATTCAAATTTCAAAACCTTTCGATCATTCAAAGTTAAACAGAAAACTGTTTACATACAAGAAAATTGTAATAGTTCAAAATTTCAATCGGCTTTGGTTTAAGAAAATGAAAACTTTTCACTTGGCTGTTCTGCCTTACAAGCATCATCTTCTGTCCGATGTTTTATATTTTGCTGTTTGGCAGCTTAACGCGCACTTTTCACTGATATTCTAAATTTCCCATTAGAAAAAGATGGACAACGATGAACCATATGGTTGATGAAGTAAAAAATGTACAATAATACTTCTTTTTTTCCATGTAATCCTTACAAATCTTTGCTTAAAAAACTAAATAATACTTAAACGAAAAGAAAAACCATTTAATGAATAAAACAATAAAAAAAAAATTGCGTATAGTTCCTAATAAATTTTTGTTACAAAAATTTTCTCACTTAATCCAAGTATTGAGCAATGTCATGCACAAAAATCGTACTCAGTCCGAAAAAAAATTTAATCGGAATACGTGATGGATAATTTATTTCTATTTCGAAGTTTGATTGGAAATATTCTTCATTTGGCACAAAATAGTGTGTCTTCTTCGATTAAATGTTGTTGGACTAACTTTTTAGAGTTAAAGTCAACGCTGAGCTCATTTCGGTGTTCCATCGATTTAAAAAAAAATCGTGGCATTTTTGTTTATGTGTGTGCGAAAAAACATGTATGAACCTTATGTGATTTATGGAATTATGTTTAAATGCGTACAAAGTTCGATTTGACCAACGTAAGAAATCAATGCTTCGTCATGGCTGTTCAACGTATGCGTCGCGTGTTTTTATTTATCGCCTAGGAGGATCACAATTTGCAATCATCGTAAAATATGGACGATCCACGATTTGCGATATCGGCATACTCGCGCTTTGGTGCACATAATTTATGTGAAAATTCCGTATTTCGTTTTCTAAAATACAGAGAGATAGACAAAAAATAAACATAAACACATATTAAATATTCAGCGCACGAACGATTCGAACGAAACAGTAAACAAATAGTGAAATACTAACTCTCTAGATGGCATCTGCATTGTTTCGACTACAATCGATTTCACATACAAATGATCATTACACCAGAATAGACAGAGTGAACGCGGTTCCAATACATTCATTTCATGTGTCCAATTCAATTCAACTTTGCGAATATTGTCGCCCAGATCGTGCGGATTTGGTATAACAATTTGATATTTTGAACCATGTTCTAAACGCGCAGTACCTTTGGTCAAATCAATACCGCGCAATGCTCCTCGATCCGAATAAATGGAAGCGGTCATGTAGCCTTGCACCCATCGTTCAGCTTGCCGTGGTTTCGCCAACTCGATTGTGAATCGATAGTGTCGCTCTATTGAATGCAAATGAAGTAATAAATGAATGATTGAACGACTGAATATGTAATAAGGTAATTTGCATCCAACACTTACGGCAGAATGGATACTCTTTTCCAGTAGCCAAAAAATATTTGCCTGGTGCTACCGACACATTTTCTGGTTGATCGTTACGATCCGATGGAATGACTTCATTTTCAGATGAATTGAATGTTTGAATCTTTGGCAATGTTGCGTGATAGCCCATAATTGCGCAATTTCCTGTATTACATTTGAAACAACGTCCCAACAAAAAGTGCTGATACGATGGACAACGATGCGCTGAATTAAAAAAAAAAGTAACAAAAGATTATTCGTAGTTGCACGTTACAAAATTGTGTATGCGATGTACTTACCAACATAGGGACATTTTCCATTTATGCTATCAATAAATAGTTTGATAGCTCTGACATGATTGCATGCCAAAAGTACGCGTGAAGCCTCTTCGATGCCATCTTTTATCAAAGTCAATGGTATAAGTGTTCCACCTTCTTGTGACAGTGCACATCCCGGTTGCTCCTTACCGTTATTTGGGTAAAAGTCAATATGGCCGCAGGCTTGTGACATGCCATAACCTGGTATCTCCAGTAAAAAGAAACTTCGTGCGTCGGTATGAATCACATCAACAAATGTGGCATCTGTTACGAAAATCATATAAATTAAGTACCGGTTTTATCGGTGGTTCTTTATCAGTAATTTAAAAATAAAATTGTTGATCAAAATTACCAGATGGGTCAAGTCTAACTTGTGGTCCCATTCCCTGTAAATATCCAAAGAATATCAATCGTTATTTTTGAATACTGATTGTGATTTATCGAGTGACAATAAATACTCAACCTGAAAATATGGTTCAGCTGGATCAAGTCCGGTAATGCGGCCAATGCCTTGTATACGTTCAGCTGCATATCCAGCCGTATGCGCACCCAATGAATGACCAATTAAATGCACATCTTCTGGCCGTAAATCGTGCTCTTGTTGCAATTTCTTAATCAAATATGCTATTTCTAATCCAACTAATCGTGTATTTGCCGTGGCCTAAAATTGAATGTCAAATGCATTTTATTCAATTTGCAGTCACGTACAAAACAAAATAAATTAAAATTGATTATTTTCTTTCAATTTTTTACCTGTGTGTATAATGGTAACGAACCACCAGCCCAATCAACGACAATCACGTTTAAGTTCTTGCGCATTATCAGTTCATCACGCATTTCAGATACCCAATTCGAAAGCGGTGTATCGATAAAACCATGAATAATGAACTTGGTTAACCATTTTGGATTAAAATTGGTCTTCTTGATTCCCTCTTTGTCATCGGCCACAAGAAGTTGACCTTCAATTGGATTTTTCTCCGTGTACAAGATGAATCGAGTGTTAATGACACTACGTGGCAATGGGAATACATTGAATGGTCGATGGATTAAATGATACCATTCACGAGTAATATTCAAACATCCAATTTCACCATAGCATCTGGTTTCATTCTCAACTGTAAAAGCACAAGCAAAAAAAAATCAGACAAACGATAAGAGACGGATCCACATGAAATAAATCGTGGTCAGACGAATAAATGAAAAAATGTCAGACAAAATGTACGTCAAACAAGAATGTAAAAAAATGCATTTAAAATACCTGTTCTCATTTAGTATGTGTTGCATTTACGCAAAAAAAATATGCGTGGACGAAGGAGAGAAGAAGAAAAAAGTGTTCTATTGAAAACAACAACAAAATGTTGAATTCCTTTGAGTACAATAAAATTGAATATCAACCCTGCATTGAATTCTAGTTCAAGAGAAACCAATTAATTTCATTTGCATTGAACTGATAATTCTGATATTGAATCAAGACAAAGTACGAGTTTTTGACGTCTCATAACGGAGCTTCCAATCGTAATTGGTAACCTTGATTCGAATCGACATTGACTGTGGAACCATGTTTCAGGCAATCCATCACATTTCGTGCTTATCATATTTAACCTTTTGCTTCAATCGACAATGCTTTCTCTACAATATCTTCTTTCAACTTGCTCTTTAAAAGAATTTTATAGTGAACATTGAATTAAATTATTCTTGAGCTAAATTGAAAGAAATATTAAAATCACTTTCATAAGCAATTATGAATTACAAGAGAGAAAGAACACGATTTTAATATAGTGGTTGACATTTAGCATAAATTGTTACATGAAAATTGTATTTAAAATTGCTCGTGATTCGAAAAAAAGCATACGTCGATTATAATTTTTCATATCGCCATTTTAAAAAGCTCAATAGAGTGATAGTAGAACGGCCTTACGCCAGATGATATAATCGGCAAATGCATATGTTATTTTTTTTCTTCTTCTTCTCTCGCTTTCTATGTATTTATCTTTTGTCGTCATTCGATTTGATTATGAAATGTTTTGATAAATATTTGCGAAAATACACACCCTGTCCGCCTGACGCAAGGTCAATGCCTAATCACTTTTAATTAGAAAATAATTAGCGAATGATTGAAAATGTCTGCAAACAAAAGCAACAAACAATTGGAAAACTTCGAGTAGTTTCGATGTGTTTTCTTCTTTCTGTTTCATTGGACTTTTTTTCTTCTTCTTTTGCCGTTTATATTTGCATTTGCGTTGCAAGAGCCAAAAATCAAGGCTGTCCATATTTTTTTTTCGTCTCTGTTTCTCTTGGCGCAACCAAGAGATAATAGCCAATAAATAGAGAAATTTTTTTTATTGAATATGGTATGCAATAGTGTGGTGCCCTTGATGGGAACACTATTGTCTGTAAATTTCACGTGATGGACACATTAACGATTATAAATTAAATGATTTATTGATAAATATCTCTGAACAATTTTTTTTTGTTGTTTTTACATATATAAAAAAAAAAAATTGCCGGGCGAATGTAACAATTCTGGTTTTGTTATTTGTTTTTCTACTAATTTAATAATGTATATACTAATATTTTGATATTAAAATGATCTCGTACTTCACGTGTGACTTTTTGAGATGTTGATGATTTATTGATGTTTTTCGTGAGTTAAATTCAACGAACACAAAAGCAAAATTATAATAAAGCAAATAGCAATAGCCCGATTGAAAATGAAATCAGGTTTGTTACCATCTACTACAGAGTAGGAGTCGCAGCTAAAGTCGATAACGGTGTGGAAAAAAAATGCGTGACTCTCGAATTTATATATCGAGTGAAACTTGACACATTATTTATGATTATTTTTTTTAAGGTGATTGACCCGAACACAGGCACTTGTAATCGCTTGGTTTTTCTTGTTTTCCACGTCTTTCGATTGTATCGCCTAGCAATCGTGTTCAATAGATAAATACCAAGCCTTTTTTTCTTTCTCTTGTCTAAACATAATAACGATTAGAATGTTGTTTAATCGGCTAATGAAGTTGGGTGTTATTTCCAATTATTTTGCAATTAGAATTTCCGATTGTACAGGTTTACGGAAATTTATAATCCAAATTAAGCAATTAATTTTGGATATTACTGAATTAATGAATGTTGAGATCGATCATCTTCGCTTCATTCTTCTAACTGGCGGATTTTGTTTTTTTTTTATTGAGAGAAGTGTATTTATTTTTAGGTTAATGCGATAAATCTGCAACAACTAGACAGATACATCAAAGACATCGACAATAAAATCATTTACATGCTAGCGCAATGTATTGATTCAAAAATGAGAACAATGTCAACTAGTTGCATAGTAACTCTCTGTGTGTGACATTTTTCAGTGTTTTTCATTGGAAAAAATTCACTGTATAAAAAATTACAGAAAAAGACTTAATATACACTGCCAGTCTTTGGCCGTATGTCTTGATGTGAAAAAAGTGGAGGAACAAACTAGTGTTCAAATGAAATGGGAATTTTAAAGATTGATAATGATGATCCCTTAAAACCTATTTTGATTTTTGAGAATTTTTGATTCAATCGAATTCAATTCAGCCCCAAAAATTTACTTTTGCACAAAGACCACTGAAGAATGATGAATAAATACCTATATTCTACTATATATATTTCTATGTTTAATAAAATCAACTACGTTTTACATTAAGCAAAAATATCATGAGCACTTTCAATGCACAATCACATGTGTGCGTACAATAAATTATTTATTTTTTTAAATAGTTTTTCGAAATTCTGCACTCACAATGTCCGCCGTGAAGTTAAAATTACGAAACTTTCAACTTACAACAACAACAAATGAGCAACAACAAAAAATATTGTGAAGTTAACGAAATGATGAATGACAAAAAAGAAACAGATCGCAGTGAAAAATTAGAATTGACTTACATGGTAGCCACGGTAGATTTACGTCAATTTCGATCGGCAGTTTGTCGGCGCGAGCCCAATTCAATGCCGCATCTATTGGTCCAGCGCGAGCAACTACCACAAACAGCGCCAAACCAACTAAACAGTAACATACAACTAGACCAGCATTAAATGTCATCGTCAAGACTGCGTCTGAAATACATCGATTAATATAAGTTTAATTGAGTTGTTTCGCAAAAAAAAAAAAAAAAAATTGAACGATTTACAATCGATAACAATTCTTTTTACATGATCAATGAAATCTTCGCTATTAGTGACGTTGTTGTGGTTGCCGATATATCGTGAATTTCCATGATATGTAGTAATCACACAGAAACAACCAGAAAATGAAAAATAAGAAATTATACCATGTTGTACCTTGAACGTTCGTGATGCCCATTGATGGACACATTTTCTTTTCTTGCCAATTCTGTGTGTGTGATTTTTTTTTTCGTTTTTGAAAGTCATTGATCGCATTTCAAAAATGAAGATATACACACAAAATATGCGAAATACCATCGCAAATTACCAACTCTTTAACACTCGCATGCATCATGCTTTTTGGCATGCGCTCAATTTATTAACGATAATAAAATATATTATTGCTTTTTTTAACAGCATGCATTTTTCATGCTCATTTGATTTGACATCATTGCGAAAACAAAAAAACAAATCTCAGTTCATTAGAAGCCATGTTTTATATGCTTAAATTCTTCAACCACTTTTAATTTCAAGTTATTGCAGGTATCTATAGAATGATACTTCAAACAACTATATAAGTCAAGTATGTGCTTACGAAAAAAAAAAGAATCAATTAAATTTTCTAGTGCTTTCTGAAGCATTCATTTATCAATTTTTCATTGCTTTATATTTGAAATAGCAAATACTTTTAAAGCGGTGAAGAGAGGGAGAGAGAGATGTAATATTTGAAGAGTAAAAACAACAAATTCCAAAGTACAAAGAGCAAATAGTGTTTTGGTTATGCAAAAGGGATGTATGTATTTGTTGCTTTTGTGACAAATGAATCTTATGCGGATCCATCTACCTATAATCTTCACGTGTGTTCAAAATGTTCATTTCTAAATCACTTTGAAAGTGCTCCATTTCAATCTCATATTACTCAAAATCCGGAAAAACTCGTGCAGATCATGTTTTGATATGATATATTAAATATTTTTTATATGTATATTTTTAAATAATGCGGTACAATTGGTTAAATAATTCGGACTTTATTGCACATTCGGAGTGAAAACAATGCGAATTAATTTTCACTTCACTTCCGTTTGCAATGATCTTTTGCTTGTCATTTTTCTCTACAATTGTTTTAATTTAATGGTTTTCGTATTACTCGACGATTTTGATATCGCATCGCGTCATTTGGTCATATCGGCGAACATGCGTGTCACATTATGTGAGCTCAGCAGCAACGGTAGCGACAGCCATAACAACAACAACAACACTAACAAAAATGTGTACAATATAATAAAATAGACGGATAATTGAGCTAGCGTATAATGATTGTACAGAAATGAAACCGACATTTCTTTGGCAATGCGCTCTCAGAGAGCCAACAACAACAACAAAAATTAAATGAAATGTAAACAAAACCAGAAAATTTTCTTTAATGGCCCGTCGATGAAGCATTCAAAAATAAAAAAATAAATGAAAAGAAGAAACGAAGGCAACAAGATCGTGCGCGCATTTTAAGCTAAAAAACGTTAATTTATTGGACTGCAAAGCAGGTACCGTTACTCTTTGATAGGTAGCGAGAGGAAAAATGATTTTTTTTTTCGCTTTTAATTCGTTAATCTGCCTGAAATAATGAAAAACATAGCTGTGAACGAAGGTGTAAATGTAACGCATTTATTCGTTTTTGGATTTCAATTTGTGAACGGAATAATGTATTTTATTTTCGGGTTTTTGACATTTGATGCATGAAAACCGAAAAAGCCGAAAGCGAAGAAATTTGGTTTTGTTTTGTTTGGCCAATCATTGGCAACACAATCTATTGCCGGAGTCGCCGCGCACAAAAGCGAAACGAAAATGGAGAAAGAGAAGAAGAAAAGAAAAAAAAGCGATTTAAATTGATGCATGCAATAAAAGTAAAAATAAAAACCAAAATAAATGCGCACACAGAATATGACACTATAACGTAACATTTCGTTTTGATTCTTGCCGATTTACGATTGTTCGTTATACTATAATTGCCATTAAGAGAAATTATCACGCACAAGATGAAAACAATGTATGAAATATTTAGAAAGTTTTTGATCACCGTGCATTGTGCACGCTTTTTTCTCGTTTGAATCGTAATCGCTTTTTGAGAGATTACGGAACAATTTTTCTTTTATGGCCAATTTTATATTTTGTCCTACTTTGAATAAACTATCTAAACAGCAGCTGAAAGCTTTGAGCAAACAGGCTTTGAAGCGATAAGCATATTTTACACAAACACACACATATATATATATTGAATAGGTCAAAAGATCGTTCAGTCGCTTGGAAACGAAATCAACCTAAATTGAATTTGAAAGCAGATGCACCATGCACGGAGGCTCGTATGACATTTAAACCCCCAAAAATGGATATAGTAAAGGTTGCCATGCAAAATATCATTACTAAATTACAAAATCTCATTGGCATCGTGTTGACGCTTTTTCCTCGCCGAATTTCTTCGTTTCCCGTATCCAACGATAAAGATCACAGAATCGTGAATCGTGTTTAAATAGATGAGTAATCAATTTCCGACCGATGTCACATGCTTAAATGTACTGTACATATTGTAAGGGACCAAACTGGAGAGAAATAGAGAGAGAGAGAAGGAAAGAAAGGAAAAAACAACAATCCGGAAATTTCCGAAGTTGCAGTCGATGTCAGTGATCGGAAATCTAAAGTCATCGCTACTATTCAAACAATATGTGAAATTGTTTGGCAATAGGCACGCGATCTCTTTGAATCCATAATTTCTGACGAGGAAGTTGTTTTGTTTTTAAAGCACATTAATGTTGTGGTATGATCGTACCATACATGGTAACATTTTGGTCCAAAACATAGAAACCATTTGCGAAACTGAATTTTTGTGAATTGTCCCTGCACCGGAAATCATTATATGGTATGAAATAATACTGTGTGTGTGTTACACAGGTGAATTACGATTAACCGACGACATCGTTGAATGGCTTTTTTGTTTGTCTAATGTCAAATGCGTGAGTTATTAACAAAAATCTACCGATTTGGATCAATTAAATGCTATTTACACAATTTTATGCCGGTATGCGTGTGTATCTAGCTAGCGTTAAATGACTGTCATCGTTGAAAGAAAACAAAATAAATCTTGTAACAATAAATTCCATTCGAATGAAGTATGAGAACCAGAATGAAATCATGCATTCATTTCAACAACATAATCAACTCACGCAATTGAGCCAATTGTAACACCTGAAGCGAGTTTAATTTTGTTTGTTCATCTTGTTCGTTTTCTTAGTTTTTTGCAACTTCCTTTTCGGTCGCATCAAACTCAAAGTCAAAGCAAATTAAAAGACTCATTGAAAATTACGAGATTTTGAAGTAAAAATATTTTCGTTGTTGATTAATTTGTTTGCTCTTCAATTCTCACATCTATGTAGACCACTTAAATGCACAATGGTTCAAATATATACATATAAATACATAAATGGATGGTCATTTCGAACAAAAAGGTAACAAGCAACAGCAAAATCCATAATTTTAAAATGATCATCGGGCTCGAGCCAACACAAAAAAGTGTGACATTCAATAATCGCGTCTTAGATGTTGGAATTGATGGTGTTGCCTTTGGAATATCAAGGAAAATAGAATCTCCAATTCAATTGAATTTGTTTTGTATTGAACAGAACTGAACTGTAGTGAACCGAGAGAATGTGGTCTCGAACCGAAGTTGGCGCTCGAAGTAAATTTAAGAGAAAAAAAAAATTCATCGAGAAGGCGTCGTTTCATATGCATTTTCAATTCGAGTTAACAGGTCTGTAGAAATTGCAAAAATGCAATACCATTGTTTGTTTGGCTGTTGCCATTTTGGTATTGGGCCTTTCCATCAATGGGTTCTCGTTGTGCATGTGACAACATGGGCGCAACAATTTACGGTATGCTTTGCGAAAAGTGGTTAATCTTCAACTCGATGGTAAAAATAACCGTTGTGATATTGCAACATTTGAACGCCATAAAAAGACATTCAAATGGGTACACAGAAAATTCTAGAAAACCGCATAAAAAAATGTATTTTTCAGTGGATTTTTCCCACTTTATTGATTGAAATGCGCGAGCTTACCAATGCTCTCTCGGCACACGTGCATTCAATCGATATGCTATCGGTATGTTATGCTTGGCACAAGTACAACTAGTAAATTGCTTAAGTTAATGGCACGAATCAAACATTTGTTTTCGATATGGTTCTTGTTTTTTTTCGTTGGTTCTATCAATTTTCAATCAGAAAAAATCACAATTATTTAATAAACGTTGACTACTGTAAGCCAAATCATTTTGTACGGAGTGAATTAAGTAAATATTCGATCATTTGATAATAAATTTTTTTTTGCGGATTATGCAACTCAAACTAGTGGTGTGAACAAAAACCTATCGATGTTTTTTTATCGCTAAAATGTAGATAGCATTGCTAAATCGTTGTTTTGTTGCCAATGCTCATGGTGTGCACGAAATTTATTGATGAAGCAACAAACAAAAAATGTGCTTCATGATCGCTTTGCTTGACTTATTGAGCTGAACTAAGACTCAAATATAGTATTTGTTGCAGATCAATTGTTCTGTTGCGAGTCTTAGTAAGTGTTATCGTCAAGTGTAAAAATGTTTGCGTTATTGTTAAACGATGGTTTTTTTTCATCTTGCTTTATATACATTGACCGGTTTGTCATTTAATGTCACTGCACGTAAAGAGCAAGTCACATTAAGTGCATAAATCAATTATGGTTAAAGCACACCATTGCCGCTTGCCAATCATGCTTATTAACCAGTCGATAATTCTAGAAGAAATGATTTTCCAATTTTCCTAGACTATCGTACAGCTCAATGGTCATAGGCATATTTAAAATATGTGTGCGATTTTGCATGTACACAGCTGTATATGTGTTAAGCTCACCACCATCATTGTCGTCGTCAAC